TGTTCTCCTAATCTTTTCCCCTTTTAAAAGACTGAGCAATGTCGTAGCACATTGGAATCAATACATCCATCTATTCATTGCTCAAGAATTTGTAGAACTGATTCAGTGCGTTTACAATCTAAATTTATTGTTCTGTTCTGTTTGTCTAGGTTTTATTTTCGTTGCTCAGCCTGCATCCATCGCTTGGTTCAATCCAGCCCATCCATCCATCAATGACTTTCATATCCGTGTCCATTTTGATTGTTCTAGGAATTCCATTCAATTACCCCTCCGTATCCACACCAAAGCTTCGTCTATGGATCTTTTCTCATCATATACTACTGGTATTTTATAATGCTATCTGCCACCATTACCACTTGATACTTGTGACCCAAAATGATTCACTTCTAGCCATATAACTCTCATGACCTACCGCTCCAACTTTTGACACCCCCGCACCTATCTCTCGCGATCTAATAAATACCCGGCAAGATAATCCACCTCACTTTCTGACAATAAGTTTCCCACCCCTTCCCATATTTCTTCGAGCATCTCTCCTCATCCCGCCAGCAGCGATGAATTAACAGAATCGTCATGAAAATTGCATATGTCCATGGCAACAAATTATGCGTACCACAAGCTGCACACATGGAATAAGAAAGGATGAGGTCGCCCAAATAATTGACATGTCTCGCCATACCCCACCAGCCAGAGCAAAGAAGAATGCTATCGTGTTCTTTGCCATCTTTAGTTCGATATTTGACGTGTAAAACATCTGCTGGAGCACCCCAAAGTTGACAATTACCTTTGGTGCGACGAGCGAGATCCTTTTGATGATTGACGCTTCGGAAGATGATGTAACCACTGACACCAGAGATAAACAACATCATGGCGCTAAGAGGTGATAGAGAGTGAGGATATCTTGCAAGATATTGAGTCTGCAGGGTATACATGGATGGCAACCAAACCATGGATCCCCATGCGAGATAGAAACCAAAGTGGTCGTGACAGATATCGATGGTTCGAAGGTACCAATCTTCATTGATAAAGAAGTCCACAACGTAGAGAGCGTGAAGAAAAGTGCTCAGAATGATGGAATTGGTGATATATCCGTAGGTTTGATACTGATACGCGATGAAGGACATGTCACTATATCGAGATTAGAGAATGACATAGGTTAGAGTGGAAGTGGAAAGTGCAAATTAAACACATGACCAAGGAAATTCGAGTTTAACGTACATGAGAGTCCAGGCAACTATCCCAGGCCGTCCATTGTGGAACAGTTTGAAATCGAAATGATTTCCGAATCTAGGATTCAATTCAATTCCCATGTACAAATCGTACAAGACAGATCCTGTCACGTGTCAGTATCGAATTACACAAATCTCATCCTCATCAAATCCGACTTACCACTGAATTTTCGATCGCCTTCGTGAGTTGGACTGATATGAGCTTTCAAATAAGCAAATCCGGATAACAAGAACCCATAAACATTCACCGAGACCAATAACGCTTGCCAGTGTTTTGCGAGAATTGCTGGATCCAAGAGTCCACAATATGACGAGATGAGGAACAAAGCATGAGTGACAAACCAAGCTGAAAGACCATTTGTACGATATTTTAGAAGATTTCCCGCTGGAGTGAGTTGACCCGTACTCAATTTGGTAGGTAAAAATTGGTACAGAAGTGCTTGGAACAACAACCACGTTCCATAACCAATATTCGTTCTCAAATCTCCTCGAGGTGCATGTTGCCATAAGAAGTTGATGGGTCCAACCATGGCCATTGATTTATATGCTGAAGTTAGAGATCCCTCGAAGCGTGAAAGGGCGATCCAATAGAAGATAACAATGATTGGACATAGCAACATGATACTAGCACATCCTAAGGAATGTAACCAAGAACCATGGTGATGCCGTCGACCCCATGAGATACTCGAATCTCGAGTCGTCGAGAATGAAGCCAATCGAGCTCGATTGATGGTTACATTTGATTTATCGGGAGCATCTTGTTGTAAAGTTTCAATTACATCGTGAAGACCCGGCGAAGGGAGAATGATTGATTCCATCGTATGGGTTGGGCCCAACGATATTTTGTACGGAGAGTGAGAGGTATGTTGTGGTTGAATATTGCGATGCACTCGAGGTTGTACGAATGATGTAAGGGAAACGAAAAAGAAATGAGTAAGGGTGAGGCAACGGGTAACGACTAGGTACTAATGAGGTAGTAACCTTGATAGGAAGAAAAGGCGAAAGGGGTTAGAACCAAGAAAGAAAGTAAAACAAGAATCAAAAAGGATTAAACATACAGCCAAGTCAGTACGCGTCCGAGTGAATAAAAAGATGGAGATGGAGATGAATGAAGGGTCGTTAAGAGGATCTTTAAAGATGGTGGGTTGAGGAGAGAAGAGGAATTGAAATTGGAAATGAAAGTGCAATTGTCATTGGTGTTGTTTTGCATGCTTAGTAGGTACGAGTGTACTCGTGCGGGATACTCTATCTATTATTCATTGATTTGCATTGATTTGCATTGATTTGCATTGCATATGCAAACCACTTCTCCGGATACGGCAGTCGTTGATTTGAAAAGAAGGGACTAAGTGGGTGGTAGGTATGTACCAAGTACTAGGTAGATACTCGATCGATACTTCCTAGGTAGACACGGAATAATTGTGTGGACTTTGAGGAGAGAGAAAATTCAACAAGAGACTATAGAGAAAGACCTCCTACTTACTAGGTAGGAAAGGGAAGAGAAGTTTGAAAGGGAAAAGAGAAGTTTGAAAGGGAAAAGAGAAGATTGAAAGGGAAAAGAGAAGATTGAAAAGGAAAGAGAAGATTGAAAGGGGAGGAGAAGATCGAAAAGGGAAAGGGAATGGAATGTCAAGTACCCGTAAAATATATCTCAATAGCTAAATATGTCTAAATAGCCAAATATGTCTAAATAGCACAATAATAAGTCGTAAGATCGCACCATGGTAAAACTCATACCGAGAATAGGAAAGTGCAATGACAGCTCCATGTCCATTTCCTGATCCGCCTCAAACCTCAAACCTAGAAGGTAAAACTTAATGTCTTGTAAGTTGACAGACATCCTTTCCCGAGTACCGATGCTACCGATGATGAGTTGTATACCTAGTGTGTATGTAACTAGTAGAGTGTTGGATACCTAATATCTCAGGTGTAATTAAGTATCTTCCTTCTTGCTTCTTTCCTCTCTTCCTCATTAATTCCGATATGTAGGTAGGTACCTACCCATCTTCCTACCTCTCTCCTCCAGATCCAAGCATCGTTTATTCACATTAAAAGAAAACATACTTGCCGGTACCATCACCATTACCATTACCATCACCATCACCATCACCATCACCATTACCGGTACGCACCCACAACTTCCAATGAGGTCAAGACTTTTGCCTAGTCCCAAGACGATCAAGGGACTTGTAACCACAAGAAGTTAACTACCTTGGTACTTGATACTATTGATTGATGCCACTACGATATGTCCAAGCTATCATCATCATCATCATCATCATCATCATCAGATGATCTAGATGTGCAGACACATGTGCAGACATACCTACCGATGAGTAAGTGCATAGATACATCGAATATCACATATCACATACCGCCAATTCTCAAAACATCGACAACCTATCATCTATAAACAGACCTTTCCATAAATACACATTTCGTATCGAGAGAGATTAGATATACACACAACCGCGTACACATACAATAACTGTGATACGAACCTAGGCACCTACCATCTCCTCAAAGAATAAGATCAACCCATTTTCGTCAGAGAAACCCAAGCCACGTGAACCTTATTTATCAATTAATTAATGGTATGAGTTCAAGACATGAAAGCGTGAAAGCGTGAAAGCTTGATACCCATCATGATTATAATTACTCGATGAGAAGATCCGAAGGGAATAGCACCCCAAGAAGAAAGAGAGTGAGTGAAGTTTGACAGAGAGAGAGAAAGAACAAACACAGGAGAAAAGAAATCGAATCAATGATAAATAACTCAGTTGGAAGTTGGAACGCACAAACAGTCAGTCAGTCAGTCAGCCAGTTCCTTCCAGGTTCATACCAATGCCCATACCAGATCCATAACCTGGAAGCTCAATCCCAGAGCTACCTAGCTAGGTGCGCGAGCTCCATAATGTACCCATGTACCTACCTGTTTCCCTATAGTACGATACGTACCTACCGAGCTTAAGAAGCTTGAGAAGCTTAAGAAGCTTGAAACCCGAGGAACGTGCGAGCTATCAGTTCATTCACTCGAACCCCAAGATATAACATCCATTGCATTTATTCATTGATTTGGGAGAAATAAATTCAAGATACTAATAAGGTACCCACAACATATGCTTCCTATTTAGTCTCATACTCATTATAAATACTAAAAAGATATCAATCGTACTATATATAGATACTAAACTCTCTCAACCAAAATAGCTTCATTCCCCACGGCGGGAAGAGCCCTTCAAGACTATCTAACACGAATACGAATACAGATACAGCTATGGGGGGAGACTCTTGATATCATATTCATTGTCTACGTACAACACTATATTTCACTTCTTGACAAATGTGGACTTCGAGAGATCACAGAATAATTCTCGTACGGCACAATTACAGTTACGACGGGAGTTTTGATGATTGTTGCTTTGGCTCCCAGCATGCGTTATTTATACTATAGCGAGCTCATTTGCATCGTCAAATCGGCACTGTTACTTGGTCAGCAAATCTTACCACCCAGTTGAAGTGTGAATTCAATACAAGTAATTAAACAAACGATCAGAAGGAAGGCAACGGAAAATCTCCACACGGTTTTGCGCTCTCGGTGATATAATGATTTAACATCCGAAATATTTCATCATATAAAGTCAAAGGAAAATTAAGTGGTGAGTGAACAGAAGAAGAAAGACTGACCGTGGAGTATCATATTTAAATGCCGGAGAAACTCAGAAGCAGTAGCCCGTAAATGTTATGTACACTTTCAGTAACACCTCCCATTTACCATGCTGTAATGTCATCCACTTCTACCTCTCCAAAGGTACTGCTTTTGGTAACAGCCCCCACTCCGTCTTCAGCCTCAACTCCTTCAATGCCAGGAGCTCCCATAATGTCGGGTAAGACTTCATTCAAAAATTCCAGAATGTGTTGATTGACTTGTTCAAACTGTAACAAGAATGCATCATGGCCTTCAGGGGATTCGATCTTTCTAAGGCGTGCATTTGGTACTGAAGCTGCAATCTCTTTCTGCTCATCAAAGGTGAAAAGTCCATCACTCTCAATACCGAGTACCAACGTTGGCTGTTGGATTTGTGAAAGGGCTTCAGCAATAGGGTCCGCTGAATCTGCCGGCACTCGATATCTTGACACATCATGAGTATCCAGTTTGCGGGTGATAGCAATATAACAGTTTCCATCAAAACGTTTGACGAATTTTTCACCTTGATAACGAAGATAGGATTGCGCGGAAAAGTAATGAGAGGTTGACTTGCGCTTAGGAACAGGTCGGTCTGGTGGTGGGGATGATGAGGGAGTTGCGCCGTGAAATTGCGGGTCGGTAAAGTTTGCAGGGTTACCACCGTTGGCAGTAATGTTTTCACTGGTCATGGTTGAAATGGCAGCTGAGCTTCCAGGTCTCGAAGATATTGGGGATCTGGTCTGTCTGTGTCCATCATTGTGAATTGCCCTGTGAATATCCGATGCGGTGGCGGATTGTTGGCTTTCGCTGATGGTCTGTTTTTTTGAAGCATCAGGTATGTTTCGTCCAAACCTTGCCTCGAATGAGTTTCGACTTCGATACGTGAGCAACGCAGACATGCGCGCCGCGCCCAGCCCTGCTGTTGGAGGATCCGAGAATGGGTAATAGCCATCGTCGTACTTTGGATCCGCATAGATGCTTTGCCTTTGGGCTTCTCCCCAACTAATTCCCCAAGCACTATGTCTGCTAGATGTTGCGATTGGCACAATGGCCCTAACATAATCTTTGCCAAAATATGCCCATTCAAGTACCAGCATACCTCCCATAGAGCCCCCTATAACCGCTGCTACTTGTCGAACTCCCAACTCGTCCAAGAGAAGTTTGTGAATGCTAATGCCAGTCAGTGTTGTACTAGGCTGATTGAAAATTGGTGACATACTTGACATCATCTCGAATAGTTGTCAAAGGGAACTCAGGGCCATATCTTTCATTTTTTGGGTCCCCATTCTTGCAAGTGACAGGACTTGCACTCCCGTAAGGGCTTCCCAAACTGTTCATACATATCACGAAGAATCTGGATATATCAAATGCTCGACCAGGTCCACCTAGAAGAGGTCCCCACCAATCGCTGACATCTGCACTCCCGGTCAAGGCATGGCATATTACCATGGCATTATCGCGATTAGGTGAAAGTTTTCCTCTGGTGCTGTATGCCAATGGAACATTGTGTAAGGTTTCGCCGGACTCTAATGTGAAGGATGGGATGATGGCGATAGTTTGGTCGGGTATGAGGGATGCAAATGGGTTCTCGGGTTGTTGCTGCGTTCTTTCTTGTAGTATTCAGTCACTGCTTCTCCCAAGAATTGAGGGGTAATTTTTTTTTTTTGGCAAATCATTGAAGATATAACTACTGACCGTATCTTGGTGCATTGGATTCTGTTCCCGCAGAACCAGTAGATTGAGATGAAGCTGCCATTTTGTGATTGAGAATTTGTCGAAAGAATAGCTAGATGTTGAACAAGGAATAGAAGAAATCTATATTATTATACAAGACTTGCTTGCTTGAGTCATTAAAGGAGGGGGGGCTGTTTAAAAAAACGTCATCAACAGCCAGTCACAATTGATTTGGCAAGTAAGAAAACTTTGAAGGGCTCTTTCACGGACGGAGAACGGAACAAAAAACCATTTATGTTGTTGTTAGTCAACATTGGAGCATTGATAAGGAAAACCTGAGATGATAGCTAGCTCACAGTTCCGCTTTCTATACTTTCGATGAGGCTGAAAGTTGAGTAAAACCCGATGGTGGCTTGATTGTGGCTCAAACTCAAGTATAATGTGACTACACATTAATAGAGCTTAGTGTGTTTCTCTCTCACGCGAACGCGGGAAACCTTTCATTGCTTAAGGATTTTGAAGATGTCTTTAACTAAATATTAACAATTGATAATATTTCCACGAAGTCGAAAACAAAATCTGCGTAACTCATAATTTCATTGTCGCAGATAACTTGTGATTTATTCCAAGGTTGTTTAAATATTCGACTACTTCGAGTTCGACGGAAACACAAATTACATCGAACCTTGATCGCATTATCGCACATAGTTCTTTGCTATCACCAGCATTTCGACACACATGTACGCAGATCGTTGAGCTTTATCGATAGATTTGGAGATGGCTCCAGCAGGGAAGCGAAAGAGGAATGATAGAAATTCCGTAGACCAGGGTGAGCCTCGACCCTCACCTCATCGACCGGGAAATACTTCTTTAGGTCAGCATGAAAGAGAATTTGGTATGCGCGAGGGCGGTAACAGAAGGAGCAGCAGAGGAGGTCAAGGTAATCAAGGCGGAGGTAGAGGACGTAGAAATGATGGTCGCAGTTCGAATAATTCAAATAATTCAAACACTTCAAGCAATGCGAGCAATCCTAGTAACCTCTCGATAGCTACCAGAGCCACCCCAACACCAGGACCAATGTCTCCACCTCCCAGACCTTCGAGCGCTTCTCACACGACTCCAGCGCAAACTCCCACCCCAATGAACACGAGCGATATGATCAGTCCTAGCTGGAACCCAGACCCTGCTCCTTTCGATTACGTTTTCCTTACCGACGACCAAATGTCTTCGTGGACATCGAATGGTCGACAAGAAGTGGTAGGAAAGGGCATCCAGGCTCGTCAGGATGAAGATACAATGGATTTGGCAACTGTGTTTCAAGAATTCATTCGCGCTACCCTCGATGGTCGCATTGATGGCGCTGATGCGGGCAATTGCATTAGAGAAATATTGGGACCAGACGTATCTCCGATAGACAACGTCCCAGGCACCCTGGAACCGCAAGCTCTGTTCCTTGACTCTCTATCTATGATGTTCGAATTAGAAGATCTCAAAACGCCAAACACTGCACTTCGCACATTCGTTTTCTCCACAGGCATATCCGCCATGGTTATGCGACAGAAATTGGATGCCACTCTCTTATTGAACCTCGGACTCACGAGAGACACCTTTACACGCATGGGAATTAGACAAGCTACCCATCTTCTCTATCGACAGGCAAATTATAATCTTTTGAGAGAGGAGACAGAAGGATATTCGAAATTGGTCACAGAGCTTTTCACAACCAGTGGGAGCGAACCTCCTTCCAGTGAGGTTGTTGAAGAAGCCTTCGAGAAAGTGAAAGGCCTGATAGGAACTTTTGATCTCGATGTGGGAAGAGTACTCGATATCACGCTGGATGTTTTTGCGGCTGTTCTCATCAAACAATTCCGTTTCTTTATAAAGTTTCTCCGTGTTAGCTCTTGGTGGCCGAGAAGCGGCGAATTCGATAAGATACCTCGATGTGGTGGTCTTCCACCGTGGGCTTTACCCAGCGCTCCTGGTTGGACTTCAACTGACGAAGAGGAAGAACTTGCTACGAGTCAACGGCTGGAGCGCGACAATCTTTTCTGGGATCGGGCTCGTGATGTTGGTATTGAAGCGTTCTTCGAGCTCGGAGGTCGCCAGCCTGTAGATGCAGAGACGAAACAACGACTTCTCGAAGAAGATGATGCAAAGCTTGATGAAGATTATCAATGGATTAAAGCAACGGGAACTTACCCACCTTCTGGAAATCGAACAGCGGCTCAGCTGCTCGGATTCAAACTACGTTTCTACGCCTCGGCGGCTCGAGACAATGAAGACGTGTTGCCTGCGAATTTGATTTACCTGACAGCTTTGCTGATCAAAATTGGGTTCATCTCCCTCAAAGACCTATACCCTCACTTGTGGCCTCTAGATGAAGACATGGAATCCGTTCGTGATGCTAAGATGAAGGAAATCGAGGAGAAAGAGAAGGCTAGTCGTGGAGGCACAATGAATGCATTGATGATGGCTGGAGCTTTGGTAGATGATACTTTGCCGAACGGGGGACGAACTCGTGATACCGCAGCTACCAAGTCTGATGCATCTGGCAAACCGACAATCGAGGTCGATGACAAAGACAAGCTGAATGAACCTTCGGACCAAAAGGTACAGCTTCTAACCTGTCTTCTGACAATCGGAGCAATTCCCGAATCTCTGTTCATTCTTGGGCGATTTCCTTGGCTGCCAGAAGCATACCCGGAACTTCTCGATTTGATACATCGTATCTTAAATCATTCCATTCAGCATGTTTTCGATTTAAGTCGACCATCTACTTCAGCAGTACCAGACTGCCCAAGTAAGAAGGTTCTAGATCCCGACCAAACCGGTATGCCCAAGGGCTCCATTCGTTTACTCGCACTGCCTCCTCGGAAACAATTGCGATGGCCTTTCCCAGATAAATTTGACACAAATGACAACAATGCATATAGATTCTACTGGGATGAGTGGGCAGATAATGTGCCTGTCTGCCAGACCGTGGATGATATATTCACTCTTTGCGGATCTTTACTTAACTATTCTGGTGTTAATATTGGCAAAGACGCTAGTTTACTGTCAAAGCTGGCCAGGATTGGTACACAAAGTCTTGCAGAAGATCGTTCAACGCAAAATTTTGACCGATGGCAAGATCTGCTCAAGCGTCTCCTTGTTCCAGCACTGAGCTTAACTAAAGCGAATACAAGTATTGTCAATGAAGTGTACGGTATGCTTCGCTTTTATCCTCTATCTATCAGATATTCCATCTACGCAGAGTGGTTTGAGGGCCAGATCTCTCGATTGCCACCGATGAGAGCTGCATTCGCCAAAACCAAATCCGAGACAATTAGCACCATGAAAAGAATTAGTATGACCAATCTTACTGTGATGGCACGAGCTCTGGCCAAGATTGCCTATGCATCGCCGGGCATAGTATTTAGTGTGGCTCTGGGCCAAATCGAAGCATACACCAATCTTACGGAAGTTGTTGTGGAGTGTGGTAAATACTTCACTGACTTAGGATACGACGTTCTCGTTTGGTCGCTATTGAGTTCACTAGGAGGAAAGGACAGGAATAGAAACGATGCCGAATTCGCACTCCTCCCAAGTAGATGGCTTCTAGCACTGTCAAGGTTCTCTGGCAAAGTCTTTAGGCGATATTCTATAATGAACTTAATTCCCCTTATCCAGTACGTTAATGATCAACTTCACCGAGGAAACTCTACCGACTTGGTCATTCTTAAGGAACTCATCTCACAAATGTCTGGAATTGTGCCCGACACCGATTTTACCGATTCTCAACTCGCTGCCATGACTGGAGGCGAGCTTCTAAGGCGCCAGACATTAATCAACCTCCAAGATAAACGTTACGAATCTCTGAAGACAGCAAAGCGACTTATGAGAGGTTTGACTGACACCAAGTTGGGAGGTCAACTTTTGCTGTCCATTGCACAGCACAGACAATCGGCCATCTATAATGTCTCGGATGATGAAGCTCCTATCAAACTGTTAGCTACAATGATTGATGATACTCAAATGATTCTCTTCCAATATCTCGATCTTCTTCGCAGCAACCTTTCAATTGAGGAGTTCGATGATCTCGTCCCAGGAATCTCCGAACTCATGAAAGATTTTGGCTTAGACCCAACACTTGCCTTCATGATCGGTCGTCCAAGTATCTCACATCGCGTCAGCAAGTTACTATCCTCAAATGTCAATGGAAACTCGAAGTCTTCACCATCATTGGTGGAGGCTGTAGCCACAGAGGTAGATGTAGAAGGTGATGTGGGTATGAACGGCGATGATCCAAACCCTGCGGACAAGGAATCGATAGCAGTGAATGAAGCATCTACCCCGCAGGACGACGTACAGATGTCAGATGTAAAGGGAGAAGATTCGTCATTGGAAACAACAGCAACAGAAACAGATTCGCTTCATGATCTACTGCATCCGTATATCACTACTGTTGAGGAGGTCCTGCCTGAAGGCTCTTGGGCATTTCTCACTTCTGAATTCTACGTCGTATTCTGGAGCTCTACATTAAGCGACCTGGCTATTCCTAGTCATAGCTACGAAGCCGAAATTTCCCGTCTGCTAAAAGAACAAGGCGATGTAATGAAGGACCGTTCAGACATGAGTAGGGCCGGAATGGCAAGAAAAGAAGAAACTAAAAAGGCTCTGGCAACAACCAGGGAAAATTTGCTGGCAGAGTTTGGCAAACAAGTCGGGGCTTTCTCAGGAAAGAAGAGCCGTCTGCTAAAACGCAAAAACTTATGGTTTAGCAATGTGAAGGGCGATTTAGTTAGCGACTCCTTTCTTGAAAGATGCTTGTTTCCACGATTACTGCTCTCTCCAAGTGATGCAGACTTCTCCTTCCGGATGATTAAGTTCTTACACGAGAATGGTACACCCAACTTCCGCACCCTTTCGCTATATTCCAGGCTTTTCAGATCAAATCGCTTGAGGTCAATGATCTTTACATCTACTGTTCGTGAGGCGGAGAACTTGGGTCGTTTTTTGAGACTGGTATTGACGGATCTGGCACGCTGGCATGGAGATCAGGGAGTATACGAAAAAGAAGCATGGGGAGCAAGCAAGAATCTTCCAGGTTTTGCTAAGGCTATTGATGCAGATGGGACCGTAAAGGGCCTCCTTGAGCATGACGGTGACCGTGGTTTCAAAAATATTCTGTACTCGTGGCACCAAAAGCTAAATGTGGCACTGCGTGAATGTTTCGATGGAACGGAATGGATGCATGTTCGAAACGCTATGACTATTCTTAAATCCGTTGTCGATGTGTTCCCAGCGGTTAACTTCATGGGCAACAGTTTTGTAAAGCAGCTCGAAACAATTGTTACTCGAGAGAAGGGTGCACGGGAGGATCTTTCTCTTGCTGGTAATGCCATCTTGGTGCAGCTAAAGAAGAAGTCCAAGTCATGGGTGATGGTTCAAGCCTTTGGTTATAGCCTGGTAAGTGAAAACGAAACCTGAAATCGAATAAGACTAACCACCTATAGGAGGCCCCTGTGCAAGCTAATAACAGCCCCTCACTAGATGCCTCTAAGCAAGGACCTGCTGCCAAAACAACTTTGAAGCCCACAGCTCCTGAGTTCAAACCCCAATCTCGAGCTAAGTCAGTGTCCATACCTCAATCTACATACCTTAACCTAACTTTTATTAGCTCTACGGGAGCTTCTACCCCCAAGAACTTCACCGCTGAGGTCGAAGATGGTGAAGTTGATGATGCAAAACTGGCTTCTGCAGCTGGCAATGGCAATATGTTGAAGGAGGCGTCTGATAACTCTAGTATCAAGGACAAAGCATCACCCGCACCCGGTGAAGGGAGGAAGTCCGAAATATTACTAAGACGCGAGAGAATCCTGCGTGAAAATGCTGCTAGAGCTTCGGCCCCAAATTCAGCACCTGCTAACATACCTGCAAGACCTGAATTGCAGAGAAACATGCCAGCAAATCATAATCTACCCAATAGGCCTGATGCCCCCATCCCTGGTCGCCAAATGATGGATCGTCATCCCGCTAGGAATGACGATAGACGAGACATGAGAGATCCCAGAGTTACAGAGCTGGTCCGGGATCGAACCAGGGATCGCGGTCGTGACTTTCCCCCAGGCGACAGGAGGGGTATGGATACCCCACCTAGAGATTTCAGAAACAGCGATCGTGCATCAAACAATGAACGTGAACGTCCCCGAGCTGATTCGAATCCAAGATGGAACAATGAATCAGGAAGAGATACTACGGATCGGGCTTCATCCAATGGGTACCGTACTCCAGACAATGGCGGTCGCTTGTCTCGTGAAGCAGCAATTTCCCCACCGAAAGCATCGTCTACATCAGATCGTGGTCCAGCAATCAATCCCGATAGATTAGCACTAGTGAACCCAGATAGACAAGAGTTAATCAATCCTGAGCGGGCCGCTCTGATATCCGGTGGTAATGAGCCACCACGCGCTGATTCTCCTCGTCGACCCAGAGATGACACTAGAGAGCGCCCTTCGAGGCAAAATTCACCACCTCCAAGACGACATGATTCCGAAAAGGATCATCAACATCCAAGGCGCGATGACAGATCGAATCGAAACACACCTATGGATCCACAAAATACTTCAAGAGGTCGTGCTGACGACATTGCACCACCACCAGCTGGTCCAAGGGGAGAGAGGCCAGCTGATCGAGCGAGCGACCGAGTCCCTCCTCAAGATAGATTAAGGGATAATCCGTCCTTCCAACAATCCCAACCTCCTACCCGTCCTGTGGACCCTGATCACGGCAGACTGAATAGATCACAAGTAGATCCTAACTTTGGTCGCTTGAATCAGCAACCAGACATCCCATCTGGGCCTCGTGATAGAAATCGTGGCAATAATAGGATGGCGAGCGCACCGCAAGGGCGACGTGATGGAAGATTGGCCAATGCTCCTGTACTTGACATTCCTCGGCCACCAAGTCCAGATAAACAACCTCCCACAGGTCCTTCTGGTGGACGGCATCCGCGACGCTTAGGCCCAGGTCAGATTGAAGCAACTGCATCCGTACACACTACAGTACCTACGACTTCCGCTGCATCGACTCCAACATCAGGAGTCCATCCAGATCGATTGAAACACTTGGGTCCACAAGCCACTCAGCCACCTATGCAAGCACCGCCGGCTGCTACCGCCGCTCCTAGCGGTATGCATCCAGATAGAGTAAGGAGCTTTGGCGGCCAAGCAGCCGCGACGAACATCCCACCTTCCCATCAAGACAGTGCGCGCTCAAGGCCAACTGCACCACCTCTTCAAACACAAGTTGCTCCCCTTGGCCCCAAATCCCAGGCTCAAAACAGTCCTGTTTCTCGGATGAATGGTGCACCAACCGGACCTGCATCATCAAATGAGCGTCCACCACGTGGTGCAAGACAGCCGAATTTAATCAACAATATCAACCGTATGCTTGAAGAGACCAAGCATCCGCAAGGTCAAGAACGTCGTGGAAGACGTCAAGGAGGTCAACCTCAAACTCCAATTTCTGGTCCCCCTACACCGATTCTCCCGCCTCCACCTCCTCCTCCACCAGGTCCGCCACCCGCACAAGCTAGGGATTCTGGAAGAGACTTGATCAATCCTGCTCGTGCTGATTTAATTGGAAATCCCGCATCGAGCAATGACGATCGCGATCGTGGTGATCGAGGAGGACGTGGTTCGAGGAATGATCGATCTACGCGCAGTCGTCGAACTTCACCTAGCGACCGGAATAGAGAGCAGAAGCGTAGTGGCCCTCCGGAAGATGAACGCTCATCCAGGAGTGAACACAGGATTCGCGGAGGTGATAGAGAGTCCAGAGATTCCGACAGGCATTCCAGAGGGGATCCTTCTGCTAGCAGGGACTTGATAGCCGGCGGTGGAAGAGGAGAAAGAGAGCATCGCGATAGAGATAGTAGTCGTCGAGACGCGCATGGTGGAGATCGTGATCCTCAACGTGATCAGCATGATGGCAATATTGGTGGTGGTAACTGGCCAAATCCCCCTGATAACAGAGGAGTGGATAGGGGAGGAGACCGACGGAACCAACGATCGGACAGATCTGATAGAAGTGAACGCGATGGACGGGGTGTGCGAGAAGATGGAGGTAGTGGCAGGAAGAGAAGAAGCGATCAAGATAGCATGAGGGAAGGTGGTCATGACAAAAGACCGAGGAGATAGAGGAGTTGAATTCTGAAATTTCGACTGCCGTAGGAAAGAAAGAGCATTGTAAAATGTAAGAATATTCGAGGGATGTTTCACACGGTCAAACATGCATAGTATTAGGCGTTTTTCATACAAAAACTTGTTTCTTTAACTCATCTTCTCTTCTTTCTCTTGTTAATATTAGCAAGTCTATGATATATGAGGCATTTTATCATCTAATGAATCTTCTTCTCGTCTGTGTATAATTTAGGGGGTGGTGAGACGAGGTGAAGAATATATAATTGTCTAGATCATCGTTTCAGAAGCCAAGATTTATCTGACCTGATAAAGTCCTTCTATCTCATGGCCACCCGATTCCAACAGAGTAGCATTTGTGCTCTCGGTAGTTGGCTTGACGATCCCCATCTTCCGCTGCTTCAGGAAATTCCATTTAGAAGTTTTGACATGACGGGCATGCAGATACATGACTGTTTCTGCCAAATACTTTGGTAATGGTTCGCCCCGCTATCTTCATAAGAGCTCCGTTTCTCGAGATCTTTGTCATGACTTGAGGCAATGTTATCAATATCAACTCGACACATACGCAGAATAGTGGAGAAGTTAGCATCGTAGGAAACCCCATTTAATAATATCGATGCGCGACATATGACAACCGCCAGAGCCGCAAACGATATTTGAAGACCGTAACCTAGCTGTAGAGTCCTGGGGTCATAAAAGTAGGTGTTCCCGTAAATTTGAAATGTTACATTCCACGATAAAGAACTGGCACTGGGCCATGTAATATCAGACTTGTGATTTGTATGTTGAACTGTATATGATTGTTGGAGCTGAATAGAAGGAACTGAAGATATGTTTCGATAAGTATACTCATGGTGATACCCTCGAATAGCCGCTCTAAAGCATCAACAAGGTGCCCGCGAGGTTGAAAAAGAGAATCTTTGTAAAAGAAATCGGCTGAGCTAATCAAGGTAGCGATCTGTAGTGGTTGATTCCCGAGAAATTGTAGTTCAATGGTATCCATTAGAACTGTCTGGGTGATGGATGAATTTGACACTTCAGATTCGAAGACAATCGACCCAAAAAGTAAATTGTTGAATGCGTCCTTGACGCTCTGATAAAGAACCCTTTGGGCTCCAATTTCATTGTAACATGTACAAATATTGTAGTTTGAAGTTCTGCAAGGATTATCGGTCGAAGTCTCATCAAACGTTATCGGGTATGAGAAGTTTGTTTCTGGTGAGATTGCGATAGCCTGTGTGGCCACGTCTTTCGATACAGCAATCGTTTGCCGGCCATTCGTGTATTGAAAATCTAAATTTTATGAAGAATTCAACAGATCACATCTGATTATTGTCATATTGACAAAGATCTGCGACCAGCCACCTTTAGAAATAATCGAGGCATTGCTCCACTTATTCGCAGAGATCTCGACGAGTGGATCAGAGTCGTTGGTGAAAGCCAGGAACGAAGCTAGTGGATTGACCTTTCATAGGGTGAAATCGTTTAGAGTCATACTGCCACTCATATTATAAAATGGAAGTGTTTCGTTCGGGGCACGAACACCCCATGAGAAATATGTCAAAGGGGAAGAGACGTAATTCTCGAGAGTAAATGTTCGATCTGGCTCAACAACAATCTCACAATGCACCAATGGACCCCGGAAATCTATTGACCAGCTTGCATTAAGACGCTCGATGGCGGGTGTAATGGTCAGGATCTTCCCTTGTGCAGCGGTCGCGGCAGCAATCTGGTGCACCAGTTTTCGAAGGCCCTTGGTACTTAAAATAATTTGTCTATGCTCCTGAAAACTTAACAAAATTGGGGTTTACAAAATTGAGTTGGGGTACCTGTCTTGATTCAGTGTTATTGGGTGTGATAGGCGCAGATTGGATGCTAAGCGTGCTGGGAGTAAAGATGGAGGGGATTGGGATCATCCTGTGAGAATTCAAAATCAGTTTCAATAACATGTGGTAGAAAGAACTCCCGCTAGGATGCTCACCAAAAGATTGCAGCCATAGGAAATAATAGTGCTTGAAGCCGCCAGACTGATACGCTAAATAGTCCTAATATGTCCTGTAGAACAGAAAAGGCGATATCAATATCTGCGAGTTTGGCACCAGTTTTAGCTGTTGTCAACGCTCGCCAAAGAACCTGCATGTATGAGACTATGATCGACAAAGCAAGCATTGATTGCACAAGAAAAGCGAGCGTGTTTTCAATCGCAATGCTAAATTGTTGCTTTGATACTATTTTGATAATGGATTGATACGATGCCAAGGTGCCATTGAGATGACTATAAAAGAGGTGGTGAACGATTGCCAGAAGAACACCAGTGAAGAAGGATTAGATTATAGTTAGAGAATTGACCCAATAGATCTTGTTTCGAGTCATTGTCAGCACCATTGTGTGGTAACACAGCTATCTTAAAAGTAGATGGAGCTCTCCAAAGACCTGGTCGTGGGCACCAATATCAGTAGTCTGAAACCAAAGTAACTATCCGCCTTGAACTCTGTTTGCTTGCATTTTTGTTGTTGTTAAGATCCGAGAAAAGGAGTACTTAATTCACGCAGCGAAGAAGAGAGAAGACTTGTACCCCTATCTGGTGATTTCGACGCACAACGACTGAAGCTGTGTCAGATATATCTAAAAGAATACGGATGATCAACATAGAAGGAAACCCATCTTTTCAACTCTTGTACGTTGCTACAGACCGTAAAGAATGCCCCCAAGATAGCCCCAAAATCGAGACGAGAAACGGTGTATATGCACTTTGCCGCAACCACATTCAATCCTACGAGTTTTATTTTTTCCGGTCATACGAGATACTTTCACACTTCAGATCATCCTCAAATGAGACCTTGCAACGAGTGGCATTGAAATGTCACGAAGGCCGCATCAATTTGATTGGAAAGGAACCAACGCCAGCCCATTGTACATCTGGCGGTTGACCTCCTTCCAAAACTTTATATGGCCTTGCCATGAAGTCTATATACAACAAACTTTTGACAGCTTACATACTCAAAAGCTATTTTTATTGCAATCATGACATGTGGAATCACATCAAGTGAACCTTTTGTTTGAAAGGAATAGTAACCTTGATATATCCTACAACAGTCATAACCGGCTATAGCAATGTAGAGGTAGGTAGTGTGCACTTTGGTTCTTTGCATTCGACATGTGCCAAACTATCGGCTCATTTCAGAGCATAATCGAGAGAGGTATGTATAGAAGTATTTACGAGGTCAACGACAACACATCGGTAGAGTCAATGATGGATGTTAAATTCACCCCTTGGGCGACCACGTCGGCTGTACTAAAGTGGAATTGAAATATAGTGTCGAGAAAACCATCCAATGGATGCATGATGCACCCCCCGAGTTGACATCTTTTCGGAGATGTTGCGATCAGTCACGTGATACGTACTACACTTGATGGTATCCGGGTACCGTACTCCGTACCCACAAGTCTCATCCAACGCCTGATGATACCTATGAAACTCATGAGGCTATAATTCATGTCGACATCGTCTTGTCTTATATCTGAGCTCTTCCAGAAACCATCAATTTATAGTTTTGTCAATGCGCATGGTATGATACGGTAAGTCCTGAGCACTCAGTAAGTCACTTGGCAGAGTTATTCACAACACCACGCGCTTTGAACCGTCGCATTTTACCATTGAATAGGCTTATCGGCGCGAGTTCCTGTTTACCGTGCCAACCTTGTTCTTCAATGTGAAACGAAACGTCTATGAGTAGGTATTGAGATCTTGATGAATTACTTTCGCGCTCTTTTGAGTCTTTGTTCGCCTATCATGAGGCAATGGCGTACCGTCTCAGAAGCCCCAGTCACATTAGCATATTTCTCTTGATTGTGCTTGTTTGCGTTTACATATATGATAAGCAGTCTACGAATTTACGATCGTCAATCCTTCAGTTTTCGGTCAATGAGCAGAAGCCTTCTGCAGACATCCTCCAGTCACTTTCACTGTCAGAGGACCAATGCCGCGCAGCTTTCCCAGGCTTGACGAAAGAAATCGATGATGCAGTGGCTCGAGGACCATTTCCTCTGAAGAGACAGCCAGACCACCATACTGGGCTTGTGCAAGGGAGAATAAAGGATGGAAAGGTTCTTTTTGACCATTAAATCATCTATCTTACAAACTATGTTGACTGATAAATCCAGGTATTCATCATTTCGGCGGACCCGAATCCCTCCCGGAACATGCTCCAGGTCTGTCACCTCTTTCAGGTAATTGTCACAAGATTCTGATTTCTATATCACAGGAGCGAACTTCAGTCTTGCACCAAATCCACCGTGCAATTGCTACTTCTCCCTCGCCTCTCCCGAACACTATTTTCGCCTTCAATATACTCGATACTCCAATGAATAACTCATGGACATTCTCAAGATCGAACGACCCTAAAATCAAAAACGGAAATTACTGGGTTATGCCGCACTTTAGTTTCTGGTCGTGGCCGGTTTCCTTTATTGGAACCATCGATCAAGCGATGTCGAAGATTGATCGTATAGAGATGGATAAACATTGGACCGAGAAAATTGACAAAGCGGTATGGAGAGGAACGGGATGGTTCAATACCGTCGGAAACAAGGACTCTCGACCAAGCTTGGTTCTCAAGGGTAAAGATAAAGAATGGGCAGATATAGAAGCTCTTAATTGGACCACAAACGGCGATAGTGCCGAAAATGCTATCGGAATAGAGGATTTTTGCAAGTATAAGTATATTGTTTACACTGAGGGCATAACCTACTCTGGGCGTCTACTTTTCCATCAGGCATGCGCTTCCGTTATTCTCACACCACCACCGACCTATTTACTTCACCAAACACACTTTATGCGTCCCATATTCTCAAAAACATTCCTCCCGACACGTGAAGTGTCTGCCAAATTTGAATATGACTGGACAACTCGTTGGCCCAACACCTATGGACTAAGTGAAGCGAACATTATATTCGTTGAACCCGACTGGTCAGACCTCGAGGAAACGATTATGTACTTGCGAAACCGTCCTGAGATAGCTACTGGTATTGCCGAAAGACAAAGGCAACTGTTCACAAGATACTTGTCCCCAGCCTCTGAGACTTGTTACTGGAGAGCTCTCATACGTGGTTGGAGTAAAGTTGCTGAACCTTATTATGAAGATGGTGGTTGGGCTAGGTGGGATGCAGAAGGTGTTGAAGATGGCGAAGGAATGAGGTGGGAGACATTCAGTCTACTTGGTAAAGTACCCCAGAACTGAAACTCATTCGCGGAAAAGGGAATCTCTGTTTCGGGATCAGGTGTATCCTATTTCATGTAGACAAAATCCTATCATTTTACGATTCACGCTACCGTTTATCATTCTGGTTTCCTATAACAGTTCCGAAAAGAAAAACTTACCATTTCTGCACAATTCATACGCTCGTGGTCTCGACCTCTAATTTTGTCACTCATGTATTGTGATTACGATCGCCCAGCTTTTTGGAATTGCATGTGGCGAACGATTCTTAAAGATTTCCATTTTGAAAAGTCGAACACTTCGATCATGAAAGAAGCGGAGACTACAATGAGAGAACCAGTTTACATTTCATGAGTGTATGAGTCTTGATCTCAGATCAGGGCACGCACCAAGGAACACTTACGTTATTCAATGCAATTGCACGCGCTAAATATTGACAGCGGAATCAATTACCTGAAGAATCGTTCCCCGGAAATTTGATAGAAGGAATCAATGAAGATGCAGTCACTAAAACTTTTGGCACCCGGATGTTCAGGATGCTGACGTGCACATACAATCCATATAATCACAATGTTGACAATTCAATGATGCGAGCAGTCTTGATATTCATATTCACTCCTTTTTTTTGCAACTAGAAATTGCTCATAGCAAAGGTGCCCATAGTCACAATGACTATTATTGCCGCACCTAGCATACATATCCACGTCTGGTTCTCCCAAATTTCCTTGTCGATCCCGCCATAGAATAACACTCATATTGTCTCGAGGCTACAGACGAAAATACGACACAACACAGCTTCTACCAAGACGGATGTCCGATCACTATGAATAGCTTAGATGCCAGCACTTGTGTACAATATCTCTCAGCCATGTCTGACTACTCTTCAAATGCTTTGGCGCCATTGGTTTATGTCTTCGTCGTTGCTTGCAGTGTACTTTTTGCTTTCTTTTTGAGCGAGCATCCACGAAAAACTACTATATAAAAACGAGCAGACATAGCAAGCACGACGATTGTGATTGATTCGAGTTCAAGGGAAAGTTCCCTGTAGTGGTACCATGCTCACCCAGCGACGATTTACCAGAAGGAGTTTGCAATATTTCCTTGCGACAACTATTAGGCTCTGTCAGGTAGCAAGACCATACTGACTGACTTTCGTTGTCACTCTGTATATCAATTCCATGCGTGTTCTTCTTCCTTCAAGTCGATGATATCATATCGAATATCCTGCCATAGCCATATACCCTGTTCAATGAGTAATTTGTCAATTTTACTCACTGTAATCATTGTGATTTTGCGGCAGTTGTTAATCAGAACTTGCCGCATGAGACATATTGAATGTCTGACACAAACTGGCACCCGGTCTGCAGAAAATTGACCATGTTGATAACCCAAGCGAGACCCAGGAGGACTTTAACAGGTTCGAGATTTTATGAAATAAAGTCCCGAATCCTGTGCGCTGCTAGAGTTGTTCAAAGCGTTATGGGAGTTCCGACTCGCGACATAAAATCACACAATACTTTATCACGTTTCAGATTCTGCTTTTATCCACCAAACTCGCATTCTTACGACACGGCAATGGCCTTCAAACTTAATCTTTTCGGCACTCCTCTTTTTCTGCCTCGTCACATCGTCAGTCGATACAGTCATCCTTACTATTTCTCCCTGTCCGCTTCCGTGCACTCTAGGTTTTCAAGGAGAAGATACTGGCACTGCGAACTCTACTATGACAAAGAGGTTTGCTAACGATGTACGAATGGCATTGCGCCGAGGACTTCGTGTCAAAACAAATGATATCCCGTTCATTCACCCAAAAATTATACGGGACACTAATTTATTTGTAGCTTGGATATGATGATCACAATTGTTAGTTTCAAGTATCAGCGAGCATGAGGGCAATGACTGCTGCAAATTTCGATGTTATACTATGAAATTAATGATAGTTCTTGAGCACGAAGCTCTGCATACTTAGAAAATCCAAATCACTACATAAATATTCCTTCTTTCTGGACCAGTTGCATGGTTATTTATTCCAATAATCCGATCATTGAAGTCAAAATGATCTTTCACCTGGTGTTCGTTGCGTGAATACATTGTTGATCATAAGTTCCCAAGGCTTTACTAGCTTATGACATCTGATCTGTCAACTGCCCATCCAAAAGTATCTTTTTGTGCCGTGGAACTTAATTTAGGAAAACAGGTAAACATATAGAATACCCAGAGAGTGAGATGAAGACAGAGAAAATGAAACGTCCGTTCCGCCTCCATGTGATGTCACATTGCTGCCATCTCAATATAAACGATTTAGCTTAGATCGCAACCACCAAAGTGGATATCGTTATTAGCAATCATCTCTACCTGACTAGCCATGGTACCATCACCAGCTTTAGCTTTCAACCAAATGTGTTTGCTGAACAAGACTTTCGCTGTTTTTCCGGGAACAACGAATGACTCGGTGGTTTCTCCTTCTTGGTATTCAGTAAAAGATTTCGAAGTAGTTTGCGTGAACTGGTAATTGAGTGTAACACTACTTTCGAAACCTTTAATACCATAAGAAGCCGAGACAGAAACTCCAGCTGAGTGCACCATCTCTTCGCTTTGAGTCTTGCTTATTCCCCATTTGATGGTCTTTGAACGGTTGAAGTCACCTGCGCTGTCATTGTTCCATACCCCCTCAACATTCCACGCAATTTCTCGAGTGACAGTATAGAAAGGCTTAGAGATCCTAGCAAGATTCCAAGCGCTGTCGTTCGGAAGATAAAATATGAAAGGCAATACCACAGAGCACTGTTCTTGCTGGCCAAATTGGTCGCCAGTGCTAGGGATGGTTGTTTTCGTAACAGTCGGTAAAGCAAAGTCGAATCTTTTAAAAGCATTGGGAACCCGCAGAAGCGGCACGACTGCATAACTCGTATCGGGTCTGCCATAGTTTGGCGAGACACGGAAAGTGTAAGGAGGTATAGGAAGATATTCGGAGCCATCGATACCATTAGTTTCGGTGACAATCTTCCATGTTGAGCAATTGCGGTCTGCTCCAGATGATCCGTCATTCCAAAAGTCGCTAGCCTCATAGGTAGACAGCCGGGTAAGATCTGAGCGCAAGCACCAGACATCGTTAACGCTAGGCTGTTTTCCGTACCCTGAAGCCATGACATCCCCCATTGCTACATATCCAGACGGAGCTACAGGTCGCCACATGGTACCATCATTATCTCCGCCAGAGCCACCGTCGCTCCACATGTTCGTGTAGCTCGTTGGTCTCGCAACTGCTGGGGAAACTCCAGCAGGTGCGTTGGGACTTGGCCCGACGAGTAGCACAGACTTTTTCCCTGTAATCTCGCCGTAGGCGGGATTGCCGTAACTTCCTAGTGCGCACAAATTCCCTTGAGCGCGTGGGTGAAAGAATGTCCCGTTTCTTTTACCACCACTACCAGAGTCACTCCAACGCCAGTCGAAAGTAGAAGTCATGGTGACTCTTAAGCCGTTGTAGTCCCAAGTTGCGTTCGTCATTTTGAATGACTTAAAGATGTATGTCGGGAATGTGTGAGTGTTTTGAATAGGTTATAATGATTTGATGAGAGAGGAGAGCTGTGTCTTTTTGGTGATAGTTGATGCTATGAGAGGGACTTCTTCGACTTATTTATAATGAGGGATCTTCACCTACATACAACCACGAGGACACGATAACATTCAATAGGCCACGTTCAACCTCGTTTTTAACCAATAGTTCGATGGCGGCATGGACTTCTCCGTTATTTTGTCTATGATTAACTGACTCGTTCATTTCAAGAAGATCAACACTTGATTTGACATTGGACGACAGTTCGTCAAGTCAGTATCTAGAAGAAAGAATGTTGTGCTCGCGAAAATGGCAGATAATACACAACATTTGTCTTAAAGCCAATTATGTTGAAAACAGTTATCGCTGCCTCTGCATAAGGAGACATAAAAGGCAATCGTATCCTATCGGGAATTTATATGTGTAATTGCAAAGCCTGAAATCTCCTCTTTGTCCCGATCAGACTACGAGCATATTTCGTGTAAAGGGCCAAGAGAACATCTCATAGGTAACCAGAAGACTGTGCGACTAAGCCCTCGAAATATCTCCAAGTGCAATTTTCCCATTAAGAATAACCGTAACTCGGCCATGATTCAGACAGAGTTCCATTTGTATTCAGCGACATACAAAGCTGAGATTGTGACGAGAATGCTATTGGAAAGCTATGAATTTAGAAGGTGTTGTTTACCAACAAACCGCACAATCTTGCCACCTAATGCCCTTGGCACATACTAATCCCGCAACAGGTGACAATCTACTGCTTGTTGTATCAAAGTAAGCACACATAAGAATTGCACAGATATGCAACTATGCAGAGATATCAAATTCAAATCGATCTTCAAAGAATGGTTAGCAGGCAGAAGAACGCCCGGTCCTCTCTAGTACTGCAGTGTGGCTTCAAAGTATGACTTTAAATCGCAGATCGTTCAACTAGAGGAAGCACTTGAAAGATCAGAATGCTATGCGAAGGGATGAATGAAGAAGCCAAGACACTGTAGTATGTTGGTAGATGAAGAGAAAACGGCCCACTTTTGATCGCGAGACACTGCAGTATAAATCCAATACATATGTGTGAATTGCAGAACCATCTATGTAGAGGATCACGCGGAAGATCATAAGGCCAGCTGAAGAAGATTAATTAAGAAGCCAAGAGACTCTAGCGATGTGGTAGAGCAAATATAGGAAGTTAGAATGATGAGGGGAAAGTTTTTCAGTGCGGATAATATTTTGGAATTCGTTTGAATCTGGGCCGCTTTCCGCAATAAGCGAAGCTGCTGAAGCATTCTGCACCGTGATTTGCTATCACACACTGAATATACTCCTACGTCGTGCTTTTGTTGACGTGGGTGGGTCGGCGGGGAAATCTTAAGTTACATCGGCTCATTACGCCGCTTATAACTAGCTACGATGCTACATAGAAATGTAGCCTGGTCGAGCCGATTGGCCTGAAACTAGAATCGAATCAGATGTAACAGATCGTGTGAAGCTGCTTCTTCTTTTTTGGCATTAGTCAAAAGTACGGCCTTCCTAATATGGAAGCGAATGCAGCACAACTTACATGATCCAAATTAAATATCGAAGGTTGAACCAGATTTCAACTTTATTAACCCCTGGAATCTAATCTTGAGCGCCTCCCAGATTGAAGAAAAAACAGATTCGCTGAAAATAGTACAAATATAAGAGATTTCATACTCTGACCTTCCCTTCAAAAATTAAGAATGATGCTATAAATGCTACATCATACGATTGTTGCATGCGCATTGGTACGTTGAGTTTCTGATCAGTGTACGTTCTATCAATAAGCGTTTTTTGAGTGGGTCATTTCGTCGAGGTTATACCCATCTTCATAGTATTTATCATTTCAGACCTGTCCCGCTGAGTCTTCATCTCAATTATTACCTTTCTCAAAATCATATCTTGTTAAAATATGCCCCAAGCAGTGTGTATAATACGGTGATACATTTCAGCTTTAATCAAGGGGAGGTCCACATAACAAGATGACAGCTTGCCCTGCACGACATAAAAGTCTATATGACATACTCACTATACATTTATCCATTTCAGCCCTTTTGCCTTTTTAGTGTTACATCCACTTCATCTTGTAGATCAATTGCACAACGGTACCCATGGGCCGGATAATGCATCCGACAAGCCATCTGCAGATGATCTATCGGCAGGATCAGTAATCTTAAGATTCAAACATCTAACTTGTTAATAATTTGAAAATCATCTGCATCTGCGTCATATACTCAAAAATAATTGACTAGTCTGCAAATAATATTTAATGCTCACAATGAAGGGAGCAGGCCAGTGAAAGGCGTGCACTATTGACTATGTGGATTAACTATTGCAAACTAGAATTAAACTACGAGGCGGGAGTGGTTTAAACGTCCAACGCTAGTGCTCGTGCTTTTAAACTTCCAAGATGCAAGTTATCTACACTCGCTTAAATTTGAAGCTATTCCCACGTCATTTTGCAGTCAAAGTGTAGGCCAAGCTTAGATTCAAATTAGATTTATACTAGCCCTAGAATTGTACTTGAACAATGTTAGTTTACATTACATTATAACGATGTCATATGTCTATACTGTATCAATGCAAGCAGTCTACCTATAACAACCCGATAATTCTAGAACCCTGATGGATATCCGCGGGGCTGATAGAATAATGAATTACCCGCAAAGTGGATTATCTGCAAATTACCCATAGGTACAGAAAGCTTATTTACAGCCTACTTTATAATCGATCTCATGTGCTTTACCTCAAAAAGAACCCCAATTGGTACATCTGAAAAGCTTTCCGGATTGAATTTTCTGGTTTACAACTATGACCCATTGAGCTGCATCTTGTTCGGCTGCATCTAGTTCTCGGAATGATTGATATTTTGCCTAAGAGTTTTCGAAATCTGGAATGTCATTTTTGGGGTCGAGACGAGGAAGACAAAGCTCCAGTATGTCGTGATATGACTCTAGAATAATAACGCACGTAGAGAGTAGATAGAGTAGGTAGATTGTAGATTATACAGTATGCAGCACATTTTCGGGTCGTAAGCAGGAAGGATTGGTTGAATAAGGATTTTGATTTGGGGAAGTTTTCTATACAGGTTTCAGGACGTGTCATAAACCGCTGGAATACAATGAAATCTCCAGTGGCCATACATCAATTAAAAATTAAATCAAAGTTTGTAGCCGGCTAAGCTTCTGCTGATCGATTTGAGTGTGATGAGACTGCAGCGAGCTGAAGTCGATTCAGCTACTTACAATTTAAAACTAAGGAGAAAAGAGGAGAGAGAGAGAAGAGAATGTGGAAGATCCTTCTTTAGACTAGAACTAATTTATCGAGAATTCCCATGTTCACCTCAGCGCTTTATCAAATAATTAATGAGTATCTCATTCTCAATTAATTACAATTTAGAACCTGCTCTCTACATACAAATCACGAAAATAGATAACACAGGTATAGTAAATGCAAGTTGAGGGCTTGAATCGAGCTCAAAATTCGAACAAGCATGGAAAATTACTTTGATCTATTCCTCTTTCGTTTTGATCTACTCCCTCATTTCGTATTGGTTCAGTGCAGGTGATATTTTTGTGGGTGTGCTAACTTCGAAGTCATATGATAAAACCTATCGTACCATTTCATTGCTATGAGCGTACCTAGACAATCGAAGAATGGTAACGAGGTTTATCGTCAACACCAGAATTAATAAGGTGAGGTGGCTTCATCCCTCATTCTCTTGCAAGAAAAAAAGAAAAAAAGGTAGAATCTGATGATCATTACCCCTCTTTCCATATTTGGATAGATGTGTTGGTCGGCGTGCCCTATCATATCCCTGTACAGACCATTTGACATGGTACACTCAATATCACACCGAATGCCACATCACCTCACGCTAAAAATCGTCTCCTCATCAATTTATAAACTCCAGACCCTCATGTAAAGGTATACGAGAAGTACAGCCCTGGAATTCTACAGCTAAAATGGATCTCGAAATGAAGAAGCAGAATGATGCCATCAGAGCATCTCTAGCAGAACTCACTCTCACAGTCGAGAAGCATATTTCCGCCTGTGAAGAAAGTGTGGCACACAGCAGCACCTTCAATGCTACAACTGTGACGAAGACTCATGTAGAACTGATGGATGCTGCAAGGAAGATGAAAAGTGATGTTTATGGACCAGTGAACAATATTGCATCGCATTATGAAGAGGTATATAGCCTATCCATGTATTGAGTGATATGTCAAAACTGATTAAAATGCAACAGTTCATACACTCAGGATGTTTGAGGGCATTGCTAGAAGCAGGCGTTTTCGACAAGTTACCATTGGATGGAAAAGGAATGTCTGCTTCGGAATTGGCTCAAAAGACTAATATGGAAGAGGCACTGTTAAGTATGTCTGAATGGAGAAATATCATACAATGAGTGAATCGATCTAACATATCTATGTTACAGTTCGAATGATGCGAGCCGTTACCCCTATCTATTTTGAGGAGAATATTCCACGGGTGTACAATCAAACGGCAAATTCTTTAGTCTTTCAGCTCGAGGATATGAGAGCATCATACAAACAAATGTTTGTTTCCTCCAAAGCCAACTCCTTTGCACTATATGTGATTCTGACAATGTAAAGTTATGATGAGTACGCGCCATGTAGTTATGCCCTAACTCCATACTTCAAAGAGAATGGATTCAAAGTACCAGACTCGATCAAAAACAATCCATATACATTCGCCCATCGAACTAATGGTCTCAACATGTGGGATTACCTCTCTCTTCATCCTGAAAGACTAAGAATATTCAATTTGGGCATGAATCGAATTTCTTCTCAAATGGTTCAATCCTATGACATTTTTCCATGGCTTTCTGAATATCGAAAGATGCAAATAAACGATAATTCAGTGCTACTGGTAGATATCGGGGGTGGTCAAGGTCAAGCAATCGCCGCTATCAAAGATATCATTGAAGGTACTGAAGGTCGATTAATTCTTCAAGACAGAGAAGAAGTCATGTCAGAGAACCAGAATCCCATTCCTGGCATCGAAAAGATGACTTATGACTTTTTCACACCACAACCAGTCAAAGGTGCACTAATCTACCATATTCGTCGCTGCTTCCACGACTGGCCAGACGTAGATTGTGTTACTATTCTTTCCAATATCGCTAATGCTATGACCTCTACTTCTCGTCTTCTCATTGCTGAAATGGTGTTGCAGGACGAGCTAGATGCCGAAGCGACTTGGATGGATGTTACGATGATGTTTTTCGCAGGAAAAGAAAGATCAGAAAAGCAATGGAGACAATTGATTGAAGCTGCAGGATTGAGATTGGAGAGGATATATGGCTCCGAGGGAACAACTTTTAGTGTGTTGGAAGCGTGGTTGAAGTAGAATTGTGGAATGGATAATGGTGAAGATGATTGGATAAATATGAGAGATATGACTTCATATCAACTGTCAGTGAGCTTGAAAGTGGAGGCATAAGCTGTTGATGGAAAGGCCTTCTGACAACGACTTGTTCTCTGAAACTCACTACAATAGTCATACAGAATGTATGCTAATCGCCTTCGGACAGAGAATTTTCGTGCCCTGGTTGAATTGGGCCCAATTAGATGCGATGTAGGACAATCCCTTGAGAAAACTTATTTGTACGCAGCACAGTAATGTCAGATTCTAGACCTTGGTAGACAATCTACACGGAACATTTATCACGTCTTATTTCTCCTCGTAGCTACTAGACCGGGTCTGCTTGATCCTTCGCCTCTGGGAGACTGTTAGTCTGGGTACTTGATGAAATTTCTGCGCACACTTCCACCGAAGAATGATTTTAGTCGTGTCATCACACTCCGGCTACCACCATTTTTCCAACAAGAACTTGTGCTAATTTTGGTTGGCGATCTTATCTTGAATTTGTGCCCAATAATGCCTATTGAATGGCTGGATTAGACAAGTGATTACGGTTGAAAACAACTCGATAGTCATGTCTAATGCACATCGACAACTTTATGAGCCACCTGAGATGGTATCGTCAGCAAGCACATGTTACACGAGCTAGTGATAATACCAGTACCATGGAAAGCTTCACATAAAGTTGTATTACACAAAAAGATACCATTCTCGAATCTTACATGCATACCATTTTCAACCAATAGTTGTATTTTACAACCGAAACTTGAAGAGTGGGATCTACACAGGATTAGACAGGGCTGAGTTTCTCCAAAATACCTACAGTGGAGATCTGATAATCAGCTTCTTCAAGCGACCGACGACCACCACTCATCAATAGCGCCAATTTGCAGGAGCGTTTGCTCTTCAGGGATACTTGCCAATTTTCCCAAGTATGAACTAGTCGGCGCTTAAAGAGCCGACTATGGTCAAAGAATAAACTTTGCAAGCTCTTGGCTTCTATAGAGCCTCGGATCGGATGAATATCAGACCGTCTCTCAAACTGCATTGGTTGGGTGGGACTGTGTGGCTGGTGATTTTTGCCTGGATATGCCACACACGAACCACAGATTCATTCCCAGATTTCAGGCACGATAGGCCTAACGTCCATCCGACCGAGAAACGCGCGAAAACCAAGAACCTGGATCTAAGGGTCCTGGAAAGTTTATTATGCAAAGTACCTGGGCATCAATTCTTTGACCCTAGCCACCCCACAAATGGCACGATCTCACCAATCATCATTCATCGCACTGCTTTCTTCTTTGGGAATAGTGCTTAATACGTAAGCTTCGACTTTGGTATCCTTTTGATCCTCATATTTGGAAGCGGAGGAGTCGGTGTTGGCCCTTATCGTGGCCCCGTCGTGCTGGCTACCTTTTGAAGCAATATGTCGTATATCTAAGATTTGTGGATAGATTTAAGGTTACGGCTTGTCGCTGACATGGCTGTGCCTCCCTCTTGAGACTTCGTACTTTTCTTATTTCTCAATATAGAAGATCATCTGGGGTCGGCACCGTAGGAGAGTGTGGGAGGTCGAGAAATTCATATGTATATAAAGACGCCCTTCCGATTTATGGCATATGGGTATTTCCCAAGATCTTTTAAGCTCAAACCTCCTAGCTGCTTTTTGTTTCTACCTCTCGCTTTTTAGTGTGTAGTATATCACTCTGAAGTTTTCATTCTTCGAACAAATTTTCTTTCCCTTCTGGCGTTTAACATGCAACTCCTTCCCATACAAGCTCGGGATGTCCATTTTCTGGCCTCAAACAAGAGGAATTCCGAATCTTCCAAGAATCACACTTGTCCCGTGGAAAACATAAACGATCCCCGTAAGACTCCATCCTCAGCAGCAATTCTACAGTTCTCAGACTAAAAGAAATCTATAGCTCAAATCCCATTTATCAATAACCTCAGTTTCCATCAATTCATTCAAATTTTATCAGGAGCATGTCTAGCCTTCTCGCTTCTCCTATCAATCTTTCTGATATTTCGCCATGCAACACATTATTCTTTGCCCCGAGAACAAAAACAGTATATCATCCCCCTACGTTCTCTTGTCTATTTTTTCCTAACAAATCCACCAGAATCATCCGCATAATCTTCATGATTCCCGTATTTGCAACCATCTCGTTTCTCTGCATACATTTTGAAGAAGCCGCGGCTTATATCTCCCCCATCAATGAGCTCTACGAGGCGTTTGCATTTGCCGCATTTTTTCAGCTCTTGTATACCTACGTACTTGAAGACACTCACGCGCAATCTTTCTCTGGGCAAGTATCACAGCTTCCCCCAATTCGTAAAACCGCTATTCAGATCTTCCAATTCCCAGCAATCATGTTCATCGTATTTCTCATAGAGGAGATCTCCGAGGCAAAGGGAACATATTGTGAGACGGAGATTAAGATTTACTTCACCAGGATTTGGGTAAGTTCTCTGTTAGCTCTCCTAAAATCTTCCTAAAAATCGAATTACATCATCGGAACCACAAACTCACCAAAAGTCAGTGTGTAATTCTCCGCATAGGCGGCACCATCATTGCCATCCTGGCACTTCTCCGCTTCTACAAATCCACGAAGTCCCTGACAGCCGCTCGCAAACCCCTTCACAAACTCATAGCATTTAAAGGAATTGTATTTTTGAACTTTTTCCAGTCCATTGTCTTCGCATTCCTCTCGCCGCGTCTTTCGCCGAGCAATAAACTTACCACTCGCGATTTGACCGATGGAATTCCTAACTTACTAATTTCGTTGGAGATGGTTATCTTCTCGATCTTATTTCTGAAATTTTATGCCGTGGGCGAGTACGCTAAGGGACGTGAAACTTATGAGGGGGTTTCATGGGGATTAAAGCAATTGCTGGCGCGGCAAATTTTATTGCTTTCATAGGCGAGATGGTCAGGTTGGCGATGGGAAAAGAAAATACGGAAAAGGGGGGAAATGTATGTACTCATTCTTCTTATAAGGTCCCTTATGTTTGAGGGAGCTTGAATATTCACACATGGAAATGTGTTTTTTCTTGTGGGAACTTAAACTAATCTTTGGTGTGATAGTATGAGACTGTGAGCTTGACTGCTGGGACGGAATATCATCATAATGTATGAACACAGATGTGGAACTGAACCGATCGGAATATTGTGGGATGATGGGACGGGATGTTTCATTCAAGATCGGGCGCAAAGGTTGACGGCTCAATTCTAGTGACAATGTAGCTTTTCTTTTTGGGGGAGTTCAAGGTCAATGACGCATCTATGAAACAGGTATCTATTTTGCCAAAACGCGAGTGTTGGGTTCATCGATCCTAGTCTCTTTGTTTTGTTTTGTTGGGTTGGAAATGGAAGATACCCAGTTCTATTTTGATAGACCACTAGCGAATGAGGACACTTGATTATAGATCTTGAATTCAATGGCGATACATAATCAATACCAAACAATGTTCCCTTTGGAGAGTTCACGCTGTGTTTCAAGTTCATTCACAACTCTCCGGAGCTTGTTAAATCCCAGATGCACACTGTAGTCAGAAATATCGGATACTAGAATGGGGCCAATAGTCCGTCACAATTTCTATGACACAGGACGGTAGTAGGATACCTTCCGAGTAGAGAACCACGACTCTATTTTCAATGTTGTTTACTTGGATGACGCCAAGAAAAAGCCAGCTGAACAACTTGCTTCGAGGCATGAATAACTTCGTTTCCTCATTTTCTCATTCACAATTCCAAAATTTTGCCCTGGATTTCTATAGATATCCATCATACGAACGAAGTCCAATATACATGCTTTGTTTTCTTGTTGATACAGTCATACTAAGATTTCTGAGCAAGGTACGTTTTCTAAGTAAAACCTATGAATGAGCTCATGTTGAGCCACTGAAAATGGACATGAGCCAAAATGATACACCAAGACCAATATTGCGGGCCCAGAGAGGCGACATGTCTTTTTTGCCCACTATCTAAAGCTAGCCCGTGGTCAAGACATATTTAAATGCTTTAATATTCGAGAAGACATTCCGTGTCCAGACCAAGACAGTCCAAAAGGGGTAATAAAATTGGAAGGCAATCCCCAAGTCATAGATCTGGTCATCGCTGCCTAGTCTTTGTTGCTAAGGTCCAGCAAGGTGGTCTATATCATTCAGTAGTGGAGTTGGCACAGGCCAATGCAGGTCAAGCTTCAATCAGTTTCCTATCATGTTTCCAAACGCAGGTCATTCCTTTTGAAAACTATAGCGTGTTGCAAAGTATAATGAACCCAGGAAGAACTCAGGTGACTAGATAAGATGAACAGTTCCCGAAAATAGTAACTTAAATCTCCGTTCTTGGTTGAGAGAAATTGGGAACGTCGTCTCAGCTCATGTAAGCTCCATTAATTGTCCATGTGTCCAATCCTCGTAGTTTGGTCCGGCCCCTTTCTTGATATCTTCAAGCTCCCAAGCCAAAAGATCCTTTCTTTTTGTTAGGATATGTGACAATGGGGCAGCTTGTTTGATTCCCATGATGTCGGATATGACTCTTAGTCTCCCTGCTACCCAGTGACACATCATATCGGATACAAGAGGCGTACAGGCTGCCGTATACAAAGGCCACAACAAAAGGTTACCGCTAACGGCTTTAGCACTATTCAATGTCACTTCTCCGCCCTCTGCATATCCAAGCATAAAAGGAACGCTAGCACATATATCATGTGATAGTTGAATAACGGCTGTGGTCGAGATTTCCAATTGAGAATCAGAAAAGATAGGATTTCTCACGTCTAGATCGAATAACTCAGGCTGGATATTTCTGAGATGAGTGAGTTGAACATAGACAACTTCATTGATGAGAATCCGAACACATCGATAGTGGTTCCAGAGTGCGGCGGCCCAAATACTATCGTAGATATGATAATGATCCGAAAAAACGCTATCAGTCCTTTGTCTTAAGGTGAGTGTTCTATAAAACATACACTCCGGCGGGCAAGTGAAAGCCCACTCCACAAGCTTGGAATCAATCACCAGGGAGGCTTTGATGATTTTTTCCGCATTCCTGTAATCATGAAAAGAAGACATTGTAGCACGGAGATCGCCAAATTCCATCACTTGTTCCGACAGAGTTGTGGCGTGGGCATCATTTGGCGACTGAAATTGCAAAGCATACTTTGACCAATCCCGAATGAAAGGCGGAATAGAAACATGGCGTTGTATACAGTTCGTGATCTAAACAAAGCATTAGACATAATTGCAACATTGAAAGAGGCAATAAACATACTACTTGAGTCCTAAGATGAGCAAATATGTGCCGGCCTATTGGAGTTTCAAGATATTGCTTTCCCTTAAGCTGCATCAACGATGAGGCACCAATTACATGTTTGGTCCAAGATTGCATTGACTGGGGACCGGTGCATGTGTTTATCTGTTAGATTATCAGGAAAGTGAACTATCAAAACTTTTTATTGAACTTACTTCATAAAGCCCCAAAAGTATGACTGCCACGAGGGTCTGATCAGCTCGTGCTTCGTCTTCATTTCTCAACCGCGAAGTAACAAGCCTTAGAGCAGAGTTATACTTTTTGTTTGCGTGGAACTGGAATTCAGGAGCTTTGCAGAAGTTTGCTAAGCCGACCATGCCAAGAGATTCAATGCTATCAGCCAGAGCAGGACCAATGAGCTCATTATCATATATTTCGTGGAGATATTGGAAACTACCACTTGTCGAATTGTCTTCAAGAACATAATTTCGAAAGAAATAACACGTTGCCTGCTCAGCCGAAGAAGTCGAAAGCCCTAACGTCAGTGGTGTTATCTGCGTTGCCAGTTGCATCGTGGACTGGCATGTCAATTTAGGATCTATAAGAGACTCCGACGCGTCGTTTGATGCTTTAGTTCTCCTTTTAGATACTACTAGTTGAGTGTCATTTTCAGTTCGTCGTTTATTGGCGTAGTGTTGCGTTTGATCGCGGAACATCATATCTGCTTCAGTTCTGTACCCAGTGCAATTACGACCAGCGCGAATACATTGTGAGCAAGATGGCGTCAGGGTATCACACTAGATAGGTCAGTGACTGGAAAACTTCATGGGAAACTGCTTACTCACCTTGGTCCTCCGAAGTCTACACTCTGCGCAAGCTTTGCTTGGCTTACCGCAATAAACCATTTCGTGATTTGATTGAGATAGTTGGTAGTATTTGGGGTAATTAGAGAATCTGAGCGCTCTCTTATAGAGCAACTGGGCAGATGATGAGTAGTCTGCGAACCCGTGTTTCGCAAAGATGGAGAGAAAAATGATGATCACACCAAAGAATGAGAACGAATGAATCGGATATTTTACCTGTAGGTACGTACGTACACTGTCATGTTGCTTGTGTGAAGCATGCATTCATGGTCACATAGTTACTAAGCCACATTGTAAGAGTCTTGTACCTGGTCATATATGTATTAGAGATCAGCAATGCAGATGAAGCTTGATTCTCTTTAGGGACGTTAGATTGCTTGTTCGTAAGATGGATAAGGCTCTGTCATCATGCGCTTGTCTCTTTCGGGTATTCTCAGCGTAGTGCATTGATTACTCAGCCTCTTTGTGACACCACCAGTACTCAACTTTCGGCGAAAACTCCCGAGTTATTCCCGGATTTATTATATTGTTTGATATCCTCACATCTTTCTTTCATGCAGCATCTTGCGACGTCTACAGCCATTTTACCTTAGCTAAACTTTTGTAAGGATCAGCAAGCCTTGTTCTTCAGATTGCTCCAATGGAATGAATTCGATAACCGGATATTCCTATCAATGACTGCTCTCACTCTATTCTGACAACGAAGGAGCAAAAAGACGATGGTTTCTCCAAGAGATCCTTTAACTATGGAGATACTACTCACCACTTTCCAATCTTGACACCTCCCCCATTCTTTCAATCTATCAGCATCGACCATGAAGATGAATGCGCATCAGTGTGTGGCTCTCTAATAAAATGAGCGTCTGATTGCCGTTATTCCTGGACGGTATTCCGGAAAGTTTGTCACAGAAAAAACCTAACTTCGATATAAGAGAGAACTGCCGCACACTTCCTAAGATTCACTCATTTTCTTCACGCAAATTTGTTTCTATCTTCTTTCTACCAACTCACTCCATTTGCAATTACCCAAAGTTCAACCATCATGGTATCAACTGTGAAGGGCATCGCATACGCAGAAATTATTGCATATGCCATCGCCTTACCAATCGCTATCTTTGTGATCTTCTCTCAGGGGTTCAAGAAAAAGCTTGGTTGGGTATACCTCGGATTGTTTTCCGTCGTTCGGATTGCGGGTGCAATATTTGAGCTTCGAAGTATACATAATCTTGCTAATACCAGTGATGCAAAATGGTCGATTATTCTTCAGTCTGTTGGATTATCACCTTTGTTTATGGCTACATACGGTTTACTTTCTAGAACGTATGTTGGAGTTATTGAATTACTTTTATGGCAATGTTTAGGCTAACATGACGCAATGACAGTACTGATATCATATCTGGTTATGCGAAAGTTGGCACTCCATTTGAGATGCAAAATGGCGGATACTACAAGCCAAGCAACTCAACATCTGGATCTCTACGAAGTCGTCTCATTCAACTGATGCATGTACCTACGATAATCGCTCTGGCTCTTTGTATTGTTGGCGGTACTCGAGAGTTTGACGGTACATCGTCAAAGACCTCGTCCGGGAGAAATCTTACCAAAATTGGAATCGCCATTTATATAGGAGTGTATATTATCCAGATTTCTCTCGTCATTGTCACCTTCAAGGACCATTACAAAATCCCCACTGGACATGGTCGAGTGTTCTGGGCCGTCGTTATTGCCAATCCCTTCTTGGCCGTCAGATTGTTTTACAGTGTTTTAGCGGCTTTCACTTCCATCAAATCCTTCTCTGTAATTGACGGGTCCGCGTTAGTAAGATTGTTCGTGGCAATCATCGAGGAGTTCACAGTTGTCGCATTGTATTTACTAGCGGGTTTGATAACGCCAAGGCTAAAGACATAAGAGTGTATAGACTGTTGTTAACAGCAAACTGACACACCTGAATGTCTATATACCCTGTCAGATCTGTTTAGAAAATTTCATTCAGCAGTTTCTTTTATGTTTCGCAAACATTTTATTCTCTTTCCATTTTGACGGTTTGAAGGCAAAAAGATGAGTGACGGGAATTGCTGATCGAATCACATCGATATCATAGATCGGATTAAATCACAAAGTATCAATTTAGGTGTTTAGTTGGGATGATAGTTTGTTAGTATCGTTCTTGAGAGTTAATAGTTTTTTGATGTACAGAGCAAATAGAGTTCACGTTGTAAGAATGATAATACCTGTCTTTTACCGTTCTACCGTTCGTTCCGCTATCTGTTCAAAATGCAGCTCTCATAGTATTTGATGACTTACATTGTCTAATCTGTTTGATCAATAAAAATTTTCCTACTCTCAAACTTGAGGACTGGAAGATAAACATCCAATCACAACCATTCGATGGAGCGCCCCGCCATCCATTTAAGCGAAGATTACCAAAAAGGGTAACCAGTGAGTAGCGTCATCGTACAATTCCCACAGTGGTAAGTTCGTAGTAATGATTAATTTATTACGCCTTTCATTCCTAATCGAGACATGATGTCGTAGTTATGGTATCGAGTGATATCGACATGTGCAACGATGCAATCTCATGTAGATGTTTCTACTTGTTACGGAAAGGCTTTCGCATTTTCAATGTTCGACTTATTCTTCCTTTCTTGGCATTTATCGCACTAATCTATGCGTTGTTGTCAAATGCAGTGAAATCTTGGGACACACAATGACTTTCATTATAAAGCTTCTCTCTATATCCCTCTTGTTGCAAAGATGTACATCTCTTAAACACAGAAGCAAGTCCAATTACTCCTTTTTGCATCTTCAACGGCACATTAATTTTCCAATACTCTAACAGAAACCAGACAATATGGGGAAACTCGCTGGACTCATTAGTTCAGGCATTGGTCTCGCAATGGAAGCAAAGACGTCCTATCAATCTCCGAGTCCTAAATCTCACACGAAAGATGCGAATCGAGGTTCGTCTTATACTGCTCCATCCCAAAGTTTGTCCATCACCAAGGTTTCTACGTATCGATACTGACTTACAATAGTGCCACTTCGTACCTTGCCAAAAGCAAATCAACATAGCAATGACGAAGACGCATACCAGGACCTGCAAGCCTACGCCGACTATCAAAATAACCTTTCAGATCGCATAAGTGCGGACATAGAGAGAGATGAGAATTACAGAAAATATTTAACCGCAAATCCTCGCGCACAACCAATGAGGAATACATACGAGCAAGACGTTTCATTTTACTCCCACGAGCTGCCAGATCAAAGAATTCAGGCAGCTCGAGGACTGTCCTGTCCTATAATACTGCCACAACGGAGGCCCGAAGCACAAAGTCGTGGTATAATCCGAGCGTACTCCCTGGAGTTAGCGGGTTGTGGCATAGATCAAGATACATTCCTGGATTTTATTGATGATTTTAATGAAGCTCATAAAGTAAGTTGAAACTTGCGAATGTCATTCGTGCATACTTACTTTGGTGCAGGCATCTCCTTATCTCGACGCCGTGAATGTGGCCGCTCAAGGTGTCGGATTTGCACCCGGTATTTCGCCAATGATTGTGTCTATGGTTGTTCCAATTGCAGTACGAGCAGCTAAAGGGTATCAGACACAAAGACAGTAAGCAGGCAGTCGAAGTACTTGGTGATGATGACAGACAGTTGATACTATCCTTAGATCATCCTCTTTCTTAGACCGCGCCAATACGAACCTCTTCGTACCCCATGGCCTCTTTGCAATGGTCTTAACTTTTCAGCCTGATCAGACTCGAAACCCACATGGAGTGGCAAGAGAAGTTCAACTTCCTCCATCTGCTTCCCTTATTTATCCCGAAGACGAAAGACGCGCTCAACAAACCGGTCTAAAGAAAATGGGCCACTTTATCGCGGATTATGGAGATCGTAGAGCGCAAGCTCGATACGTATGTGTGATTCATATTTTTGATGGATAAAGACCTACTGACAAACAGAAAGGCGCACAACAATCCCGAGTCATCTTTGGCTAGTCCCTTACCAACATTCAACAGTCGTTGGGCTGACCCAAATCATCCTGCCAATAGTGGTGGACTAAAAAGTCTACTGACTGGCATTCCAGACGATAGAAAATCCCGCAGAGAAGACAAAAAAGATCGCAAAAGAGACAGAAGAGATCGTCGTCGCAGAGGTAGCTCAAGTAGTGACACTTCCAGAAGAGGGGGACTTTTAAGCACAGCGCTTGGGGCGGTTGGCGATGCCAGTGGGAGGAACGGTCCTTCTGGTAGAGGAAGAACAAGTCTGGTAGGAACCGCGAGAGGGATGATAAATGGATCTGGAAAACAAGATCAAAGTTTAATCAAGGGAATCAGAGGCATAGGGATGAAGACTGACATCCTATATCTGATGATCACAAATAACACCGAAGATCAGAGATCCTTCCATTCGACGAGATCACAAACGCCACTGAATCATGTTTCGTCATTTTCAACACTGGGTCCTCAATCCACAAACCCAGCAAACCGGCTGAGATCGTCCAAGAATGATCAAGACTCCGTCTATTCCATCTCGGATCGAGATCAAACAGTTCCCTATGCCAGCCAAAACCAAAATAACAACCCCTATATTGCCAGGCAAGATCAAGGCGCCACGGCATCTACCGCAAGACATTTTGAACAAAACGACGCTCCACCACCTGCATACAGAGAAGCAATGCCGGCAAGGTATTATGACCAAATGAGACAACATGACGAGGAGTTCTGCGCACCTACTGTATAGTACTCCTACGCGTTTATTTCAATTTTGAATCTGGGATGTTTTTATTTGGGTTGGAGTTTGTGGGAGTATGATTGTATTCAGCATCACTAGATGTTCACGTTTTGATTTGTCATAACTTTTTATAGCATAGCTCAGTTCGGGTTTCTAAAGCAAAATGTTATTTAAAGCAAGGGGTCTAGTGGTTCGTACTAGATAAATCGGCTGTACTTTGAAAACAGAGGGAAAGATGAACTGTGAGCTTCTGATGATCAGACTGTAGTCCAATTGAAACCCAGATTGAAATAGGAAGAAGAGTCTCATATCAATGGGATCAGTTGTAGAGACCGAGTAACACGTCGTAGAAATATGTGACAAGATGTGATTTAGACAACTTCCCAAATGCTGGGAGATGAAAGGGATACCTGATACTACGAACTCCTTCCAGCAATAAACAATATCATTTTAATTATTGTTTCCATACATAGTTCCGCAAATGCGGTGGTCAGCTAATGGTACAATATAAAAAATACTACCTGCGCATCGTTCGCTCATTGAGAAGTAAGTACCAAAAGCTGTTAGTATATGCTCAGAAGTTAGTAACACTTGAAAGAAATTTGATTATGTGGTGCGTATCTTTTATGTGAGTGAATTTGTTGTTTGTATAAGAAGTTAGGAGTTGACATAGTTATCTTGGGACAGATGACTGTCGCGCATTCCACTTAATCTGATTAACTTGAACATCAACAACAGGCTTGAATAACACATACACATGAATCATAAATAGAATGGAACTAGCGTAGCTATCTACCCCCGAGACGTTCTATAGAAAGTTTGAACGGGAAAGATCGGGGACAGTCCGTGAATGATTATTCAGTAAGCAAGAAGAAGAAAAGTTGCGTGTATGAAAGTTTGCTCTCAATGGTTGTGGACTTCTACTGTCAAAATCGAATGTATGAAAATGATACGCCGCTTCCGATTCCGGCAGTAGGTTCGTGGATTTAAAACCTTATCAAAATTGTCACAAAAATTGATGGTGTGGTCCAAATCAAGATGTCGGGGTATAAGAGGATGGTCAAGACTGTTCAGGACTTAGACTCCGCAATCTCTAGGACATCTTTCTCAAGATCAAGCTCTTTCCATGGGCCCAACCCTAACTTCTGGTCGTTCTCGGTCACCCTAACAGCACCACCCACCATATAATGCGAACCTAACGCAGCCAATTCCATGTGTACGTTTGTAACTTCGCGGTCCTTGAATACAATACGATAGTTGCCAATTGTTTCTCCCCTTTCGAGAGAATTCAGATCTTGTACCTCAGACGCAGTTGGACTCCGAGCATCGCAAATCTCCAAGTCTTTAAGCCATGGCGCAAGCAAAGCTTCTCCAGTCATTTTGACATAGGTCTCTCGCAAACACCACATGGCATAGAACCGTCTGATCTTCGCATCGATGACCTTGTTACTGTCAATCCTTAATTGTTCAGCCTTTCCCTCACTATCTGTAATGATCAAATCCAATTGTCTATTTCTCCATTGGCATCTAGAGAGCGCGTCGTTGCCATACCCATGAAGCTTTTTACCGGGAGCAACTTCGTCGAGTCCAAGTGCTGAAAGCTTCATATGATTTACCTCCGAATCTGCGAACACTTCCTCGTGCATATCAATCCATTCAAAGAACCCACTCTTGTCTATATATTTATAGTCATGCGACAGTCGTTCGTTGGCGCACACGATATCCGTTCCCACATTTATTGTTCCATCGCCCCCAATCACAGCTATTAATGTTACAAGTCCGGCCTGATGACTTACATTGAATTCGATTCGAGGTTGATCTGCGGCTGAAATATAACAAGGCTTTCCATTCGATTCGCGCGAAATTGTAGTCTTCGACCAAGGTACATTGCAATATTTTGCAATAACAAGGTGCTTGAGGAGATGGGATGCTAAGCTCATTTTTGCATCTTTGACGTGATAATATTTAAGGACTGATTGTTGCTCGGATTCAGAGAGGAGAGCCAGAGCACGAAAAGCCTAACATCATCTGTCAATTCAGACAAGTAGAGCAGCTAGTAGACTTTATACACACAGCAGTCCTCAGTTCTGCGACCTCCTCTCTGGGCTTATCTTTGCGGTGAACAGGCCACAGGAGTCTTGTATCGAGCAGCCATTGTACAATGTATGGCTCTGAGCCCGGGGATTTCATTGCACTGAGATTTTGAGGCTTGTTGCAGAAATAAACTTGAAGGATTGAAGCCGGTTGGAGAATTATCGACGATTGACACATCAGTTTGTTCACCAGTTGGATAAGAAATCGATTATGTAAGCGAAATGGCGCAACCACCAGTGAACGCACTTTTGTCCTCACAACCAGGCAAAGCTGCCCTTCCTTTCTCTTCAAAGGTGTTCATATACTCTTACATCACCTTATACTGTTCGCGCCGTCTATGTATATGCAGATGAATTTCGTCTATTAATAATCATACATTGTTATATTATATCAACCTTCATATATCTCGCGAAGTCGATCGCAACTTCCTCAACAGTATGACGCATAAGTGTGTGTGGCCAGTAAATTCATTAGTGGAAGATTATATCTGACCCAACCTTATGATGTCAAGATAGCATTGGAACATTTCAAAGTTGTAGCCGTTACCGGACCACGAACCTTTACTGGCCCAAATATCCAGCCATTTCTTTCCTATTAAGAAAGCCAGCACCCGGGCCAAGTTCAAGCCAGTATCTTAAACTTTGCAGATAATGTCCAACTCTCCATGATGAGGTTACAAGATCTTGTTAAAGCCGCTTGAAACCACTTAGCGATTCTTTAAGTAGTTGCCGGTAGGTATCGACAAATTCAGCAACCATAATAATTTGTTCCATCTTTGATTGATTATTTGCACCCCTACGTTCTGGGGAGCATAATCTTTCACTCCAAAACGGCGAGCCAAAAAATCCCTATACTTGGATCAGATGGAGAGCCACTATGTTTGGAGACTGTTCTCATTATTATAGCGGGGCCGGGTTTGATAATGGTTGGAATCGTTCGCGCCTTCATTCTCTCATACATACTTTTCATATTTGATTGCACACTTTCTTCATATTTGGTACTGCCCACAATACTACGTGAGATCTCAATCGTCCTCCTGGCGAGACCGTGGAAACAGTTCCGGCGACTGGTAGCTTTCGTGGAGGTGTTGTGATGGCAGCATTGGTGATGGGTACTATGATTGTTGCTGGTGGTAGAAGTGAAGACATTCTCACAGCCCCAGGGAGAGGTCTATGGCGCTACCAAAAAACTCGAAATAGTCGTCTCAATTGGCAAACAATAAAAATATACACAGCGAATATGTTCAGTTCCAAGTAACGCTAACAGCGCCAACTCAAATATCGATCTTCGCCGAACGCAGCTACCGGATTGACTCATATTATAGCGTGGATGACCGCACTGAAACCTTTTGACAAAGCGGTATCTTTGGGTGGCATATTTGGCAACATCGAAGTCGGTTACATTTCACTCATGATGAAAATTGTGCGAACTCAGGGGAATTATGTATGACTGAGAAGAAGTGGTAAGGTTGGTCGAAATGATTGAAAAGGGGAATCTAAAAATGGATAATGGTGCAGGTATAAAAACAATTGGCAAGTATGGATTGGATAAAATTAACGAAGCAATGAAGATAGCCAAGAACAAGACTGCATACAGAAAATAAGTGCTTTTAATTCCTTGAAACGACTCACCACAGTAATAACGGTGTGTTTCATCTACATGTCACGATAACGATAAACGGACTCTAAAAGCACAAGAATCCAAACGGACAAAGTAGAACCCTTATATTTTTGGAAATGCCACGATCACTTGCCAGATTGAGATTGTTCTACCACCAAAAAGCTTCGCGAAGAACGTGTATGCAAGTATTTATGCAGCTTACTCCGTACGGCATGCTTACATTTTCAGCCCCCAAACAAAAGTTTCCACGCGAGGCTGAGGCACAATTCGTAAAACCATGAGTCTTCAAGGATAAAAAACCTCGATAGAGGTTGCGGTGTTCCATAATAGGAAATGGGCCATGTGCCAAACAGGGTAGTTATGGTTACGTTAGGCAAGCCATATTCCAGAAACCTTCTATATGCCACTACCTCGTTGTCGTCATGAAAGTCAGATGGTACCTTGTTCTTTCTCGTCATTGTAACGTCCAATGCAGGAACAAGAAATATTTCCATATGGCTTTCATGTAGGTAAATGTAACCCAAGATATAAAGCATCAATGGTGGGGGCCTACAATGGCTGTCTGTATATCAGATTTCACCAAATGTTCTCATATATGATTTCTTCTATGCACAGAAGCTTCCTACCTGTGCATAGGACTATTTGACACATCATACGAATGCCCATCGCGTCTTAACTTCTCTTACAATTCTCGCTTCCCTCGAATTCCCACTGTGGTACGGTGATGATATCCAGTGCATGGTGGTTTGTGTTATTCTCATTGTATTCTATTGGAGTCTGCTGCTAACAGCTGGTGTGATAGTTGATGCTATGGCGGCTTCCAGTAGATCATCATCGTATTACGATGATATGAGCAACGAGTTCTATTCTTCGAGTTTTGATGACTATCAAAATGATATCAATGAGTCTCTAGACTTCAATCATGTCTCATCTGCGGACTTCTACCTCGGTTCTGAGATGTTCTTGATTCCTCAAATGCTTGGAGAACAACCCTATCCATCTCAGCATGAATTTGCCGGTAGCACATCAACTTACGAATCAATTGAACGTTTGCCACCTAGCTCTGGGCCCACCAGTACTAGGACCAACGGCCAAGAGCAGCTTTTGCCCAGATCACTCGGTGGAATTTACGGACAAATGACCACAGAGTATCGTGACGTCTCAGAAGATCCGCTGAATCAATACCCAATTGAAGAGACGTATCATGAAAATAACAACAATGATAATATAGAGTATCCCCGCAAGAAACGCAGACCTTCTCAAAACGAAAAGGCACGAGCACCAAATATACCACAATCAAATGTGTTCAAGCTAGATTTAAGAACGCCATCAATTTCCTGGGCAGGATCGCAACCCATAGCATCACAAGAATCTTTGAGCTCGGTTTTCGAGGTCAATATGAATCAGCAACCGAAACGCAAAGCTCGGAGTGCCTTTACACCACAAGGAAAGAAGAAAGTGGAAGCGGTGAGAAGTGTTGGTGCTTGCATTCAATGTAAATTCAGAAAACGAACTGTAAGTTGGTCTAAACGCTGTGTTGGGTCTTGCAACTGACAAGCGTAGTGCGGGACAAATGAGCCTTGCATGTTATGCATTCGACGTGCTGGTAGTTTAGAGTTTGCGGCATCTTTATGTACAAGAGAGTCGCCATTCGTTGAACTCTCAATAAGTGAATGTGAGTATTCTACTTTCTTGAAAGGCCCAAGATACTGACCTCACAGTCTACTCTAGCAAATTACTCCCACTGATAACAGATTTCGATGTTGAATTTCCAAACGTAGAAGGTCAACAGAAAACCATCAAGATTGACGGAAAGGGACCTGCCTCTTTCCCTTTGTATCTCGAAGTTGTCGAGATACAATCGTCGTTCTTGGCTGAGAATTTACTCAAAGAAGTTCGTCGAATGACTAGACTTAACTCTGGAGTTTCACGCCCACATTATCGTAGTCCGGATCATTCAAATATCATAACTGTTCTCAATCAGAGACTTTTCTCATCTCAAGAGCTTGAAAAATGGGTCATGAATTACACTGATGGGAACAAAATCGATAACGTTAATTCCACATCTTTTCTGTTCGGGGTTGTATATGTCAAGGAAAAGCTGCCTCATGTAAGTTTAGTAATCTAATTCAATGCATCTATTTATTCCCCATGTCACTAAAATAAGAGAAGGCAGATCTAGTGGAGAATACAACAAAGCTCATAGCATTTAGCTACATTCTCTGCAAAGGATTGAGAATTACAACGCCTACAAGCCAGCAAGATGAAGCTGCTCGATATCCTGTACTACGAGCACAGCTCGAGACAAAACTCTTTAATATTCTCCGCCACACCGAAAAGCTTGTTTATGATGAGCTTCAACGTCTAGTCTTCAAAACCTCTGGACAATTACCGAAGGATGCGGTTGTTCCTGTGGCACTAGTACTTTGGTTGCTTACCCGATTGCAAAGTTTGAAAGCGAGCCATGTCATAAGTTTGAGTGAGCAGAACAGTTCTCGTGCGTTTCCTTTCATGATATAATTTCTCAATATATTCTGCTTAAAGTGGTACTAATGGTTCATAGGATCTTTGGGAACATCATCAACGGCTGCATCTCGTCAAAAACATATTCTTAACCTCCTCATAAGCGTTTTCACCGCCCTATTTAGATCATCATTCCCATTACTCATGAATTTTGAAGACAAATGCAACAGAGACCTACTGGGAGGAAGTGAGGATTTAATACAACTATCCAAGAAATTGAGGAGAGATCTGATAGCGTTTAAAAGAAGCGGCCATTTAAAAGCTTCGACCTGGAACCAAGGGTTCTTGAAAGAGCAAGTGGGTAGATTGAGAGATCTATTGACGGGGTAGATTATGAGGGGCTCGGGAGAATAGATCCAGGAAGAACTTGTAAAGCACTTTAAGAGATTTGGGGAATTGGGTTATATTTGGGGAGGCGTTTACTTGTTGATTCGCTGGATGGATTCATACAAGGTAATGAATGATTGACATCAAAAAGGATAAGATGATGACGTTACGACTGTACAAGTACTAGGGATATACGGCGCAGTTTAGAATTACGTGAGATACTTGGGATGATTTAGGATAATGGTATTTGCTTTTCAGGCAGCATCATTCAGGGATTGATGGTTGATGCAGCCGCATTCTAAACCAATAGTCATCCAGATCTCCTTTTTGTCATTTGTTTTATACATCTATTTGCTACGTGATGTTATAATCTAAGATTTCGAGGTGCACCTAGAATTGTCATCATACCCGAAGCAAAACAGAGAACTGATCGAATGTGAACCTCTTCGGGCGAATAAGCTTATCCGGCCTAGGATTGACGATGCTTCCAGAGTTAAAGAGGGAATCCGTCATATAGACCGTGTTCAGTCGCACAGTATTGACATTGATAATTGGTGAAGACAAATCGTTTTGTCAAAAGCACAATGTGATATTTTAAGATTTACAAGGTTTATGTACAATTCACGGGTCATCATGCAGATCATGACAGACATGCCGAGGTTCAAAAATAAGTCTCATTATATCGAATATTAGCACTTCCTCTGTGTCAGAAGAACCATATTCATCTTCTCAACTACATGGTATATCTTACTCAGCGCTGCTGATAAATCCATACAATGTCTAATCCATCCAGAACTGTAAAAGGCCCCTCGTCACCATCTGAAGACAGCGCACACGAGCCATTTGGCTGTCCAACTCCATATGCCGAGCCACTGTGGTATTCTCGAAACGTATCACCTCATTATACCAGTTCGCATCGCAAGCTTCGCGCTGCGGTGCGCAAATATGTCGATGAAGAAATCTTGCCGTATGCCTTCGATTGGGAATCGGCAGGCAAAGTACCAGACTCGGCACGTGCTGCCCCCGTGACTTTAGAATTCCACTAACGAATCAAGCAGGCATGGCGACGACATGCGGAATTAGGATATCTAGCTTTAAGCACGGGACTGTCGGATGCAAAGTTACCGGGAGATATTAAGCCTCAAGAGTGGGACTCGTGGCACACTTTGATTGTTACGGATGAGTTGTCGCGTGTCGTAAGATCGCGCTTCGGTTTCTGAGCTGTCTTCACACTGACGCGATCTAGGCATATACTGGCGTACTATGGGGTCTTGGCGGAGGCAATGGGATTGGAGTACCCCCAATAGTCAATTTTGGGACGGAAGAGCAAAAAGCTAAATTTTTACCTGGTGTTGCAAATGGCAGCATAAGATTTTGTCTTGGCATCACTGAACCCGATGCTGGCTCCGATGTAGCAAATATCAAAACTACTGCTGTAAGGCGTGGCAAACATTATATCGTCAATGGCTCAAAGAAATGGATCACAAACGCTATTTGGGCGGATTATGTCACCACGGCAGTTCGTACTGGAGGCGTGGGAGCAACTGGTATATCGCTCCTTATTATCCCGTTGAAAGCTGACGGGGTATCTCGAAGAACGATGCACAATTCGGGAGTTGGAGCATCCGGCAGCACATTTATTATTTTTGATGATGTTGAAGTTCCTATCGAAAACCTTTTAAACAAAGAAAATCGCGGATTTGAAGTCATCATGTCCAATTTCAATGCTGAGCGCAAAAGCATTGCCTCGTCGGCCATTCGATTGAGTAGAGTGTGTGCCGAAGATGCATGGAAACATGCTTGTACGCGTGAGACATTCGGAAAGAAATTGATTGAGAACCCGGTGATTCGAGCGAAATTCGTGAAAATGGGAAGGATGATCGAGCCTGCGCAAGCATTCCTAGAGCAGCTGACTTGGTTGATTGAATTGTGTAGAAAAAATGGCGGAGAGGACGATGTGAGGATTGGAGGTATGACGGCTATGTTGAAAGTTGTAAGTACGAGGTGTCTCGAGAAATGTGTAAGGGAGGCTCAACAAATCATGGGTGGATTGGGCTATGCTCGAGGTGGGAAAGGCGGAAGGTAGGTTGGCTCAAATACGCAAGGGTAATGGCCTACTGATAGTGTCTATAGAATCGAGGCCATCTCAAGGGATGTGAGAGTTATGGCAGTTGGTAAGTACTGATTGTCTGGCCAGAACATCAGACTTGTTATTTCTTTTTGGGTGGTAATCATGCTAATATTTGCAGGGGGTGGGAGTGAGGAAATTATGAGCGAGCTCGCGATCAAAGAAGAAGTTAAAGATCTGAAGAGATACTCAAGCACTATTAGCAAACTTTGAACCCTTCTCAAGATCGTAAAAAGGAATAATACATATTTGACTAGACTAGAATACAATGCCTATTGTTTGGATAATGCGGGTGATAGAGCATTAGTCTTCGAAACATTATCTGGCATTTAAAACGATTTTATTCCATCAACATCGGTCTTAGCCGATACTCTCGCAAATTTTTATATTTTGATGAATCGATTGTATTGGTTTCACGTTGCAATAAGTCTAGATTATCGCGCAATGTCGATCCTATCCAATGTTCGCTTAGACGCTTTGCGATGGTCTGACGAGAGGCGTTCCTGAAGTTTGATAGTCTAGAGCTACAAAAAGCCCATAGTCTCGAAGCAAGTTGACTTGCATTAGTATTGCATAAGAGCTTTTACCAACATACATGTAAATACTTGTACAGCGGTGATCTTTATCTCACTATTATGTCGAGCACAATCGCTTCTCAAAAACTTGATTTACCTTGGATCGATATTTAAGTACCTTGGAAAAAGATCGTCGTTGAGTTGTGTCACATTTGATGCTATTTCTGAAAGATAAATAGCCACAAGCTGTGGTGAGGAGTGATTGAAAGTTCGCAGCTGAAAAATCGTTGAGCGCGCTTGTGTTGTTTTCAGTAGATGTGGCGGACATGCCTTTACATACACTTTCGAGTACTTCCAGGGAACATATTATTGGTTGAAAAGTGGATACTCTCTAAAACTTCCTAATTTCGGAAATTGAGGTGAATTTCATCTGGCTTTGAAGGTTCTATACAAATTGATGGAAGACAATTGGCCTTGAGCCCCTTCCAATACTTTTACAAACCCCATCATAAATACCAAAAGCTTACAGAATCTATCATAGCTGATATGCAGCAGACCATTCCCATCCGAGAATCAAAAGTCGTCCTTAAACTCGACCGTACTAATCACAAATTGGTATCTTTCCCATGTCCAAACAATATCAATCCAAAGCAGTAACTATCCAATTGCTCGTCTAAACATGTTGCTTACTGCTAGTCGCACTCATCCCATCTTCATAAGTAACCGTAACCTCACGGTGGCGCTGAATTCCACCGTCTTTCAGATCATCTGCTGTTGGTGGTGCGAGAATGCAAGTATCGCTATCAGTATCATTATCCATGCCTCCTCGAGTTACTTCGACGTCGTAATTAGTTGCCTCCTTGTTGCCTCGTTTCAAAGATTTCAGATTATATTCGCCAGCGCCAGTGCCAGTGCCAGCGCCAGCGCCAGACTTCTGATTGTCGAAGTCGTAGTTTTGATAAGGTCCGCCTGTCGAACTGCCTCCTGTAATCCTGTTATAGAGGGGTCGAAGGGCAGGAATGGTGACGCAGATAACGGTGACACAAAGCTCGGACATGGTCCACATGACGGAATCACTAACAGCATCTGCAGAGAAAATTAGCATCGATAGATAGAGTACATCTAGGTCGGAACATGGAAGAGGATACTTACATAGATAGTCATCAGTCTCCAAAAGAGCATCCAATGTTGTAGTGCGGACTACACCACATACACCAGCACTAATTGAAGGTTAATTCAGATGTTGTGATGAAACTTTGACCAAAACTCACATAACACCCAGACTCAAAGAAACACAAATGGTGATCTTTTCTTTTTGTTTCATATTGAGACCCCAGATGACGACCCAAGGAAACCCCGCAAGGAAGAAGTCCATTGCTGCAGACCAAGCTTGCAGGAATTGTTAGCTTTTATACTGATATAATAGATGTTGACAAAAAACCTACAGCACATAACTTTTGCAATGACAGTCAAACTTAGCGTGCAGGTACCCTCAACTGTGGGATCCCAGATAGACTGAACCGGAGTACATTGCGCAAACACAGCGATAGCCAGCAGGAAACTCAATACCAGGATAGTCAGGATCCAAAAGTAGAGCAATATTTTATGCCTAATGCTCAGTCAGTCTTCATTCTGTGTTGATTCATCGTAAACGGGTGCAACTCACCAAGTTTGGTTGACGATTCGTAGTAAAAAGACCGCTACAGCACACTTGCTTATTCCCATAGCGACTGCAATGATGAACTGGCCTATCAAAAGCCATAATATACCATGAGAGTTATCCGCAATAGTCAATGCTGACGCGTGTGTTCCCATGCCATATGATACTGAGCGTGAAATACATGCCGCGAAAGCTGTCATTAAAGCCTAGACGAAATCATTAGTCTCGCAATATAGAAGTCCTCCATTCTGTAGCTTACCCAGCTAAGTATCAAAAGATAATCGTCTACACCTGGCGCACCACCAACGAATTTGCGCGTATACAACCGGAGACTAATAAAGCAAAACGAAAGGACGACTTCCATCCACAGGACGCCGAGCAATTGCTGGCCTTTCTCTGTGAGCGGAACTGCCATTGTGAAGATCAAGAGTTCTGTGGTTGTACTTTGGTAGGCTGCTATGCACACAGTCGTTTCTTCACCGTTTGGGACCCACCACTATTAGTAAAGAAAAGAGGACGTACTTGATGGTCTTGGGAGAATTATAATGGCTCCTGTGTATATATGATGCCATGTCCAAGACAAGCTGGGATGGCTCAAGCCAGCATTGAATTTACTTTTCCAGACGTTACAGCCCCTGGGAGATTACCTTTGCAGCAAAAGCAAACTGGAACTATCATCATCAAAAAGAGAAATTGTGAATTCTAGCAAATTTACTTCAGCAACTTTCAAAACTACAGTACTTGGCTAAGCACTCCGGGGAAAACGGACACAGGACTTGTGAGAATATCATGGGCGACATCCTGTAATTGCTCCATTGAATTGGGATAATATTGAAGATCCTCTATCATCTGTGGAACTATTATTGATGTTGCATGATGCGACTACATGGAGTTGCACCAGACATATTGAGTGAAACGCCCAGGAGTCGAGGAGTATAATTGAGATCGTCGACCATTTCGTGTGTTTTATTCAATCCATCTATTGGGCAAACTTTAAGAAGCGAGTTATATCCTGAACTAGACAATAAGAAGACCCACTACAGATATCCACCCAATGACTAGGCATGGTACCTGGCGGCCTAAGACTATTTAGGGATGGGGATTAAGCTTGTTAAATCATTTGTACGTATCGATTTGCTTTTTTTGCAATCGAGATGATGGCGCGGCCTCGCTTGGAAGACCCTATTCGTGGCCATTGTGACTGGGAGTAGAGATCTGCGGATCTTCAACAACAAAACGCCTCTGACTGAATCATAAATGCGACTAGTGAAACTTAGGAGCTGCAATAACATACATAATTATGGTGAAATTAGCGTAGTTTTGCTGCTCTAATCTTTTTCACTATTGACGTTCGAAATGAATTGTTTTGTTTCTGTCATCATCGGTGAAAAAAAGACTTTGAGATGAAAGGAAGTAAAAATTTCATAATTCAGGTCGTACGTCGTGCAGATGCGTTGCTCGGATAATCATTGATACAGGCAGGGGGAATTGAGCCTGGAAGTGGGCCACGGCAGCTCAGTCGGCCCCACGTGCCCGCCTCCCTGTCGGTAGTAGCAAAAGTTATGTGGATACTAGTGAATAAAATGCAATAAATTGGCAGCGGACACTAGAATTACGGTTCGACATTGACAGAAATTTTCATCCTGCATCCTAGTAGCTTCCTGGAGGCCCCGGATTTGCAGATAGATGGCCCACGAAGCCAGAATCATTTGATACTCATATCTCTCCTTTCAACATGTAAACAGATAGCTACCTAGGTGAGGACGATTAGAGCCTTTTTTTTTTTCGAAAATTAAAAGAATCCTCACCTCGCCTATTCTTGGAAAATGATAACATTGAGTTTGGATATCCATAATTCTGTAACGGCGAAAGGTGGACCAGATTTACAACTAGGTTTCTAAACTTTGATAAGAGCTTTTAATGTAGGGCGCGTTGCTGCGTTCAAAGCTTAGAAGCTTCGGTTACCTACTCGAGGTGTTTAAAAAGAGGAAATCATGCCCGCACTATCTGCAAAACAATTGCACAAATTTTCATAGATCGCATCAAAGAAAAAGACAAATCCGCAAGAGGAACGCGAGTTATAGATGTTTATATAATTACTACTAAGTCATTAAAATTGTTTTCATTATTTTTGTTTTCGTCAAAAAAGTCATGCACTAGGCAATGAAGTTGGTCATGTCCTCATGAAGAGTATTCCTCGAACATTATGAGGTTTACTGGATGAAGCTTTATGCAGCAGATTCTTTCTTGGAAGGATCTGATGTTGTCGATTCAGTCTCGTTGTACAGAGCATCCTTGAGCTCCAACTCGACCTTTTCACCAAACGTAACGTTGATCTCCTCCAATGTCAAACCCATCGTCTGTAAAGTCATTAGTAAAGGGAATATGTAAAGTTGTAGATGGAATTATTACCTCTGGAAACCAGATGACAATCATAATGGTAGTGACAACAGTCACGCAAATGAGAATCATATAGAACTTCCATCCGATGTTGTTTAAGCCAACAGAGACGGGAGCACTATACGCGATAGCATTTCCGAAGAAACTCAAATATGTAATGGTGGATCCTTCACTGCGGAGATGGGTTGGCCAGATTTCAGAGCCGTAAACGTAGGAAGTACATTCGATCGTCGAAGTGAAGAAGGCACCCATAATGAAATAAAGAGCAACAAGCGCTCTGACACCAGGGCCTGCAGGTGTACCGAGATAGTACTTGACCAATGCAGCCATTGTACTAAGAATAGCAGCCATTCCGAAACCACCAATGACTAGGTAAGGTTAGCAGGGTCCATCAAAAGGTTCGAGGTCACTCACTCAAAAGCTTTCGCCTTCCAATACGGTCCAAAAGAACAACGTTGATACCGCATCCAATAACAGCGCAAACCGACCAGACAATACCGAGCCCTAATTGAACAACAGTACCAAAACCGAGACCTGCCATAAACGTGGGGATGAGATTTGCAATTGCAGTGATACCAGTACCTTGACCCATAGTCCAGAGAATGATCGAAATAAAGGCGCGTTTTCTGAGATGCGGGGTGGAGAAAATATAGATGAAGCCTTTTGGTAGAGATCTCTCGGTATCGACTTGAGCCCTGATCTGAACAGCTTCAGCACGGGCTAAAGTGTTATAAGGGTCTTCTTTGGTCTTGTGCAAGTATTCCAAAACTTGCTTGGCCTCTGCATCTCTTCCTTTCTCCATCAACCATCTTGGGGATTCGGGCAGATACCAGAGAGACACTAGGAGAAGACAAGCAACTCCACAGAGTACAATGAAGACCAATCTCCATTGATATTCGGCTTCGACAAAATTAAATCCCAAGGCGCAAACTGCAGCCATTATATACGCGGTAACGATACCAACACCTTGAAGTCCAACAAGCATGCCGCGGTTGTGAGGAGGAGCAACTTCACTCATGTAAACTGGAGAGTTGGCGAGAACCATGCCTGCACCGACACCGGTAAGAACACGACCTGCAATAAACATAGCAACGTTGACTGCTCCAGCTGAAATAGCAGCAGCGAAAATCACAATACCCGCGGCCACTGCATTGGCAATACGTCGCCCAAACTTGTTGGATATTGGGGCTTGTAGGAGAGAGCCAACCATAGCACCACCTAGAAATCTATTTGGAGTTGATTAGCGGAGTACAAGACAAAGGCAGTTGCTTCACTTACCCTCCAAGCATTGCATCTGTGAGCTGTAAAGCCTGAGAGTTGGTCAAAAATTTGGCAATGAATGTCGGCTGAGCAACTGTGCCAGAAATCGCGTTGGCAGCGAAACCATAGAGAAAGCCACCAAGACAAGCCGTCACCAGGACCTGGAAATCATCAGTAATCGCCACTTTCCAGAAGAAGCATTGTTCCAAACCATAACGTTGACAAAACTAGTATGTCTTGGGATTTCAACTCCATCTCCCTGGCTGGAGTTACCTCTCTCCGATGATTGCTTCTCTTCAGTCTGTGGCACAGGTGCCTTGACCTCTATTTTTTCCATATTGAAAATCGTATGATAAATTGCTTGGGGCAACAATCAAAAAGAAAAATGACTGCTCGTAAGTACGGTCAAAGTCTCGTCTGAAATAATAACGAAACTCAAGCCAGGTGCGAGCAAGCTTATAATAAATCAATTGACTTCCAGATGACTGGATAAATTCATAGCTAATACACCTCGTGGGATCAGGGATTATCCACCCGACAAATACCAAATACAGCACTCGCCGACGCTACTTGCGAATCTTTGCTGACTCCCAAAGTTTATTTCTCCGAATTTTGACTAGGGATTCGCGGTAAGTATCAAATCAGTCTCCGCGAGGTAAACTTGAGGCTAGGTCGAACCATTTACACCACATTTTGCAAGGGTCATAGGTTGCCATTGATTGATATTTGCCAGACCCATCTTATTAGTCTTCAACCTGGTGTTAGACATACTGCATAGGCGTCGGAAAACTTTTCCATAGACAGACTTCTGACGAACTTCGTCAAGCGCCATTTAGCTACAGCATAGCAGCACTACTGAATTGCGGTTATTGGAAGTATGAAGTCGCCACATCAAAGTCTACCGTCATTTTCACAGATCGTCCTGACATGCCACCAGCTTAGCATTGAAAATCCAGGCGCTCGGCCTACCCCAGAACCTGCAGAATTAGCTTCATTCCTTGCCCCGCCGTCAAATTTTCTTGGCGAACGTGTAGATAAGAAGTGACAAGGATTGACTAAAGCATATGTGACTGTAGATTTTCTTTCGCTTGAAAGTAAAGCTCGGTTTCAATATGCCACAAAAGCTCTGTTGCAGATTCAGAAGTGACAGTCATTTTTAAACTGTAAGGAGTGGTGTGGGTCGTAGCCTACAGGTTTGCCGGCATAAAATCAAGACTGATAAGGTGGGGATTGTGATCAATCAAATGTACACCGCTAAATTAGTACCCGCAGTGGATAAAGATGTCAGAGCTTCAGCAACCAGCGCCACCACCAATCATCTGACTCTCCACACGTTCGGAGGCTTCATAACTCGCTTGATGTGTTATATTGTCTTACTTGCAATTCCAACGTGATTTACGAAGTCCATTAAATCCACTTGGTTGGCCATAAACCTACAGCAGTAATATCTCCTATATCATACTACTGTTGCTCTGGCCAAATTCGCTATAAAAAATAATACACTTTCACTCCGACTCGAGTCAGTCACCGTACTTTATACATTTTAATTCACACCACCCACAAAATGGAAGTTCCAGAGGCTGCCGTCTACCCTGTTCTAAAAGGCAAGGTTGCGATCATAACCGGCGGTTCACAAGGCATGGGAAAGGCTACAGCATCAGTCTTTCTACGAGCTGGTGCTCAAGTGGTTATTGCCGATGTGAAAGAAGTCGAGGGTCAAGCAACTGAGAAAGAGTTGTCGCAGTTTGGGGAGATCATATTTGTGCGATGCGACATCTCCAAGTCGGCGGACGTTCAAAAACTCATCGCGGTAACAGTCGAGAAATTCGGCAAGCTCGATGTAGCTGTCAACAACGCGGCTCTCACGCCGGACAAGACACAGCTTATCGATTTTGATGAGGATTACTGGAATACTCTCGTGGGAATCAACCTTACTGGAACAGCACTATGTTGCAAGTATGAAATGCAACAGATGGCAAAACAGGGCACTAAAAGCTCTATTGTCAATATTGCATCTATCAACGCCTTTAGGCCACAACCAAACATGCCTGCTTATACGGCAACAAAACATGCCATCATTGGTTTAACTAAACATGCCTCTGTGGAGGGAGGGCCAAAGGGGATCCGAGTGAATGCCGTTGCACCGGGTGCTATCTTTGTGAGTTTACCACTATTTTGCAATAATATAGCATTCCAACGAAACTAACCCAAAAGCAGAGTGATATGTCAGCCGCAGCATTGGAGATTATGGGAACTACCATGGAAGAGTTTGCCCCAACAGTCAGTAACTTGCATCGCTTCGGAATGGCTCATGAAGTCGCACAAGCCTCGTTGTGGCTCTCGTCAGAAAATTCCTCATATGTCACTGGTGTTTGTTTACCCGTAGATGGAGGATATTTAGCGAAGTAATCTAGGGTATTGGTTGCTTGTATCAACTGAAAGAACAGAAAATGATTATAAGGGCATATTCGCTTGCCAAAACTACTCGCATTCTCTCGATAGTGATACCGCTCAGTACCTTGTTTCGACCTCGTAAACTTTGACTGGTTTGCAAATAATCGTTAATTGTCCATCTCATCGTCATCTGACATCTTGCCACGTTTTGTGTTAGTATTTCACATGAGAGCCCAGAAAGATCTCAACTCAAAGACTGAAATTCACGTGGCTGTAAAGCTGAGCACATAGATCCACTCTGCCAGAACCCAAGAGAAAGAAACAAAGCTGGAGTACATTAGCATAGAGTTCGTCCCTACATAAGGTGCTAGTTGAGTCTTGGAGCTAGAAGCTAGGCTCGTATCTCTTTAAAGACGTTAGCCCATAGGACTATCAGACCACCCTGTTTGCCACGAGAAAGGGTGTCTTAGAGTAATGACCATACATCTTGTTCAAACCGCGGTAGGCGATGTAAAATAACGAGCCGGTGATGATTGCTCCGATAGCTCCTATGTCGGCAAGAAAGTCCAATTCCAGTCATGAGGAATGCAGGAAGCTATCAATTCCGCGTTGATAGTTTCTTGGCATAGTTTTTTTTTGCTAATGATAATTGGATGTTTCCATTGAAAGTCGAGGCTTACTCCTGAGAAAGTTTTTGCCAGGGGTTAAGATCAGTTTCTTGGCAGCCTTTTCACCTTGATTACGTTCCCCACAATGTTACATAAAAAACTCAGTACCGTCTAAATTCACATGCAAGGAGTTGCACCAATGATTCCCCATTTCAATAAGATTTATTCTCATTTCCTATTCCCGGGGTGAAGAATTTGATATCATTCTCACGCGAATACTTGTAATATCCACTTTTGCTGCAGCTTCGGGAAAAGTCAGGGACTGAAATAAGCTTAGTACTAGTCCTAATGTGTTGATTTCTACGGCAGTCTTGAGTCATTCCTTTGCAGTTCGATCACTGTCTAGAATGGGGAAACAGCTGAGCTGGAGTGAGCGAATTGATCCTCAGAGCCACGTGCGATAGGTGCAATAGTTGCGAAGCTCAATGACTAAAGAATATACTAATCCCAATCCATGAATATCTGCATCAAAGCTTACCGCAAGATATAGATGGGGGGACCCATATGCCCTTGCTCGGTACAGGAAACGGCTAACTTCAGGAAGAAGTACTTGCCCCGCTATTTGGGAAATCCGGAATCAATTCCTGTACCCACTTGAGTCTACGAAGTAAGTAATAATTACACTCGTTTACCAAATATGCGTTGGCTCGTTAGATGAGATGGAGCATTGAGTAAACGGGGTATTTGAAGAAAAGCGTCTTGACGACTGGCATCAGGCGAATCTTTACCGGAATTTGCAATCTAATGCATATTCCTTTCCAGAACATGGAACTTGCGCCTACTATTCAGACTACATTAGAGACATGCAAGATTTGTGGTCGATTGCCAGTTTCCCAGTTCCATGGAGAAATGTTGCCCCATGTACAATGCATTTATAGCATACGATGGTGGAGGAAAAGCTGAATCTCGTACCAGGGGTAGTAGGAGGTTGGGAAGGTCAGGTCTGTCATCACAAGTTTGATTACTATGTAATTGATCCATATCCAAGATTCAATAGAAATTATCGAAAATTCCAGCTAGAACTCGGGGTCTCATCACATCAGCTCAGCCAAAAATATGTCAGAGACACAACTGCCGTCACAGGCTGCAGAACCTCGGATCCATGAAGGTAAATTGGCTATTGTCACTGGGTCAGCCAGAAGTAAGCTCTTGCCCTAAATTCCTAACAATTACACACTCGTGATGCTCATCAAAGCTTAGGTATTGGGGCTGGAATAGTTAGAAAGCTGGCAAGCAAAGGCTGCAATATTGTTATCAACTATGCTACTACGAGCTCTGATGATGCCGCAGCTACTCTTAAAGCAGAACTCGAATCGAAGCATTGTATAAAAGCGATAACCGTGCGTGCAGACATTAGTACATCTGCTGGCTGCGAACAGATTATCGCTGCTGCGAAAGAGAATTTCAAAAACTCCAATACTGGCGCTCTACAAGTCGACATACTGGTACACAATGCCGCAGTTTTATATGTCGGTCCCCTTGAGAGTGTTATCGAAAAAGAATTTCAGCATATCTACGCTGTCAATGTATTGGGTCCTACGCTGTTGACAGCAGCTTGCAAGCCCTTCCTACCCACCGATCGTTCTGGTCGTATTGTGATGATGTCTAGTATCAATTCCAAGATTGGGACGCCGAACACAACATTGTACTCAGGCACGAAAGCGGCGATGGAGGCAATGACTCGTGTGTGGGCTAGAGAATTGGCGGAAAGGGCAACAGTTAATGCTATCAATCCTGGGCCTGTTATGACTGACATGTATTTGTCTGCTTCTGAGGAAGTTAAACAGGGCCTGGCTTTGTGGAATCCATTGACGCCATTGGCCCCAGTCAGAGAAACCGACAGTCCCGAAGTCAGAGAATTAGGCAATCGATTGGGTGGAAGAGCAGCTTATGATCATGAGATTGCGGGCATTATTGCCATTATTTGCGATCCAGATTCATCGTGGATGACGGGAAGTTTGATAAGTGCTAATGGTGGACTATCTTTCAGCATGTAAGCGCTAGTGGGTAGGAGGAAATTTAGACGCTATAAATGTTTTCCGTACAATTATGTGTGACAGAAGCGGGCATATGTATTCAAGTGGCAAGTTCAGTACCGAGGGCTGATGATACGAGCATGCTTGTCAAAGAGGATCCGCGATGCTCCAGCACGATGCCTACGTAAACAAAACGACCGTCCAGGTCATTTGATCGTTCCGCAGTCGTTCAACACATTGGCTTCCGCCTGGTAACTCGTGATATGTTGAGATATTCCGAGCTCCAATGAGAATTAAGTGCAGCTTGATGAGTGTGTCGATGTTTATGCTCTGTTGTCGAGGCATGTGGCGTCGTACAAAGTACGCTCAGTGTGGACGAAATAAAGAGACAAAATCAAGTTCATCAGATTCCTTCTCCGAAATTTAGTAAGGAATCAACTCACATCAATGCTACCCTTCAAATCCTGATAGATAAATGTTGGAAAATTAATAATTAATTAAGCTTTTGAATCATTGTTGTGTTGTGAAATAATTTTTTTCCACATTGGTTTGTCCGAGTAACAGTCAATTTCGTGCACGGACTATTGATAACTACCAATTCAGTCGGACATCGACGAACTGAAACTTGATACTATCGCCTACGATTTGTAGCAATGATAGAACTCCGAAGTGTTTCCCTTCACAAATAGCAGTTAACAATCTATCTTCCTATGCTATAATAAGCTTATGTTACAGGATCTCGAACAAACCGAAGCTTTTTAGATCCCGACGTACGAGGCTCCTCGACCACCACTGCACATGCCCCAACAGGACAGTGGCTCCTTCGATATCTGCTGTCTTAACATTCATCTCTAGCTTTAATCTCAATTGCAATGAATTGGGAATCTGATTGAGAAGCTTCCTGGAGGTACCAGCTTCCACCAAGATACGTATTAGGTACGACGCGATGAAAGACAACGAAAAAGTACAAACATGACGCGAACTAAGTTAATCAATATGGATTCCGGAGCACTTGAACCCTACGCCATTAATGCCATGCCATCATATCTTGCAGCTTCTCATGCATGGTCCGATAACATGTTTGCAATCCACACTATATACAAAAACACGCTTGGTGGAACCATGATCGAGACTTCCGTCCGTACACTCTTTCCTAACATAAAATATTGCTGGATCGATACAATATGTATCGATCAAAATGACGAAGAAGACAAGAAACTTCAAATACCTCTGATGGGTGACATATATGGAAATGCGCAAGTGGTAGTGATCGTCACAACTTGTGATTTCCCGCGTTGGATGACGCAAAATTATTTGGATCGACTCACCAGGGACCTAGGTGAAGCTATAGCAATTTCTAGGGAAGAAGAATATGCAGAGTTCATGTCGGAGTACTGGGCACATGGAGATGGACGACAAAAAATCATTGAGGGGATGAATTGCCTTGAGTTTTTCACCAGAACGCGATGGGCTGATCGAATCTGGACATTGCAGGAGTATATTCTTGCTAGACAAGTTGTTTGGGTTGGCAAAGAGAATTTATGTCTTCGAATAGACGATGCTATGTTCAGTGCACTGCCTGACTTATGTGATGTCTTTAATATCGGGGAAGCGATAGGTGGGAAATATGCTAAAGTCTATGACTATTACACCGGTATGGTCAATGCTGGAGCTGGGAGAATTGATCAGACCCGTGTCATGGAGCTCTTGGGAAATCGCTCGGCTTCTTTTCCAGATGATGAGATTTATGGTGCAATGGCAGCTTCGGGGGTAGTCATACCCCCAGGAGTCGTAACTGGACAGGACAATGTTTGGGCCCTTTGGTGGGAGGAAGCAATACGTCAAGGGCATCATCGTTGGATGTTTCTTCCTTCTGTCATATCTGAATTTACCAGTACAAACTGTATAATGCCACCATTCAAGACGCGTCACAAAGCCTCACAGTATTCTGGACTCGATACAGTACATGTTAAAGAGGGTAAGGTTAGCATTTCCGATGCGAGCGTAACCATGCATGGCCGCTGGGCTGGTTCCTGTCGCATTATAAGGCGCTTGGGTAAAGTTTATCGAGATTCAAATGGGGGTCTCCGTCGAGATATAACAATGATACTTTTCGCCAGTGGTCATTGGAAACTAGCTTTACGGCTTGTTGCAGCATTCGGTGGGGGCAGGTATTCATGGAAGCAAAGTTTAGCCATTGCACAGGTTCTGCAAGCAAATTACGATCGTGCTAAAAAAGCCGTTCGCTCCAAAAGAGTACACGAGATGGTTCTCCGTAGGCTGACAGAGTATCAAAGAATGATTTGGGGTGATTTTATGAGGCTCATGATGAGTCAAATGATTTCACTGAATGATGGGATAGCCTATCTTGCTTGTATCAAGAACACTTTAAAGTCAACGGATATCATCATAGTGAGCGATAATCATCAGCCGTTAAATAGGCTTCATGCTCTTGATTTTGGTATACAAGATGTTAGCGAAAGGACTCCTTTCATGATTGTTTCCGCACCAGATCCTAATGTAAAAGTTTATGATGGGGCTTCTGTCAAAGCTCTCCATAAAGTTGGAATGTCTCTGCCTACGATTGTTTGTAAAACATTGCGCAAAGCAGGTGCTTATAAGGGCCATGTCATCGACTCACATTCACATAAATTCAATATTGGAGGCAAGGCATGTTGGTTTTGCTCAAAAAGTACGGGTATTGGAGGATCTCAAGATCATACCGAAATTCTCCACTGACAAGATCCACTACCTACTCGATGTGGGAATCACCTCGAGTGACTAGCTGAATTAAGTCAAAGACCAAGCAGACATCAGAAGCGTATCACAGGCTGATCAAAAAGTTCTTGGTTCTCATCAAATGCACGCTATGATGCCGACACGCATCTTCACATACATATTCTCTCACAATAAAATCGATCTCAATCTAGTATACAATATAATTTACAGCTGATAACTCAACAAATATCATTTGATATTTTGACATTTAAAGATAGAGCGCCCTTCTTTTAATGGCCGCACCAGTTGATAAGGGAACCTTGGAAGTAGTAAGTGTCGTCAATCTAACGGGTGCTGTTTTGGGAATACTTCCCGAAGTCGATGCTATTCCGCTGGTTTCTGTCGAATTGTCGCCCATCTCATTCCACTGCGAAAGAAGCGCGTCAATTCCCGAAGCCACACTACTAGCTTTAACAGAATTGAACGCTGTAGCTTTTATACCGTTCTGCTCGACTTTGTTTGTAGTCCATGAAGCAATTCTTACAGAAGCTTGAGTACAAGAAGCAACTGTCGTTTTACCACTGACTATCTTAGTGGATGCGACACACGCTGAGGTGGTGCTACATCCACCCGTGATAGTCGATCCGCTGGATACATATGTCGATGCGCTACACGCGGAACTGGTAGGCTTGCAAGATGCTGTCATTGTGGTTCCACTGGTGACATAAGTGGACGGCGTGCAAGTTGAGCTCGAGGAGACCGGGGCGCCGGTACATTTGGCAGTGTATGTGGAGCCAGCAGAGACGTATGTGGATGCAATGCATGTTGTTGTAGATGACCCTGATAGGGTAGATGAGACTGGGCCTGAGATACTTCCACTACTTCCGGTGATTGTTCCAGTGATAGGGCCTGTTGAGGAGCCGGAGGAACTTATTATTGACGAAGTGGTTAAGGAGGGAGATCCCGTTGCAACTGGCTTAGTAGCGGAATCCGATGATACAGATAAGACTGACGAGACCGATAAGACCGCGCTAGGTGTGCTTGAGGTAGATTGAGAGCTACTCAAAGATGTCTTTGATGTTGAACTTGGGATCACAGCAGAAGTAGTAGTGGTACTACTTTGCGGTAAAACAATAGCAGATGAAGTTTTTGAGGTAGTGGTCTGTGGAGGAGCTTGGGTGGTTGTGGTTGGTGTTGCAATTTTTGTTGTAGGCTGTTGGATCGCGGTAGTTTTCTTGGTCGTTTTGACAACTGCTCTTTTCACCTCTTTCTCACTCGCGTGGGGAGGTTCCGGGGCTTCGGTCGGATGAGGAATTCGTACATCTCCAAGCTGTGCCCAGACTGAATTTAATGGTCAGCTAAAAGCTTCTAGTTTCTCGGGAATAGACTAACCTTGACCTAGTTCACCCACAGATACTTGCGTGCTAGTGCCATCAACTATGGTATTCATAACAATAGGACTAGTAAGAGCTGCATATTCGGTAAGGAATGATGCAATGAACGTTGCTGTGGACTCGTGACTTGTTATGACAGTGGTAATGGGGGGAAGACCAGAGACGCCGAATGCGGTACAAGGTTTGTGTTCAGATCCAAGAGACGACCTGTAGAGGCATAGATTATATGCTTGCTGGCTCAATATAGAAGCTCGAGATGGATCAATTCCAGCCGCAGGAGCTGCATAACAAGAACCAAGGAGTAGTGATGAATGAATCATAATAAAGATGTATTTGCCAAAGATGAAACCCATCTTAATGGAATGAACACGGTGATACAGTAGAAACTAAATTTAGGAAAGAATTAAAGAATGAGCGAATTTTTTTTGCTGAACTGAAAGAGATAGAGAACGATGGCGACAAGTTATCTCATATACATTCGGCAACAGAGTGTTTAAATCTACATTCATCACATCTTAAATGTCTCTCAGGTCAAAAGCTTTCTCAATACGAATCTAAAACTAGGTATTCAGAATCCTTCTAGGGGTAGTAATCATCAGAATCTTTCATATGCGCAACTGAATTCGCGGGAAGATAAGCATAAATTTCAATTAAAATGTCAGCAGTCCTATTGCTCATTTCTGAGGGGCCTATCCGTTCATTGGCTTTGGGCAGGAAGGGGGCTGACTCTCGGTACACGCATTTCTCAGCAAGTCAGCATGCTTTTGCTTACTCACGCCATCCTTTGCCCCCAAGAGAGTAACAAATCTGAATCGAGACTGCAAGTGGAAATTATAGGATTGATATACCGAAATAAGTATGACTTTATCCTCGATCTTCGCTCGTGTTTACCATCGAGTAATTTGAGATAGGAGTTGTCACTTCTAAGATCATGCCTTGGCCGCTTCGTATCAAAATAGGATTTTGAAGGGAAATCTAACATGGAAAGTTATTTCTGTCAGGGAATTATATATATCGATGTATGTGTCGTCTTATATTCTACATCCCCAGCTCGGTCATTGCCATTTTATTTAGTTGTTCCCTTCAAGTCATTCTTTTGAAAAACCTACATTCATTTCTGGTATATCCATTATTTTCTTTTCATAATGAAGTTTTCTACATACCTAATAGTGCCTGCGCTACTTGGATTTTGCAACGCGGTCACTCTAGATTCTCTCTTCAACACCAAAGCCACAGGACCTGGCGGTCTTGGTGCAAACAAGGCCATTATACAAAATTGGCTTGACGATACTGCTCTCCTTGTCGATGCTGCTCTGGGCGGTATTAATGCCTACCAAACCGATGAAAATATGCGGAATAACCTTTTCGCGTATTTTGGCATCAGGCCTACCAAATCTGGCAAGGTGCATGCTTCAGATAATGGTAAACTCACGACTGTTGCAAGTAAGTAACTATTCTTTCAACCCCAGATAATTCTCCAACAATTTTCACTAGTCTGTTGATAAAGATCGGAATTAACACAACAACAGACACATTGCAAGGTGTCCAGAGATTTCTCAACAGACAGAACGCGAGATTCACTGCAGAAGGAGACGGTACAGGAAAGCCATGGCTCTTCTATGATTCAACATGGCAAGAAGAAACAGAACTCATATACGACCCTACTGGAAAACCAGTTTTGGACCCAAAAGACGCGACCAAGCAAGCCAACTTTCGCACCTTCGTCGGTTCAGTCGATGTTAGCACAAATAGCTTGATCAAAGACATGCAATTAGGCACATCTCCCAATTGGGCTAAATATGCATACTATTCCTCTGATCTTCACGATTACGTTATAGAAACCAAGGCGAATCGATACCCTGGAAGCCCACCCTCGTGGTGTAGAGGGAAGTCGCTGTCACCCAAGGAACTTCGATTTGGCCTTACGAATACGAACCTTTATCGTGATGTCGTTACACTTTGCCCAGATGCATTTACTACAGATTCTGAACCATATGAGACGATAGCTACTGCTATGGCATCGACCCAAGCAAAAACTGCCGGCGCTGATCTTGATGATGCTTCCCCAAGATCATTAACACTTTTCCACGAATTGATACATTTGACATTTGGACAAGGAGCTGATGATACACCGGATAGTGCCAGTAAGTCAAGCTGATTCTTTGACGTTGACTTGTGTGACTAACAGAACTCTCTGTAGCCAAGCCAACTGAATGTCTAGCGCAGACAGTCAATAAGCAAAGTTCGCAAAGTCTAGTCAATCCAGACTCTTATGTGTTCTTTGCGTGGTCTTACTATCTCACCAAGAACGGTAACCCAAGTTATAAATGGCATAGCGGATTTGCCCAGGCATAGATATAGTTTTGGAAAGAAGACATAGAGAAGTACGAGACAGAGTATTCGAATTCATGTATATATAAGAATTTTGCCGACTTGTAACTGAGGATTTTATGTTAGTCAATTAATATTGTGATTCTGAAGGTGATGGCCGCGTAAACTTCACTTGCTGACACTTCAACTCGCCGATTCCATCTGACTTGAAGTAACCTACGGATAACTTTTAATTTCCTAGATCGAAACCTGGAGCATTTGGATGAATCCCACACTTGACATGATAATAAATGTGTAATGAATGATTGCGTATGCTGGATTGAGAAATTATGTGTAACCAAATCCTACCACAATTGCTTGCCGAGACACTATATCAGTGAACCGTTTAAGAAGTTCTACATTCATGACCTCAATAAGTTCCTTCGTCTTCTCCAGTTTTGTGGACAGAAAGTTTCACTGAAGAGCAGCATCAGATGAAATTGATAAACGCAGTTATCATCAAAAGCTTGTAGTTCCATTATTTTTCAGCTGGTGGGTGTAGAGATGTACATTGATGTATTCGTTATTTACCAATCTTCTGTAGGAACGACAATATTAACGTGGCTTCTCTACACTGGCGGCCTTTGAAGTGAAGCACATCGGCAAAATGATCGCTAAATCATAGTGACGTTCAGCCGCACACGCCCTGAAAAAGCTTGACTGGGTTAATGATAACACTGACCGTGATCTACTCCTCCGCATCCATTTCTGCCATTTCTCTCTCCTCTTCAGATGTATATTCCCAGACTTTCCAAGGAATAGTCTCAAATTTACAATGCACTTCTCTCATCCCCAGCATCCCCTCACTTTTTAGGCCTGCCACCCACTCGCTGAATGTGTTCTTCGATTCTCCAGCTTCGGTGACAAATCCAGCTTCTGCTTTGAATTCTTCTTCCCCTTCCGTACTGTTCCAGTAATGCAGATACCTCATGACTCTGGTTCGTTTCTTCTCATACTCAACCGGTTCATTCACCCAGCCTTTGATTGCCTTGCCGTTGTATGCACTTTTACCCGACTTCTTTCCGGGCGCAAAGAAGTAAATCAACCCTTTCAAGTCATTAACTCTCTTCTTTGACTCATCGTCTATGTCCTCTGGAAAATGAGCATCCGTAATCCCAGTATAATCGGTCAACATGTTCCAGAAGTCGCCTGATAGTTGAGCATGCGTAATGATTGGTTCTTTTCCCTTCGAAAGCTCTCTCATTGCTTCCAATTGTCCTTCATACACATCGGATTCCTCGAATTTTTGTATGGCTTCAAAAGTTTCCCAGCCAGTAATAAGCCAAACTTCTTCAGGGCGTTCAATCAATCGGCCCCATACTCCATGCTCGAAACCTGGCTGTGAATCCTTTGTAAGCGGTTCGATGATTTCAAGCCACTTCTTTCCTTCCTCCGATTTACCATCTGAGATATTTTTATTAACGGGGATTTGAATTGTGATCCATGATGTAGGGGCCGTCAGTCGTGGAGCTTGGGTTCTAGCCATATTAATTTAATCTTTGGATATCGTGAAGTGTGAATATTCAGATATCTGGTCACAGTTGTCTACGCTGGGTGAATGACGGCTTATTATATCATTTGTATAAGAATGGCGAGTAGCTTTCCTGGCTGAGGATAGGAGTATAAATAGAAGTTGCTGACTGTATTCATCCTGCTGGCATCAAAGGTGATTAATCACGTCTTGTCAGAGTTGGAGGGGGATAATTATTTGGGCCCCTGTAATTTGGGGCCAAAACAGCTGCAAGTGCCTGCGATTCAACGTATTCTCTATCACCTGACGTCATTAGTAATCACCAATCAATTTCAACTTATATTCTTCTTTTCCGTTGAATGATCAATCAAACTTTCGATTATCAACAAATCGTACTTCATTTCTAACCTACGAAGTGAATTATGAAAGCCAGAATAGATTTGAGGCCGCGTTCCATCATAACCCTCTTGTTTGCTACTTCAGACCATTCGTAAGAGGCTTGTACATTTACTTTGCCTTCAATCTTTGAAGTCTTTGAATGTCGATTTCCCTGTTCTAATACTTATTCCATCTTCCTCCCAATATTCTCGAACATTGATCCATCATGGTATGAAGCCTGACGCACATCATTTCTAGCGCTTCTAACTTCCTTTTTGCCTTCTGCAATTGATCAATAACGTATTGTTTTTCAAGTGTCCTTAATTCCTCCGCTTCGAACTCCGGAAAGTCCTGGTTCAAATGCGTAAAAGCACAGATTTGTTCCATGATTATGGAAAGAACCTTCCTTGATTCCAGAATCTCTGCTTTCATAATCTCGATATTGTCGTTGATCTCTTCACCTGAGGTGGCTTCAGATTAATGTTCGAACGCAAAGTGTTGGAGTCATCTTGGAAATTCAAGAACTAACCTTGGTCAGCATCAACTTGCGTCTTATATGTGTAAAATCCTTGCAATTTTCCCCTTGCCACAGTGAATCTTTTCATGAATTCATCGACTGGAAATTGCGCTAGAGCAGAAGCTATGAAGTTATCGAGTTCCTTTACTCTCTGAAGATCACGGAATTGCACTCCAGGGACAGTTTCCTCTTCGGATTGGGGAGAAAGTTCGGAGCTCAAGTTGCTTACTTTGGCCCCAGTACTCTGATAAGACGCAGAAATTTTAGTATTCAATCCATCTGATCCATTGCCGGGGCCGACAGGTAACTCAAGTATCTCGTGTTCGAGATCACTTAACATGGGCGAGGATTCCGTCGTGATCGAGCTATTCGAGACTGGCGTATTGGCAGAAGACGTTGCTGCCGCAATAGTCAGAATGATAACGTCTAACTTTTCTTTTTTTGAATGGGTTTACCGCTCATGCGCGTAGATGTAGCCTGAATGTAGAGAGGAAATCGCTACCAAGTGTTTATTGATGGCTACGAAAAAAAGAAGATTTTTACGCTGTGGCGTCTTCCAATGGTTCTTTCCCACGAAATTTACAATCAGCACTGATAAAGCGAAAACTGATTGGGATCAGGTTGCACTGTGCTAGTTTTACAGTTATGAATTATTCTTCCTTCTGACATCATCACGATTATGAGTTATAACGTGCTTCCAGCATCACTACTTACAAGCATTCCTTTTGATCTATTGACCATCATGGAGTTTGAAAGGTGAATTTCTCACAGTAAATCTCGAGTTTTGCAATCCCGAGAATCAGTTGAGAACCCTTACTCTTGTGAAGTATGAATGCGTACTTGCACTAGTGACCATTGCTCTCTTGGGATGTATTTCGCAGTCTTGATAATCGTAGTCAGTCCTGGCTCCAACTCTAGATTTGTCTGCGTCTTTCGCATGAAAGCGGAAGTTCACGATTCTTTTTTCCTGTAATCGAATGAGTTACCACTCGACCGGTCTAATTGACGTGATTATCACCACTTTAAGATAGAAAGCTTGATCTCCACTGTTACAGTTTTATATTCCATGATTTTCGTAAATTGCTGCCTTCTCTTTCTAATAGATTGTCTCCTCATCTCGTCGCTCTTCTTCGTCTTCACTTCAATGACAACCTGATGTCAGACTCTATTTCCCCAAGTATTTGTATGGCTCCAGCTTCCCATCCTTTCAGTGGCCAATTTGACATAAAATTATACGCCTGATGGAGGACTTATCACTCTCTCGTTCTTTATTGATTCGACAATTTCATCATCGGTTGACGACGCCACATAAAAACAAGTCCTCCAAGTGAACGGCCATTCTCGTGGTTCTTGTGCCAAATAAATCAAATAAATAGAACTATACACGATCCCGTCAATGAAGATAACTGAAGCCTAGCAAAAAATTGTGAATTTGCTTTCAAGTATCAAATGCCACGGCTCTGATTTTGCATGAGCAAAAAGACCTCAGTGAAAGCTTCGGTGCTACGAACATGCGAAGCATAGTTTCTCGGCAAAAATTGAAAGCTTAATTGATGAAGAGGAGTGGAAGTTCGAGGCACATGTATTCAGAGAGATGCTTGACTAAGTATGAAGAGTGATTTTAAAGGGGGCTGAGCATGGCGAGTTGAGTTTTTTGCCAATAAAAATAGACTGGAGGCTTGCAGAAGCTCATTGAAACATGTCTAAGAGAACGTAGATCTAATCAGATGGTTGCTTTGTGATAAAAATTTGCAGGGTTAGAATAACATGTTACACAAAAGTAACCTAAACCCGCCCCGTTTACAACATGACATGCTGACTCAGAGGTCCAGTCTATTCCGCGGTCCAGATCAACTCACATCATGCACTGTTACACAAAGGCTTGCAGCAGGCTTAACTCGGCTCTGCTTGGTCATTGTTGATTGGTCTTCAAATTCTTCCATGCAGAGATCCGTCGGATGGTTTCAACGCAGGAAAAGTGTATGTTATCTCTTATACTCAGAAAGGCCTTTTAATATCTTTTGTTTGCCTTTTATTTGAGAAAGATCATCTTGATGTTGATACCAAGTCCAGGAGTTCATAATGTCCAAATTGAATCTTTTGTACGATGAGGATAGTCCACATGAGGGACCGCCGTCGAAAAGGCAGAAAACTGCTGGAACCAAGAGCGATAATTTCGAGAACGTACGTTCCTTACAAGATCCCTCTTTTCTGTTATGTTGCTGACATCTTTTCAAGAAATTGACATTACCCATCGCTCTTGAGCTCGGCGAAGAATCTAGAGACCTTGAACGTAAGCTCTTAAATCTTCAACAATAAGAGGGACTGCGAACTGACAAGTTAGTCAAACTTCTGACAGAATGTCTCACCTCGTGCAAATGCGATATTGCACAACCAGCAAAATGTCAATGTAGATGCTGTTTTTATTCCAAGTACGGACATGTGGTTTTTGTACCGCACGACAGCCAGCAAGATGGCGAAGAAGGCCCTGGAGAAAAGTGCGCAGATTGCGTTAGTGTTGAAAGGACAGTGAGAGGACAGTATGCAAGTGTGTCGCACAAACATCAATTTTTTGATGAATTCTAACTCTTCGTAGTCGAGATCTCAGATCACTTGCCTCTTTCGCCTGAAGTCCGACACGATCTTGCTTGCCATTTCCGGGTAATTAGAGAAATTTTAAGCAAAATGTTTACGACAAAGATTGCAGAGATGAGAAAAAAGATGACTCGGGTAAAGATCGAAAGTATGCCTATCTTAAAGGAAGAAACGTCAATGCTGCAGAAAGAAATCAGGGCAATCAGTGGTCAGATGGGCGATCTAGAAAGGGAAATAGAGAGTACTTTCACTACCGTGATGAGAACTGGGGAAAATATATCAGGAGCGGTGGAAGGTTCGTCAATACTGCTGAAAGACAATAATCCTACACTTGTGCATCTGCCAAAGGGAGATATTCCTGGGACGGATTTGTTGGAGGAGGAAATAAACAGACTGAAGACTGAAAACGAGAGATTGGAGACAAAGATACAGCGGTTCGAAGAAGAAAAGGACGTGAGAATTTTCGGGACCCAAAGTGTTCCCATAAAATTCATCACCTCGAAACGAAAATCAGATTCATAATCAAGAGGCTAAGCAACACTTCACTTTGGGGTAAGAAAAATAGAATTATGACACATACAAATACTTGGTGCTGGCTTGGTAAGATCCTTGGTATACACTCGAAGTACTGAGATCCCCATGTATCGTCTCACATCCTCATACACTTGTTAATATTCATTTTTATTTCATCTTCATTCTCGTTCACATCCGTTCATTTTTATTATTAAAAAAAGCATTGATTACTCCAATACACACGAAACTAATCTGCCTATATATCTTCTAAAAGTGTCCTCAAAACCTCCCTAAACAATCTTAGAATCCTTATTCTTCGAAAAAAGATTCTTACCCTCTGCATTCTTCCCAACCCAATAATACGGACCCTGGCTTCTATCCTGCCACTCATGTTTATTCTTCACCGCAAACATCCCACCCATTCCCTCCGCAAGCAACAAATCTGTAATATAATGACTTCCGCCATCACATATATATCCATCACTTCGACGCGACCATCCATAGTTTTGCGGACATCCGGTATTTAATTTTCCGAGTTTTCCCAGGGCCCACGATTCTTGTTCTTCGCGCTCGGCTCCCTTCATGTTGTTGATTGTGGGTTGACGACTGGCCATTTGGATATTGGTGGGGTTATGGAGGATACTGCGGACGCTCGACATCTTGTCGATTTTTTTGGAGGGGGCAATGCTGACTTCTTTTATGGTTGATGTGGATGAGAGCATTTGGGATTGGTCTCGGTTAAGGAGTGTGGGTTGGGAAATGCTGGGGTCACGTTGGAGAAATGTTTGGCGGTTAGATGGGGATTGCAACATTATTGTTGGTTGCCGAGAAACATCACGTTGAAGCTCGGTGGTACCGTCGAATGGTTTCAAGGAAGTTCCGCGACCTAGAGTTTGAGAGGATGTTGCAGTGTAGTTGATTGTACCACGAGATGGAGCTTGGGACGGACCTCTGAGAGTTGCTGCATGTGAAGGTCTGATAGATGGTTGGTATGATGGAGCTTTAGATGCGCCCCGTAAGGTTGCAGCGTGAGAGGGTCTTAATGTTGGCTGAGTATATGTTGTCTGAGATGAAACTGTGATAGTTGGAGCTTGAGAAGGTACTACCGATGTATGGCGAGACTGATTTTGACCAGTTGAAGATGGTGCTTCAGAGAGGGCCTTTGGAGCCTGAGATGGAGAGCGGCTAGGGGATGGATGAAGCTGGCTGACATTCCGAGCTGATGCGGAAGCGGATTGTGCTTGTGATTCCCTGCCCATCACTGAAGCTGTTGGATAAAGTTGACTAACGCCACGGCCAGGACCAGTAGGCGGTGCTTCGGAAGCCATGATATCTAGGTTGAAAAAAAGATGTGGAAGAAAGGGATTATGTTTGAAGGGTGTTTCAATTTATTCAGGGAGTGGTTGAGTGTATTTTTCTATGTTGATAGAAGTTTGAAAGTTTAAAGGTGAACGAGAACATGTAGAGCGCTTTTAAAGACACGAGGTGATCTTTAACAGAGCTTGCAAAATTATTATCAACTCTCAAAAAATTACGATTTGTTGTTTACTAAATTGTGAATGGCAATATGCTCAACTTCCCCCATGGTGTTGACATTTTTTGAATCATCGACACTAGAGGAAGTCATCTGAAAGCTGCAGACGACAATTACAATTATTCACCGTAGAACTCTCTACATGTAACAACCACAGCTCACATCAGACAAGACTGAGCCTTCATCCTTATCCTGATTCTCTTATCGAATTATCACATGCAAACAAACAAATTGAACGAGGTGAATGGAACACCAAGCTCTTTTTGTATAGCTCGACTACATCAGCCTAACACAACCATTGCAAAAGAAACATATAGCTCAGATTTAAAAGACACAGCCTGTCAATCTTCAAAACAATATGGAAGACGCCGTATACAACAAAAACGACGACACGAACATCGCTCTCGTCGTCAACGCAACCCTCATCGACATCTACAACGGCGAAAAAATTACCGTCCACGAAGGGCAACCATGGGCTTACAAATTCTCCATCCCCCAATGGCCAGAAGGTCAGAATATACTAATCGGACGTGGAAAAGCTGAACTCGAAATCGGGATGGGATACATGTTACACGGACACCTCTCGATCAACGAAGGCAAAAATTGGACGCGTACTGCATTTGAAGTCGACGACGCGGTAGAATTATGTAGCACTGCTAGGCAAGAAGAAAAGTGTCCACAATTTCGTCTTTCTGGTTTTGTGCTTGAGGCTAAGAATGGATGGATGACTTTGGGTTGGGAGAGAGTTGATGATGACGTGGGAAATTTTGCGTGGGTTTACGTGAGGGTTCGGTGGGAGACGGCAAATGAAGATATGCTGTTTAAGCAGTATTATGTGGAGGGTCATATGAATGGGTATGATCGCATGAACGATTGGGTTGCGACTTTAGTCACTCTTGCTCCATGAGTACCAATCGAAATTGAGTAGGGAAACTGAAGCATGGGTGAGGCTTTCATCAAGGCATTTTACGGCGATCTACTATTGATCAACCGTACAGGTCCTGTTTTCACGTTGAATTAATATTCTTTTGCAAGTGTTCACTCTACGCCTTTGCGATTCACGGAAAGTGAAGTTTTCAAGACGTGAAATCTCTGGCAGTACGGATGTGAAGTGAAGACCGTTGTCGCATAAACAAGATTGTCATTGAATAATAAGATGCTCTTGGAGAGAGACGAAACTTGAAACCGCAGGAGCTGTTGATTTGAGCTTCCTATAGAGGGAGCTAAAGTCACTGAGTCCGACCTCCCACCACGCGGCGAGCAAAGGTTTGTAGAAACCACTCGTTCTGCGTGGCTGTATGCGACTTGAAACACCAGAGACCATCCATCATCATATTGTGGTGGCACGGTAGTCAATAGAAATCACTCGAGGAATGGAAAGGCGCAAATCAATCATTCTACATCTGACCAATATTTTGAGCATTTACACATGTGCAGGCCTGAATGATATCGATATGGTCTTTCGATACGTCCCTTTTGCTACCCACACTTTGAACTTCCTAAGCTGCTATCATTTCTCCTCTTGTTCTTTGAATAGCCACGCTAAAGCGCTCAAAGCATATGCGTCTATACCTACTTGCATCGTAGGAGATATTTGTGGAGCAAAGAGAGAACTGTGATTTCCTGGTATGCTCTCCGCCAACGTCCCTCCCTTTTGGGCTAGATCAACTTTCTCGGGGTCTGTACAACCATAGGCGAATAAAAGAGAAGGACTTTCAACAGCAGACGCAAGGATGCAAAAATCTTCACTAAAACTAAGCCTAGGGTAGTCTGCAACATAACTTTCATCGCTGGTCCTGAAATGATTGTGAAAAGCTTTGCCCACTCTTTCAGTAACGGAAGCATTATTATAGGTTACGGGGAACGATCTAGTAGGAGTAATTGTCGGTCCAACAACTGCATTGGATGCTACGCTTTCAGCTTTGACAATTCGTAGAACTCCATTGTAAAGTTTCTGTCTTGTAGTCTCGTCATTTGCGCGAATGTCAATTGTGATTGTCGCATCGTCGCTAACCACATTTTCTGCAGTCGTTGAGCCAGAGATGAAACTTGCACACGTAACAACTGCATGTTCACTTGGATGAACTTCCCTTGACACAAGTGTTTGTAGCCTCATGACGGCACTGGAAGCCATAACAATAGGATCTATAAGGCGTTCAGGCATGGAAGCATGTCCACCGCGACCGTGGAAAGTCACGCGTAGATTGTCGCAAGAACTAGCCATCGTACCAGGTCGGATACCAATGACACCAGCTCGGGCTGGAACGACATGCCCACTGAAAACCACATTAGGAATAGGAATATTATGTCTTTCGGGATCGTATAGTCCATCGTCGACCATACTTTGAGCACCTGTACCTCGTTCTTCGGCAGGTTGAAAGATAAGAACAATTGTTCCATGCCATGATTGCCGCGCCGATACCATAAGTTCAGCATATGCTAAGAGACATGTGATATGCATATCGTGGCCACATGCATGCATTACTGGTTGCTCTTTGCCATGAACATCAATGACTCGCTTTGTGCTGGCATATGGGAGACCAGTTCGTTCTTCTATAGGAAGAGCATCCATGTCGGCTCGTGAGAGCACGATGGGGCCGGGACCATTATGAAAGACCGCAGCAACACCATAACCCCCAATTTTGGTCTTAATGTCAAAGTCTGACGAGATTGAGGAAAGATGGTTGATAATTGTGGTCGATGTTTCTATCTCTTGGTTGGAAAGTTCGGGGTTTGAGTGGAAGTGTTTATATAACGCTTCATAAGACTTGAGTTCAGGCCGGTGGGCATTCAGAACATCGGTCAGCGGCATGATGAAAGTGTGCCCTGAAAATAAGTCCTGTGCAGTGGTCTATTCTTTTCTTAAGGCAGAGCAATGTAACTCACGAGTCATCCGCCGTCTTGATTATCCCACTTGTGTGGTCGATTAGGATGGTCAATGCTTTTTGATCACGCGCTTTCGAACGAAATTCATTCTTTCACTCAAAACAAATGGAAATGGAATGGCTTATATTCTGTTGATCATCGCTCGCAATGAAGATCTCACATGAGAAAGAAACAGGCGTACAAGAAATTCTCACAGCTGAAATTCTTTATGAGGAAACTAAAATATTCCCGTCAACTGGCTGAAGACCCCGCCATTGAGACTCACCTAAAATTCATCCGGTCAATAGGTGAGAACACTCTTCGCTCCTTGGTCAGACTAGATATGTTGTTGCGAGCTCGGTCACCATGACTCACTGTGGGTTATCTTACGACTGTTTCAGTCGTTACGGCTCTTTCAGCGCCCCTAGTCTGGATAATGATCATACGATTGAGCTCGTCTTGGAGATCAACTTCCTTGATCCGTAGAACATTGAACGCAGTTGACCAGGAATTTTCAAGGTCAAAAATATAGCATGTGCACTTTCATTTTCACCCGCTTTAACAACTGATATCTGTCGAATCGCAATAGATGATGCAGGAGACCATGAGCCTACAGTTGAGGAAAGTTGAAACTGTAAGAAGACCTTTGAGTTAACCTAAAACGTTCCGATCAATTCGGCGCACAGCCTGTCGACTTCTATATCACTAGATGAGACAGTAGGGCCATGCCCAAAAGTCAAATTGAGGTTTACTCAATGTAATAGCATAGAAAGGTAAACTTTGCGCAGAATTTGTCGCATTTGAAAGATATATACGCTGAAAAGATACCCCCTATAGCAGTTCCAATCCATGTACAATAGTAAATTAAACATTGGTGTCTATGTTCATCTCAGTTTTGGCGTCATCTTTACTGGCATCGGAAGGCTGATTTAAGCCATCGAGAAATACTGATGGCAAACATGACCAACTGCAGCCTTTCCGCATCAAAGGTACCAACTTTTCAACAATATCCCTCTCATTAACTACACGACTGGGTGTAGGACCATTCGCTGAAACCGCGTTCATACGATCTCTCTTGGATACCTTCTCAATCTCCCACCACTCTATCCATTCCGTGCGAGGAACTACAAAACTGGTGCCACAAATAGTACATAAGGTTGGCCCGGAATAATGGACGTTTTCTGCTCTTCGGAGTACTGATGGAATGCGAGGCGGAATGTATTCCATGTGAGATTCGAGACGTGTGAGTTCAGGATGACGAATGCAAGCCTGTAAGGCTTTCTCTGCCAGACTCTGGACGCGAGACTGTACCGCAGGGGGTTGCGGAATATCACCCAGGCTTGCAATGGGCAGTTGGATATGCCTTCCTACGTCATCCCACCGAGGATCAGAAGGGAACATAGGCCCTTTTATAAGATGTCCAAAAGCGTCAAGGAATCTAACTTCTGTTCTACATTGATAAGACAAGGAACACCTCTCGCCACCCGAGATTGGTGTACTTGGGCGAGGTAGAGTGCCTTGATGCCACTGGTGAAATATATGACCGGGTGTATCACGATTTAGAGGCAGAGATATATTATCTTCTGCAGTGGGAAATACTGGGGAGATTAATGGTGATTGGCGCTGTAGATCAATCACAAAATGTGGTGCGCCATTCTCAGTACTCTCGGGTCTTGCGATCGGGAGGTAGAACGGATTGGGATGTAGCTGGAAATCATATAATCTTCCAGTCCTGCCGCTTTCAAATAATGGCTGTGTATTAGAATCGATCTATGAGATGTTTGTTAGTGGTTATTTTGAGTGTGGCAGATTTGTTAAAAATAAGGCTTCATTATTTGTCGCACAATTTGCCCAAGGCTTGATCAATAGGACGTCGCTTACCGGTATCGAGTTGAGTCCACCAACAAGAAGGTCAAGGATTTCAAAAGGGAGATATCCCAGGTTGTTTTGAGCAATGTTTAAGTCTTCTAATCTTTTCAAATTTCCGATACTGGGTGGTATTTCCTCCAAATTATTGTCTCGTAAACTGAGTGTAGATAATCGATTTAGGTTGAACAACTCGGCGGGAAGTTTTACTAGCTCATTGGCCGAAAGGATTATCCTCAGATGAGGTTCGACGGCATAACCGCGTGCGGTTTTAACGAAAGTTCCTAAGGGGCGTATTGTGGAGTTTTCAAGGTGATCAAGACCCATACGACTAATGATAATTAGCCAGAACTGTGAAGAGGGATAGGCTTCACCTACGACAGATCCACGTATTCCTCTCCATCTTCAAGGCACTTTTCAATCCTTTTCTGTGCATGAATATCCCGAGGAGTATCGACTACAATTCTTGATTTGAGAGGTGATGGCGCAGGAATTGACCATGCCTTCTTCCCGTTCTCCATGACTAAATCTTCTACGTCCGTACCATCGCTACCCATGAATACCCCGCTGTCAACTTTCTTATTTAATGTTCTCTTGTTTCTTATGGGAACTTTGCGGTCCAAAGGCTCATCCTCAAAGGCTGAATCGGAAGCTAGCTGTTGATCAAACCAAGGTCCTCTAAATTTCTGCTTTCGTCGTGTCCGCTTTTGTGAGTATTTCTCTACTGAGGGGTCATCGTCGCTAGAGAATATTGGAGGATCGCTTGAATCAGGAGGAGGAGTATCGCGGACGCGTTTTCGCGACAAGTTTGTTTTTGTGAAGGTTGAAGTGGAATTTGGATCATCTCTTATCAATCGTGGTAAAGAAAGTTCGTCTGCCATATTCAACAAATCGTAGATAGTCACCCGTGCCGTACCTTCCTCAAAGAATGTGTCAATTGTTCTAGAAGATCATCAAACCAAATGGGTAAATTCCGAAGGTTGAAGTGACAGGAAGTCGCGAGACATGGACCGAGGCTGCCAAGATAGACTAGCGGCCGCAGGGTCACGCGTAGCGCGCTGTCTAGTGACTGAGACTGGCTTGAGACTGGCCGGAGAAATGATAACGAACTCCCGCCCTTGCATGTTATCTTAGCATCAATGACGGAGTACATAAGCACGATAAGATAAGATCAAATGGCACAGACTTCTCCAATTCAATTGGGTCCATTCGTCATTGCACTTCCTCAACCCTTCTCAAAGTTATTATCCATTCATCACAGATTCCACTTAGGAACATCCCAGAAATTGCTGTTATTGTTAGTATCTCACATCTTCATGAATATGCATTCAATCAAGACATCACACTTGGTAAGCGCTTTGCTAATTAACTGAGTCATCAGTTTCCTATTGAACAAATGGTCATCTGGATCATGTGTCACATTGGTTAAGCGTGCTAAGCTCAAGTGCGCTAATCTAGTGCTCCTGCGATTAGGATCATGGTATTCAACTGTAACCTTTCCCCTATTCATCTATCTACGACATATACCAGTCTGAGGCAGCATCATTGACGAATCGTTAGAAGTAGCTATACATGTTCAGTGAACAAATAGCTTTTGTTCGTTTCTTGCTTTTACAAATTCGCCTCCAACATCGGCACTTCAAGGCTGTACTTTCTCCAACTCTTTCGACAATTTTAACATTACTCTGATAACATTCATAGGAGATTCATATCAGCAACTTCCTTACGATCCATAAAAAGACAGCAGTCACATCGTAAAAGCTATTGCGACGATATCGTGGCAATATGTGTACTACTTACTTCTCCACCTATATCAACTGCAATCACCGCCCTTTCCGGCGAACGAGATGTCCTCTGTACAACCAAGATCCTCGAGCCTGTACTCGTAAAGTTGAAGTTCTCACAGATGAAGGCCTTCTCTGCCCAGAGTGTTTCGATCAGGTCGTCTGGGTTCGATCCAACAATGAATGGGATGTCGTAGAAACACCAGATGGTGATCTTGCGAAAGATGATTGGGTAGAGGTTGTGCGAGTGGGATATGATTGGAGAGAGGAAAGTGAACTGAAAAATGCAAAGGCTCGTGTCAAGCGAGACAAAGCACCTGTGCTCTCCAAAGTCGACGGCACAAAGCCAGTATCCAAGGCAACGACCGAGAATTCGAATCAGCAATGGGAGGAGACTCTAGGAGAACATGCGCTCCCTCTGGCGGGGCGCTCAGAAGAAGTAAAATCGGACTCCCGGAGGCTATCCAACAGTACACAAAGCTTGCCTAAGTTTTCGAAATGGTCCAACGAATAGATTATTATGACGACAGTCCGCGGTGGCTCTAGAAACACTTTGTTTCTGAATCGCGAATCTAGATTGATTCGATGGACTGTGGATTGTCTTCGATTCGAGAGTTAATAAATAAATACCGATGGATTTCAAAGTGATGATACGCCACGAACAAACCAGAGAATCACGAACCAAGTCTCCTTGCTTACTCGTATGGTTTGCCCAGAAATAGCGAGTGGGCATTGTGACTATATACTTGAACAGAGCTAGGTGACGCATACTCCTTGCGTCAAGTTTCTGTAAAAGAACTCGAGCTCTGGTACTTCTTCAGCCGTCATTCAGACCTTCGAAACTCTGATATAACAAATCTCGTCAATGATATTTTCCACCTGCGTCAACTTTGCCCATCGGTCACACAAGCAATACCATCCGAACATGAGACAATCATGCACTTTTGGCCTTCTGAACTACTTTGAAGTCGACAAGAAGCTACCCACTTTAATTATTATACTATGACGGATGCCCACGGTCACTGCATCTCAAAGGAAGTATGCGAATTTATCTTTGGCAGATGTATGGAAATTTTACTCTCATTTGAATAAAGGCGTCGAGGAAAGAATTGCATCCTTGCGACTCTCCTTTCTTGGGTCGATTGCAAATCCTCATGCTCACCTGAGGCACGATGGTTGTCACCCTAGCTCGTTAGATTCCTCCCGGAAACGGCTCGAAGAAGGCTTTTCTTAATGCGGTGTAAGGTTGTTCAGTTCGTTCTCGCAGAAGTAAAGAAACTTATTAGGCCGGTAGTTACTGATACATCTTTGTTAAATGCGGCCATGCTGTAGGCTTCAATATCCCCGGTGAATCACAAAGTTTCTTTTACCTCATATTGAGCCCGGCGATAAGGACATGTGAAGATGAATACAACCCGCCAAAAAGGGCGAATTGCGTGGAGGTTATGAGTTTTCGAGGTCAATTTTCGAGAGACTTTTGTTCCGTAGAATCTTTTACAGAACAGTTTGGAGGCGTTTGTTAGTTTAGACTTGAATCGACGCATCATTCTACGTTTTCAAGTAGAAAAACCTAGAGCTCAACATAGTCTCTCAAATCAGTGCTATAGTTGGTTATATGCATACTAATTAAAAAGATTCAATTCATATTCTCAGCGAACTACCACCGCGTTGAGTACACGGTGCCTGATATCACGGAACGTTTAAAATATTCAGAAGTGATTGTGATTTCGCACGATGTGTGATAGACTATCTATTGAACTGTTGTATAGTACATAACCTCTCTACAAAAGAAATCATAATACATAAACCACTCTACACTACATACTTCTATACTCATCCCACCCGATACTCATCCCATACCCTCCCCTCCCTTCCCACCATCCCATCGCAAAGCTCATTCCCTCTCCCTTCACAAAACCCCCACCACAACCCCCAGCCACACCCCTACCACCATCACTAATCCCCCTTTCGAACCCCATAACGCAAACCCCCACCACCAGTAAAGACAGGCAGCGCAGTTCCCGTTGCACTTTGAATCGTGAGATTGTATACCGCAGATGAAGTGGTGGAGATAGAAAGTGTCGTGAGAGTTACGGGAGGTAGGGAGGTTTGGATTTGAGATTCGGGGACGGTTGCGGCTGCGGTTTCGGTTTGAGGGGAGAGGGATGGGGATGGGGTGGGGATGGAGTGAGTGAATTTGTATTGGATGGATTTGTTGGTGGTATGCTGGGTGTGGTTGTTGTGATTTTTGTGCTTTCTGTATTTACGATGCTGGGAAAGCTGGTTTCAGCTGTGGTTTCTGGGGAAGTGAGCACGGAGGGTGGAGTTGTAGCTTGGGTGATGGAGGGAATGCTGATGGAGGCGGAGAAGAATGGAATGGATTGAATAGGCTCGGAACTCGCGAAGCTCAAGATTTGAGAAATCTCGGAGACATGAGAGACTTGGGTTGTTTGAACCATACTTGTTGCTGTTGTTGATATACTAGCGAGGGAAATTGTCGAGACTGCCAATGTGGAGGTGGATACCAAGATAGAGGTCGATGCCAGAGTCGCGGAGATGGAGATGGAGAAGAGGGATTCGGAGGCGGTGTTGATGATTGTATTGGTCTGTATCAAGGTGGTCTTATCGATGTTTGATGTGTATGTCTTGGTCTGTATGGATTAGTCAATTTTCGAGTAGTTGATGATATATGGAGAAGCCGGATGTAGTAAAAGGATATTGGAAGGGTGATAAAATCATACATACCTCTTGAGTGTGAGTATTTATATTAGACGACACATATATGATAGTTGTGGAAGTTACGAATGTACAATCAGTTTGTGTAGAGGTATGTTCCAATGTAGAGTTGGATTCATGACCGGAGTTAGGATTAGAGCTAGATCCGTGTCCATGCTCATGTCCATATTCATTGCTTTCTTTAGACCCAGATTCATAGCCTGATGACTCTTTAGTTCCTTTTGATTCATGTCCAGAGGATGAGGACTCTGAGCCGGAGTTGCCTTTCGAGTTGGAATTAGATGCTAAGTGTTTCGAGCCAGAGCCTTTCCCGGAGCTAGAATCAGACGAGTATTGTGAGTCGTAGCTTTTCTTGGATCCAGCTTCAGAAGACGAAGAAGATGAAGAATTTAATCCATAGTTATGTTTCAAACCAGAATTTTGGAACGTCGGCTTTGAGCTGGATGTGCTATTAGACGAGGAAGACCTTTTGGAACCCAGGCTCATAAGCTCAGACGAACCGGAGATATCTGTAGACTTTCTATCAAGATAAAAGGCCAAAGACGCCGAAGTGCCGGTTGATTCCGATCCGTTTGAGCTTTTCGTCTTAGTATTGGCCCCGTTCCTAGCGCTCACATACAGATATCTAGTCTCTGTAACTACAGCACTGCAAGCCGACGAACTAGTCTCCAGGACCACAGACTTCGAAGCTTCTTTACTCTCTGACTTTGTCGTTTTCGTTTCCGTTGAATTGGATTTTTTGTACCCTTCATTCTTGCCACTATATGACGATTTTGTATCGCTATTGACTCTTCTGCGAAGTTCGCTACCTGGTTGGAAAGATTGTTGACCAACCATGAGAAAGGTACCAGATACTGTATCAAAATTCTTGGAATCAACCATGAGTATAGAGAAATATAATTCCGCTGTATTTGGCGTGTCGCGTGGAACCCATTGATACATCCCATCATTTGGAATTTGAGCTATGCAGCCAATTAGTTTTGACTCTTGAAGGTATACGCAGTGAAAAGATCTTGATAAACATACTCCCAATAGTAACTATAGAAGCGCTAACATCCTGCACCCCTGCTGGAACAAGAAATAAAGAGACTGGGCCAGTGACTAGATCGGTAGACCAGGATATCTGAGTTGGAAAGCCAGTAGAAATATGACTCGTTGGCTGAGGAAGTATGAAATCACCTTTCGCAAAGTGTGAGGCAAGAAAGGCGAGAGAGAAGGATGAAAATCGCATGATGTTAAGATTGATTTATGTTGCAGAAATCCCGGGAGGCGCGTCCTTAGACAATAGAATAATAAGTATAATTAAAGTTATCAACGGAAGAACATATTATAAACAAAAAATGAAGAGTGGCCAGCAACAAACCAAATTGCAGCACAGCTGAAAGAGTGTAAGTGAGGATAAGGATGAGAAAATAGTTTTAATTATTGCAATAACCTATATATCATTTCGACGAACGGCGGCGGTACATTCGAAACTTGGAGCTCCTGAGAATCAGATATGTGATACGAGCCATTATTGGAGGATGAGATCTGTGAAATATGAATGGCACAATCCTTCAGGGGTCTGGAGTGTTCTAAACGCGGGGTCGTTTGACAGGCTTACCTGCTTTCCAAAAGATTATGAGAATTAACTTACATTTTAATCAGTGCAATTGCTCCAACATACGAGCAATTTCATTATTTCGAAATCCTCCAGTATAGTAGAAGGAGAAAAACTTGAAAGATTCATCGGGTGTGTGAACAAGTTGTTGCCAATCTTGCAACAGAGAATGATATTTTGTCAAGTCCGACTTGAGTTGTTACTGTGTCACACACAAGACATGACCGGAACGTCCAGATTGTTTAGCAAAGGGGTAGGAATGGATGAACTACATCCAAACTTAAGAATGATATTTATATCAGATCAAAAAAAGAATGAAAGATGGGACGGAATATCAAACGCTGCGTTGTGCCTCCTTGCAAGGTGGATTTCTCATCCTTGGCTTATCTCACATCTGAAACCCGAAGGAGAAGATCTCATGAATATGCTAGGATTCATCGCATCATCTTGAGACCCACGAGCTTGATTCCAACTTTAATTCTCCGGTGATAATGGGCATTTAGGATACGTAGATTGTAGATAGCCAGCTTCGTGGCGATGACATCACAATCTGTGGCTGCTCTGTTTCTCAATTCTTAATAGATCGATGAAGCCGAAACTTTTTCTTTTGCGAGCTGTATATTGAAGTCTTAATAATGTCTGTCTCCTTGACTGCTCCAGTGCAGGTGTGTTGTGAATAAAGATAATTTGATACTGCGCGACGGTGTGTGAAGTTGATATTTGGAATGAATTTTTCGACCTTTTCTCAAGGTTTCAGTGTGGTATCGTCAAACACTGAGATATAATTTGCTGCCGTTTTCTGAATCATAGAAGATACAACTTCGCATCTTTGAGCTATCGATAAATTCGTAATATGCATCATAACTCCTTCGACGTGCAGAACGACGCATCAGAAGCGCGTCTAAGCTGGAGAATTAGATCGAGCTTGATCACGCAGAGAAGTATGAAGAGACAAGATTTCTTTGCCTCGTGGAATAAAGAAACTTCTTCATTTGTCTGGATGAAAAATTCAAACAGTTATTTAGTATGGGGTCAGCACTAGATGGGCTGCGATATCCTGTAGCAAAAAATCAATGCAACGTCTGAGATATTTAATAAAACGCACAGAATACCCCGAATAATCGAATCATGAGATAATTGGGTTGAGCACGTGGGGATCACCTTATCTCTCTACTTGGATGTGAGTAATAAAATCTGAGTGCATCCCATTTCCAGTCCAAATTCATTCACGCGATGACTCGTCATGCCAGTTGTGATCACGTTCACCATAGGCAGCCTCCCTCAATCAGGATGCTGAGAATTACTATTCGAATCGCAGAGGCTAGTTGCTTTCTGTAGCGATCTGCAAAACTCAGTCCCTTCCACGTCGGAAAACGAAGGCATCGGTGTTAGATGGTTGGGACCAAGAGTACGATGGAGAGAGATGATATAACTCGTGGTTGTTGTAATAAAATGGTAGCAGGTACAGTCTGAAATGAAGCTCATCAGGAAAGTCAAATCAGCAAATGGTGAGGTTAGCCGTGATTCCGGTCGGGATTTACCGACGCTATAATACGGGCATGTTCAGGCGACAATTATTCACGACTTGAGACCTCAACCATGAAAATGCTTCATATCGACCTTGAGTTTTTCATGTTCCGTTTCTCCAAAATAACAAACTAGGTCATCAGGGGAAGCTTCGTCTGATCACGAACGAAGGTAATGATCATTTATCACGATACTGGTGGGAGCGACCTACCTTGGTCGTAATCACTGAATCAGACTCGATCATGATTTAGTCGCGTGAACTTTGTTTTTCTGTCTATCAACAAGAGGACATGATGGGACATGATGGGACATATAAATGCATATATATTCCCCCGTGTCTCTGTACCCCTAATTCTCTTCTCGTTCATCAAACTACGCAGTAAGTCCTTTTTGTTCAATCAACTTTCAATATGTCCGCAGAAAATACCCCTCTCTTATCTGAGCTTGCTCCTTCGCATCACCGCCATGCATCCACCTCATCCTCGGCATCGTTCTTTCCACCTGCCCTCCAAAAATTTCGTCTCGCAGTCGGCATCAATGTTCCTATAACCTCACCTGCCAATTCTCCGCCCTCTGACTTCGAAAGTCTACGTGGAAATGCCTACGGTATTTACAAGTCCGTTCTTATTCAACAACGCAACTTCTCCTTGCAATATCATTTTATGGAAGGCGTATACTATATCTCTATACTCTCGCAGCTCTTTATCGGTGGTGTCCTCGCTTCATTTGGCCAGCTATCCCAAATATATCCGCAGGCAGTCCCTATATTGGGAGTTGCCAACACATGTTTAGCTGGAGTCCTAGGACTCCTGAAGAGTCAAGGATTGCCCGATCGATTACGCAAAGATGAGTTTGAGATGCGAAAAGTCCAGGACTTTATCGAGGAATGCGATGCCAGGCTGGCAATTGGATGGGGAGAGACAATCAGTGAATCAGAGGTGGATAGTCTGATTAAGGAAGTTTTTGATCATTATAGTGTTGCGAGGGACACCGCGGAGATGAACAGACCGACCAATTACACATATCAGTCTGACGCAGATGGCACTGGAAATGGAGGAGCGATGAACCTACAGCGCAAAGTGCGTTCTGAGTCGGCAAATCGTAGAAGTTCGATCGGAGGCAGACAGAGTAATATTTCGGTCGGTGGGAATGGGAAATCTTTGCAGATATATTAGTGTGCTCTGCGTCTTTGGCCCACGCTTTCACTTCCGCGCTATCCCCAACTTTTTTCTCTCTGGAGGAGTTTCAATACCCTACAGGTTATCAAGATAACCTGTAAATATCAATTAATTCACATTACCCGTTCAGACTTCATGATGAGACCTTGTTCTAGAATTTTGCAACCTGGAAGTGACATTAATGACCATTGCTATTGACCTCTGAACAACAAACAGGTCAGGTCAATTTGACACCCAATTTGGGCTGTTCGAATTGCATGTACGATGTGAGGAACTGTTGCGGTTACAAGATTGAAATAAGGCTGATGTCACGCCTGCATGAGCAACGACACAAATCAAGGTGAATGTACAAAACAAAATATATGGAAATTGCAGACCAATGAGCTATCTAATCTGTGATACAATCTAGGCCGAATGGTTGTTCTAGACTTGTAAACATCCGGAGCCTAAGATTGGACTGCTTGAATAGCTTATGGAATAACCCAACTGTGTAGGGAGCTTTTAGCAGTTTATAGCTAGAGCTTCCATTGTTAAGTTACTCGCACGGAACGCCAACATTGGAAACTCAACGCACTGAACCCTATAGAAAGCAGTCAAGACAATAGAACAATCCGATGTATTCTTATCCATATTGCAGTCCAAACGGTCTCCATGACCAAGATTAGAGCCTCGGTGTCACGCGATATCTCATACTGTCATCCGTACATTGTCCAGGCTTGTGAACTTTGAAGGGGGTAAGGGGTAGATCTGCCAGGGACATGCATAAAGTTACAAGTATCGACCTTAGCTCTTCTTATTCTCACACCCCACACTAAAAAACCGTCACCTACCCAAATACGAGCATTAGAAATCATTAATATCGGGAATCCCCATATTTTGGGGAGAGCCCAAATAATATTCTCATTCATCATGATCATGACTACATGTCATGAGAATTCCAGTTTCTCAAACTTTTGTCTTCGAGAACGATCTCTTCAACGATGAATCCCTCGACTGGTCTCCAGTTTGCTCCTGAACACCAACAACATTATTCTGAAGAGGAATACTTGAAAAATCATGGGGTTTCAGATAACAAGACAGAAGATATGTCAACGAAGTCTACCTCATTACCATGTCGTCGAACTTTTCGCAGGTAGGGCTCCTTGAATAGAGTTTTCTTCCTATTTATAGATTGCTAAATAGAGATGAAGACCTCGGGCAGGTAGAGCATGCGGGGTAAGTACCATCATCACTCTAGATGGCAGTCGATACTAATGGCATTCTTGAACAGATGTGCCATTCAAGAAGAGTATGAAATTTCACCTCGAATCATACTTTATGTAAATCATTGACGCGAACTAGGTGCGATGCGACGCAGGATCTCACGGAATCCCAGTGAGTATAATCAATTCACCAATTCCTTTGCAATACTAACGCCACGATTTTGTAGTGTACAAATTGTGAAGCATTCTTCTTGGACTGCAATATTCCTCCGCGAAAGAAGAACGTGAGCAGGGAAGGAACGTCTGCCGGAAGAAGAAAGTCCGCCAGTGCATTGTCAGTACTCAGACCAAGATCTTGCTGAAATTTACCCCTCAAATTTTTGCTTTTGTATTCTTACACGAATATAGAATTAAGCAGCGCAGTCATTCCGGTGGGAACGGCAATGGAGAAGAAGAAAAGAATGACGATGCTGAGCTTCCTCGGCCTGTCGCGTCAAATCACGATGATTTTGCCTCGCTGATTCTTCAAGCTGGCCACCATATCAAGCAACAACCTGATAGTACCAAACAATACGTCAAATTAATAAATCCACCAATTTCTTCGTCGGCAATTGAAAACCCCGGAAAAGTAGCATACTTACAGGAAAAATCATCATTGGCGATGCTCATGAGGGACTATTATGACACAACGGACGCTGTGCACTATCCGCTACCGGAGGACGCTGCAAATCAACGCATGGCCACAAAAATGAACCCGGAAGAGATGGATATCCTTGCAAAGCGAGGTGCACTACAACTTCCTCCTCGAGATTTGTGTGAGGAATTGATTGATGCATATTTCAAATGGGTAGCTCCGGTCATCCCAATCATTAATAAATCGTGGTTCATGCAACGTTGGCACGACCTCGATAATCAGCCTCCCTTACTTCTAATGCAAGCAATCTTATTGGCTGGATCCAGAGTTTGCACTACATCCATGCTCTTGGATGCAAATGGTTCCCCCATTCCAGCAGCAACAATATTTTATAAAAGAGCAAAAGCGCTCTACGATGCTGATTATGAGGAAGATCGGGTCGTTATAGTTCAAGCACTTATTCTCTTAGGATGGGTACGTTCTTGGTACTTTGCACTTGTGTCATTGATTAGAATACTGACTATTTCAAAATAGTACTGGGAAGAGCCAGGGGTGGTTACAAAAAATGTTTTTTATTGGAATGGACTAGCGACTACTATCGCCCAAGGATTTGGAATGCACAGAAATCCTAGCGGCTCTCGTCTCAGTCCTGCAGATAAAAGACTTTGGAAAAGAATCTGGTGGACTTTGTACATCAGAGATCGGTCCGTAGCAACCGCTCTTGGACGCCCAGCACATATCAATTTGGAAGATTCCGATTTAGAAATGATCCGGGAAGAAGATTTTGTTGACGATCACACGGGACCTGAGGATGAATTAGAAGTGCAATTCTTTCTCCACTATGTGAAAATATGCGAGATCATGGATGACATACTCTTTCAGCATTACTCTTTACAATCCAAGAAGCATGGCAATAACTCTCTCATTTTACAACAGTGCGATCAAGCTTTGAATGAATGGCTTCAGAACTGCCCCAGACAGATTCGATGGAATTCTTCGAACAACAACTTCTGGTCCTCGTATCTGTACTCAATATACCATACCACAAGGTGCCTCTTGTATCGTGCCTATTTGCCATCAGTTAAGTCGTCATCTGAACTTCACGAGAAGCTTGATATTTCAGAACACCCTGCTTTTCAATCTGCAGGCGCAATTACTTCAGTCGCTGAAAACATGATTGCACGCAATGAGTTAAGGCATGCTCCTCCATTTTTGTAAGGACAAATATTGCGTACACTAGATATTTTACGATTGCTAATGATGCTATAGAATATACTCTTTACTGTCTGCCTTAATTATGCATGTCTATGAACTACAGATTTATCTGCCTTCAACAAATTCAGATGCTCGCAAAAGAATTTCGATTTGCATGTCTGCTCTGGACAAGCTCTCTGATGTATGGCTAGTAGCTAAGATGGTCAGAGGTCTTTTCGAGACGATTTTGAAGGCAGCAGGATTTGCAAATTATACCCTTGAGGGCACCAAACGTTTCAAGAAAATTGGTGAGCATACAGTGCCTGTGTTTAGCTTCATTGAAGAACCTTTATCAGCATCACAATCAGCTAGAGAGGCCAAGGAAGACAGTCTTCCACTTACGCATTCTCTGCTAGCACACCAAAAAGCAACTTTGAATTTCGTATCAGGAAAGGGTTCAAGTATTTCAAATGAGGGTCGGACATCGATTGGTAACAACGACGGTGTTTCGCCCAAGAGCATACCGTCTGCGCCACTAGCTGGACATCAATCTACTCCATCAATACATGGAGGTGAATATTTCGTCTCAGATGATTTGTGGCCTACTATCGCAATACCTAATCCAACCCAGGAAACAGTTCAATATCAAGACCCCAATTTTGCTGGCAACATGAATTACATATCTCCAGATCAGATGGCATACTGGATACAGCCGGACTTTCAACAAATGATTCCTTCGACTTTAGATGTCGCAGACTGGTAAGTTTCTGCGGTCTAGTATTTAGAGAGCAATTACTGATATGTGAGCAGGTTCGATTATTTTGGCATGCGATGAAGTGCTTTGCAGGTGTATTACTTCATGTATTTTGACACTTCAAGATTTGAAATCTAGTGAAACTATTTTATGTCGCCGTTAGCATGATCCTATGAATTTGGGCTTCTGGTACATCCAGATTTCCAGATATAGACGACTTGACTGGCATAGATAATTGGGAATCGATCTCGAACAGTCAACCCCAAATATCAAAGGATAGGTCGGCATCTATCAAAAGATTGCGAGAACATATTCGGTTATCGACCAATTGCGCAGTCAAATCTCACATCGAGCTAAACAGGGATAACCGAAACGGTAAAAAGTTGCGATTGGCTGGCTAAACACGTTTTATATCTTGTTCTACCAGACATTTGTCCTTATTGAAGCGCATTCAGCCCTCACCTTTCAGTATCTAGCACCTACCATTCTACTCGGTGGCACGACAGCGAGCAAAACAGCTTCTTCTGGCTTTCCCCAGATTTGCGTAATGTATCTAGCATCTCGATCCTTCATTGAGTCATGTTTAGCTTCGCCAGGCTTGATATTCCCAGAGGGTTTTCGGATCTATTTTTGAATTCTACCGGTTGGAATATATGCAATCTCATTGGAAAATTCGCGACGTTTGACAGCGGCTGAGGAACAATGGTCAAAGGTGTTAAATTTTTTGTATGGATCGGGGAAGGCTGCACACATGATGACGCAAATTCAGGTCGCTATTTTTTGGTCTCTAGTCCCTATGGAAGAGACGGCAGAGTTGTAATGAGTTGCATGCCGAGCATCCAGAATTACGAATGATCAAATGTCAACCTTCATGAGTGGGAAGCAAAATCATGACTGCGGAAAAAGTCTTGAGAACCCATGATTTGGATTATACAGCTTAGTAGAATTCACGGCATACCTCGGTCGATTGGGCTTTTGTTCAACCAAACTGATTTTCGGAGTATTATATGTACTGACAATCTGCGTCCAGCCCTATCATTCCAGTCTAGTCTATCAAAGCCCGTATTGTGGGGAAAGCCGCTTGCGAGATGCTGCGACTACTGTGAACCAATCACTTACATGATCACTCAACCTGTTTTGCACCATCTGATGTTCTACTTTAATGTTTATTTGAAGTCCCCTACATTGCAAAAACACCTCGGCATGATATTGCAGAGTGGTTAGATGTTTCATACTGTGCTCAGACAATTGCATAAAGTCATCATTGTATATGCTTCTTCTAATTCTACCGTGGACACTTTCGTTAAAGATGCGATTGGCTCAGGGATCCTGTTTCAAGAAACAATCTACTCCACTTGCTTCCAGATCAAGAAATTTTTGGAAACTCAACGATAGATCATAGCTTAGACCAGACAAACCCCCATTTATATGAGATGCAAGGAGTAATGTTATTTTGAGAAACTGCAATCTATGATCCCGATTCATCTTTGAACCTTACTCGTGGATCATGATCTACATGCAAGTGTCATGGCGTGGCGGCAGTCATAGTGGAAAATTGTGGGGAGACCTTGTCATAATGACATTGACTAATGTGAAAAAAACGTCTCAACTTTTGGCTTTATTTGCGAAATTCACCCTCCTCCTTATTGTTCTTCGGATTGTTTCTCTTTGCTCAAGTTTATGATGTATCTCTTGGAGAACAACAAAGCGCCGAGGTATTTTCGTGTTCTTCAATGCAATGTCAACAAGCCCTTAATTGACAGTTCAGATGATGACCGTAAAGAGGGGGAACAGTTCTTGCATTCGTTTGGAATGATATCGGAAATCGAAGATTGGATGAGAATACCCCTCATTCTTGGCTCATATCGGCTTGCACCTACGAGGTGTAGACATGGAGCACTAACTCCCGGCATTGCAGACTCCAAGAACACCTCGGGGCGACATCAGGACAGTGACATCTCAAATTTGTGTCTCTGCTCCTGCTAGAAGTCATAGAAACATATTTTTAGTAGAAAATAAAGCAATGTGGTGGAGTGTTTGGTACCCACTTGGTACAACGGGAGAGCGTCTCTTCGCAAAGGAAATATTCAGCGGGAAGACCCGCTTTTTACCCCTTCATATATTCTAGACGAATACCTCGGGAATTTCAAGCCAGCAAGTGATGAGTTTGTGTTTTCCCCTCGTCAAGTTGTTAGCTTAGTGTTATGGGTAAGAATTCTTGATGTAATGTGAGCCAAGTTAATGGGATGAGGCTGGCGAAACATACCAAGGAAGTGTAAATATATATGAGCCTTGGATATCCTCTGAATTTTTGTATATCAGTTTCATCTCATCTCATCTGATTCTGTATCTCTTATCCCCACTGTGACGTTTTTTCCAACCACACCCAGCTTAATCCAGCTACTCGCCCACAGCACACCTTACAAAATGCATTCACCACTCGCACTATTCTCCCTCCTCTCCATCTTCTCCAATTCCCTCATCTACGCAAACCCCCTCCCTCTTCCCATCCCCGTACCCGAAACCTCCGCCGTTAACGCAACCGCCGCCTGCACCGACATTCGCATCATCACCGCGCGCGCATCCACCGAGTTGCCAGGCGAAGGTATCATCGGTTCTCTAGCTTCAGCTATCCAACTCGCTACTAGCAAATCGGTCACGCGGACTTCGGTTTCCTATCCCGCGGTGCTGGCGCCTTATGCTCCCAGTGTTGCAAGTGGTGTTGCGGCTATGAAGGCGGATATTATTGCGGCGGTTGATGCGTGTCCGTCACAGAAAATTGTTCTTTTAGGATATTCTCAGGGTGGTGAGTTTCTTCTGAATTATCTCGTATATTAATTCGCAATGCTGATTTGTGATGAATGTACAGCGGAATGTATCAGTGATACACTTGGAGGTGGAGGAGGCGGAACACTGGGAACGAAAACTCCGGCGATTGACACCGCGTATGGTTCGCATGTTAAAGCAGCTGTTATGGTATATACTTCTTTTTTCTTCTATTTCCTCTCTTCTACTTTTCTTTGATCATTGTTCCCCTCCTGCATTTTACATCCCTATCACATGATATCTAACAATCTCCGCAAATAGATGGGTGATCCTCGCTACATGATCAATCAACAATCTTTCCACGTAGGAACCTGTTTCCAAAACGGACTCTTTCCCCGCTCGAGCGATCAGTCACTCACAGCTTATTCAAGTATCGTGAAATCATACTGCGATTTTGGAGATCCATTTTGTTGCTCGGGATTGGATACTTTGGCCCATTTGACTTATGTGACAAAGTATCAATCGTTGGCTTTGTCGTTTGTTTTGGGAAAGATTGCTTAGGGGTGGGATGAGAATGGAGTGAGTGGAAGTGATGCGGGACAGTATGGAATGGGAGAAAGTAAATGGTGGAGAGGTGAGGTTGGGTAGGGTAGGAGGAAGAAAATGATGGAGAACGTCTCTTCGGTGATGGTACGGTTTCTGCTTCTCTTTACATATATTTCTTTCTCTTCTTTGTATCTACCTTTTTTTTTATGATGGAGCCGTAGTAGGGGAGTGGCATTCAACATGCTAGTTGTGAAATTCTTTCTTCCACTTTTGTTTCTTCCGAATTCGATGTGTGTGTACGTGAGTGTGAAAAGGAATCTTGTAATAGTGTTACTTCCGGAACCATGCAAAATGCACCAGGGCGCCATCTACTTACTTGTGATATTCAGAGCTGGTATATATTTAGAGCTGGTGTATCTCGAGGTTTTGGTATCAAAGCCTCGAGAAGATAGGGATACAATCTCAATTTCAGAATGAACAAAAACGATATGTAATAAAAGCTTGAGCATTCAATTCTAGACTCTACCTTTGCAAATCTATTTCTATCGCTCTTCAAATAAAACTTGTGCCGTAAAAGAGGATTGTATATCATGCTGCGAAACCCCAGAAGATCTATGCTATATCTCCATCCCAAAATCGTGAATCTGCTTGCACACCCTCCCGGGTTCCTCCCAATGAAAACACACCCGGCAGGATAAAGCACAAGATTGTGATGAAGGGCCCGCCAAATACATCACAATTTTCGATGTTTAAAATCTTGATCTAAATTCCGAAAATAAAGGTTTTCTCGTAGAAACGCGTTGACCGAAAGAAAATAAGAGAATCTGATGAAGAAGGACCACCAGAATCGGGATCTCGATCCGGAGCTACTATTCTTGAGTTTTCCTCGATTATTGTCCCTTGTGAAGACCAATCGCCGATATGATCCGAGTCTTAAGGAACAGGGAGTCGAGCATTGAAGCTGGAAAGCACAAGGAATCTGCGGGTAAGCGTCATGATTATATCGTTCGCGGCGAGTAGGCTATCATAGGTAACTTACCATCAATTCCAATCCGTGCCAAGCTTCTTACAAGGGGCACTGTAAATAAATCCGTTCCGGACAATAAACAAAGGTGTTCGTCTCTCCGTATCTACAACTAAAGTATCTGACCAGCCGGGGCCCGAGCCTAAGGGTTCCTCCTCCGCGTTTGAATACTCACCCTTTTCTCTGCCGATTTGTCGCTCGGAGCCTTTGACATGGCGAACATTTTTAAATTCAATGAACCTCCATGCCTTGCTGCCTTTATAACTGCAGCATACCTCAAGCCGAACCGTACCGATACCAATAGCTCCTTCGCCCGCTGCGTTGAACCAATCGTCCGGGGAGATGGTTTTGTATTCGAGGAAATCGGATTGCATGGGTGTGGAATGGAATCTTTTGTCGGGGACAAATGCCCAGTGTGTGAGACGATCTGGTATCATGGGTTTACTGGGTTTGCCTCCCATGATCAAGATTCGAAGTTGACGGATAGAAATGTAAGTGGGATGTTGTGATTTAGAATATCTCGGAATACTGTCTTGAATCGCAAAACCGGTAGCGGAAGGACTTCTTGATGCGTTTAATTGTCTTGATTAACGTTAGGCGCCCTTTTGAGAAGTTGGCCAAGCGTCAAAACATGCAACTTGAAAGAGAGCAATTACTTTACCACTTCATCAGACTTTAAGAGAATGATTCCTGTGGAGATGATCAGAGGTAGTGATCAAGAGAAAGGAACACAAGGACTGGACAGTGATGTTATGTATCAAAGGATGGAAGAAGAGGAAGGGAAAGAGACGAAGATGTAATGCTTTTAATGATAAAGTTCCCTCGCTTCTCGGTTTGATGGCTAGTGAGTGAATTAGACAAAAGGAAATGGAAGATGATTTGCAAGATGAGGGGTAATTACTAGATATCTACTAAGCCCCAATTTAGATGTTCTCATTCAATGTAATATGCATTATCAAACTTTTCTTCAACTGCCTTGCAGAGCAATATTCCGAGTAGCTGGTTTGACTTCTCACTCAAGATGAATTGCCTCAGTTTCATTTTAATAAATCCCGGATTCAAGTGAATTCCTACAAATTGACATCAATAGCAGGTAGAAAAGCCGGGATGTCAACCTCCAACAAGAGATATCATGGTAGAATCTCTTCAATTTGCTTCGACGGGGGTTGAGACTTGAGAAACTGTACAATTTCCTACCCCAATGTGACACTGAGAGAAGACAAGGCGTGTCAGTCTTTAGTCTCTATTCTCTTGTTTCAACCTCTAGATTACTCCAAGCAGGAACTTGGTGATTGCCCGACACCCAAGTCCCAGGTTAACTCCTCCAAATGAGAGGCATAAGTTGAGTATTTATCAGTGAGCGATAAGCCAAGAGCTTCAATATTGTAGAACACACTGTCACAAGCTCCTTTCCTTTCCCTAGCTTTCTACGCAACTCTTGATTTCATGATCAATACCATGGGTATTCATTTACTTTGTCGACTACTGGGGTATATACACTTGCAATATATTCTGTAAAGCTCTAGTCACAACAATTGATCTCGGCGACCACAAGAGTTCAACAAGAACTCATTGAGTCCACTCTCGAACGAGAGATGTGATAGAACTGAATAACAAACCAAAGACTTAAGAACTTGAGATTTAATCACAAATTGGCATGGCGTAGAAGTTATTGGACGTTTTTGACCAAATTCTAGAAGGAATCATAAGATGAAGGAAAATATGTGACATCGAGTCTCCATTTGACGGCAACTAAGCGGTATATATAGTTATCGATGTGCTCTCGTCAACCTTTCATTGACACAGAAGAATTATTCCCAATCCTGATAATGAGTATTTGATGCTGTTGAATATTCATTGTCTTTGATTGAATGCCCCCATTGAGAAAAACAGCAGGGAGGTTTTACAAACCCGAACAAGGCTCGACTTCTAGAATGTGCCAGTAACTTAGAAGATAATTCGCCCTTGCACTGCGTGTCTTGCTCTGCATATTCCACAAACAGTGATACACTTCCAATATATCAAATCAACTTTCTGGATTCCATTCCTAATTGCCACCTCAATGAACACCATTCAATAAAGTTTCACCCTCTGCACCATTTCCCCCTTCCCCATCATCCTCCAAAATCCAATCCCTAACCGCCCCTTTCCAATCACTAACCCTCCCATCGCCAACCTTTACACTAACAACCCTAACCTCTTCCCCCTCCACAAACACTCTTCCCCCATCTCCCTCACCAGCCCTAACCCCCTCCTCTCCAAGAAAAACACAATTCTCCAAATGTTTCTCCCTCAACCATTTTTCCTCCTCTCCTCCCCTTTCGACTATCCTCGCTTCCCCATTAATCGTCGCACTAATACTGCTAAGCGCGCTCGTATTCAACCCTATCAGCATTTCCGCCAAACTGCTTCTTCCCCCCGCATTCCGCGGCGGACTCGCAGCTCTGTTTCCCATGGGCGGCCGATGTGAGACCCAGTCGTGGACTAATAACGAAACGTGTGGGTTTTCGAGCAGATTATGGGTTTTCTTCGAGGAGGGATTTGTTGTCATTATGATGGTGGGATAGGGAGACCAGGGGGTACTGGGGAGATAGGTATAGTTCATAAGGGAGACGTGAGGTCGAAGAGATGTGCACGTTGCAAGATGTAGCTATGGATCATATAGTATCAGTATGTGTTTGTGAAAATGTGATTGAGAAAGACGAGGACGTACAAATCTAGCATTTTCTAAACATTGAACTACTTCCGATGGTAAGGTCCTCGAGACTTGGAGATTGGTAGTGCCAGCTGAGGCTTCGTAATTCAAAGGAGCTTCCGCCATGATTTCGTTGTGCCAATGTGTTTCTGAGATGTAAGTTGAAGTTAATTGTGATATATTCAAGAAAAGTCGAAGCCGACAAGTACCGATGGGAGAGAAGCTTAAAATGAGAGAGGAGATCGGACATGGCGGGGCATTACCTGATCTGATCTCAATGATGATGTCTGATTATGTAATCTTCGATAAGCTCTAATCTTCATCTCAAACTGGTCGCAAAATGTCTAAAGTAAGGGATTTTTACAACTTCATTCACATATTCCCAATTTCATGCAACGGATAGAGGAAGTATTCTCTATTGCTGCCATGATTATGTGTACCTTTATCAATGTAGGTACCAAGTAGAAAGGATAAGATATGAGCTTACTTCCAGCCAATTTTGCAAAGCTCTTATCTAATCTTCCCTACAACATTTCTTTCATTCTTGTCAAAATTCACATTGATCTTTTCTTTTGCATTGAAAGTCCTCGTTGCAGAACATTCCGTCGCGTTCATTTTCTCTAATGCTATTCTCATTTCTCATATTGACCTCTTTTCTTTCCTCATGATTACCAAACCATGATTCCTTTACCTCCTCCCTCAGTCCGGAGCAATTTCATCCGCCACATTCATCTCAGCGGCGTCACCCCCTTCCACATTGCTCAAACTATTCAATCCACGCTCGTATCCAGATTGCTTGAATACAAAAAAGGTATGCCTATTCTTCTGTTACATTCCTATTTCTTCGCTTTTCCTGACGCAATGCTAACCCGGCGCAGAAACCTCAGCTCAGCAAGATCCCGACCTCAAGCCTCCCGCGCCAATCCCCACAGTCCTCACATTCCAACCCACACCCGTTTACACCACCGGACGGCGCGAGCTGCAAACCCCCCTCTCAGAACCCCTCCTCAAATCTCTCCGAGAGCCCTTGATCCCCCTCTCAACCACCCATCTCCTCATCATCCGCAAACCATTCAGCAGCTCTTCCAAGAAAGAACAAATAGCCGACGTGGTGCAAACCCCTCGCGGCGGCCTCATCACATTCCACGGTCCGGGCCAACTAGTCATCTATCCCATCATCGACTTACTCGCATTCCGCAACCTCGGCGCAAAATGCTACGTCAACCTCCTCGAAGAATCTACCATCCGACTTCTCCACACAATGGGCCTGAATATTCTCGGACGAACCGAGAATCCAGGAGTCTGGTTAAACGAAGGCGAGAAGATCGCAAGTCTCGGTGTTCACTTACGAAGAAACGTAAGTAGTTACGGCGTAGGACTCAACATGATCATGGAACGCGGCTGGTGGGATCGCATCACGGCCTGCGGGCTCAACGGCAAAAAAATCGTCGGCATCGATGAACAACTATCCGATATTGAAACGCGAGATTTCGCAAACCAAGAAAACTGGCGCTCCTCATACAAAGCCATGTTAGAGAACGGAGCCGCGGTAGCCCAAACATGGGTTGACGAATTTGCCGCCGGATTAGGACGACTCGACCGCGGCGAGAAGTGCGAGGAGAGTAAAACCACTAGTGAAAAGGATATCTTATCTACATCGGAAGAAACGACTAAACTGGGAAATGTAAATGGGACGCATTGGACGGGGTGGGAAGATATGCCGGAATCGGTTAAAAACTTAATTCCGCTTGATATACGCGGAGGAAATGAATTGAATATCAGTACGGGAGGGGGATATGTGGAGTATCGACGGTGGAAAGGAGAGTAGAAAAGCCGAATTATATATGAATAACTACACTCCACAAGTTTTTCTGGCATCTTGGAAGAAAACAAATTAAAGTTTAGTAGATGAAAGACAAGACCTAGTATCCACCTCCTACATATCTACAAGACCAGAAAAGAAGCAAGCGTGAAAGCGAGCGAGAAGTAGATACCGACCTATCTACCTACCTATCTACCTACCCACTCATCTCCCCATCTCCCCATCCCCTCACACCCAAATACCCAAATACCCAACACCTCTACAAAAAGAAGCAACCAAGCTCATCCAAACAATCAATCACAAAAGTTCCTTCTACAAAATCGGATCCAGTATACATTCACTACCAAGTATATATGTATATATGTATATATAGTCAGAGATAAGTAGATAATTTTCAATTCCAACTTTCTTTTCTTTTTTCTTTTTTTATTATTTCTTTTTACTTCTTCTTCTCCTTCTGTTTATCTATCTCATTTAGATAAATAAACATGTTTAAAATCAAAATCAAAATCAAAATCAAAATCAAAATCAAAATCAAAATCAAAATCAAAATCAAAATCAAAATCAAAATCAAAATCAAAATCAAAATTTAATTCACACCCTAACGAGAAGAAGTTTTATTCTAATCGAGGAAGTCAAGTGAAACAGAGGCAAGGAAGTAACTGTAACAACCGCAAATGAAGGGAGATAACCGAGCAAATCAATAAAGAGTCCCAGTCCTTCACACAAACACGCATCACTTTGTATTTTAGAAGAGCTTTCGTGAATTAATAATAGAACAGCTAACATTAAGGTATTATTACAACCACCAACAAAACATGTGGCAAGGAAAGAAATCAACTCCCCATCCCCATCCAACCATCCACCATTACTATCGCTAATGGGAATCTTCGCGAGACCCCCTGACACCATCACAGCCGCTGATACGGATTTCCCCATTCCGTTCGTGAGTTGATATAAATCCAACCGAGAGCTAATCGTGGGTATCGATCAATTATTACTCAATCGTAGCCATTCCGGTCGCAATCTTGTAATCCAATTCGGTCGACGTCGTGCTAAATATCACAAGATTGTTCGCATCGGCCTCATCAAAAATGAAGATACGCATTTAAGCATAATCATCCTTGACAACCCGACGCTGACTTTCGTTTCTGGTGAAGGAGCTATCGTCTCCACGAGTAGCGCGTCTCTCGCGTTGGTTGCGGTAGAATGAAAACATACCGCCGCCACCAGTAGTCCCTGCTGCTTCAATTGGAGCATCGCGAACAGCGGATGGCTGGCTATCTCGGCGGCGCTGTCGGCGACTTCCACCTACGGTTCCTCCAATGCAAAGGAGAAGAGCAGAGATTGCTAAGCATGCCCATGCTGCCCAAGTGAAACCGAATGCATAGCGGCCTAGACTCGCGTTCATATCTAAGCGACGGAACTGGTTGCGGGCTTTCACGAATTCGGCACTGCAAATTGATTAGACGTGATGAATCATATGACCATGATATATATAAAAAAAACTTACGTCATTAACGAAGCTCCAAGGGAGAACCAAAAGAGAGATACCATTGACAAAACAGATCCGGAAAAGGATGCTGTTCTTCCGGTCGCTGCCAAGAGCGAAACAAAGAACGCGAAGACTGCGAACAAGAGTCCCATGAGATAAAACACCCATCCAAATCTCCACATGTAGAAGTACGAGAAGCTAGTGGTGGATTTTGCATGCGAGCTGGATGACGTTAGCTACTGTCGCACATTCTTGGATTGAGCACAACTTACCCAAGGAGACTGGATGGAGCACCAGAACCACCTCCAATCCAGGCATAACCGAAGGGAAGAGCTGGTACGGATTTACCACAATCGGTGTTTCCGGCTCCACAGACTCTGAAGAAATTCCATTGTGACACTGGTCTCGCGCCGGCAATGCTTGAAGTGTCGGCTGTGAGAAATTGGGTTTTGTCCAAAGGAGTTGTGCCTGTGATGCCACCTAAGATGACGAAGAACATGAACATGATCGAAGCACCGAGGAGGACCAAGGACACCAAGGCCATGATGCCACCTGCAATTGATCAATGATTAGCTACTTTTCCCGAGAAAATTGGTTTATGCAACCAAGGATCTTGGAGGTGGAGGTGAAAACTTACGAGCAGCCATGATGGAAGAAGCGAATTAATTGAACGGTATTAAAAGTACAACCTTGATTGCAGCAAGAGGAATGCAATGCAATTGTGAAGAATGATGGGAAACTATACAGAATGCCATGTTAGCCTCTTCCATTCTCTATTCCAGCCTATCGTACAAATGACCTGTAAGGGAAAATCTCCGTTGTCGCACAAGCGATACCTTGCAGATAGGTAACATTTTCCGCAACATAATCAATTAATTGAAAGAAAGGGAATTTACTTACTCCAGATGAGGGTATCAAAATTGAGGAAGGCTTTTGAGATGGTACAGAAAGATAGATGAATGGATTGCGGAAAAATGGAATGTTTGATTGAAAGAAAAAGAAGAGATTGAGAGACAAACAAACGGCAAGCTTTTAATAAGGGTTGAAATTTTAGTACATCAAGTATATTTCATGTGCTGAGGTCACTCAAGGAAGAACCAAACCAAGTGGAGGTGGGAGCGGGCGGCAGTTACGGCGATGACGATAGTAAGTGAGCTTCCGCTAGTAAATTTTGGGGTAAGTGAGTTTGACGACTGGAAAGTTGACTTGACTTGATCTCATTGATAATGACCAAGAACTTAGTCAGTAGAATTGTGAAGGGAAGAAACTATGAGGTAGAAGAGTCTTGGTTGTAGGTGGAGGTGAAGATGGGTGTGGATGTGGATGTGGAGGTTGATGATGGCAGTGATGTGATATAATGTGTGTATGTGTGTATATGTGTGTCTCTACAATTCGTGTATTCAAATATTTAGCTAGACATCGAGCTTGGCGGTTTCTTGTTCATCGGTCTCTTCACTCCATACAGGTAACAGATATTGCAAAGATTGATGTCATCTAGGGGTCGACTTGGATCTGCTCTTTTATTTTTTTCTTCTTTCTTTCTCGCGTCTTCTTTCTTTGTACTTTCAATTTTCTTCTTCAATTCACGTGCCGTGCCGTGCGTACCTTGGTTGACGTTGACCTCATGGCCCTTTCCTTTGACATACGGATGGATCCAAATATCAAGAACGGAAAACGAATGTAGAAGTGCTTTGACAATGATTACATACGCAATTTACCGATGAAGCTGTTGACATTTGGATATTTGGATGATGTGGCTGAAGGACTTGATCGATCATACGTCATCATGGAGTCACTAGTGACGCGCTAGTGACCTTACTAGGTAGTCCCTCCACTGCACTGATCGACTTTTAGGAAGATCCACGACCCACCCGACCGATCTAAGGTTGAAGAAGTACGAAGAGTGAAGAGTGAAAAGTGAAAAGTGAAAAAGTGAAGACTGCCGACTGAAGACTGAAGACTGAAGACCGAAGTAAGATGAGTGAAGCAAGAAGTAAGAAGCTTTGACATTCTTTTATTTTTCTTTCCCTTGTTGACCGTGAGTGATGTTGATAGTGATGGTGATGGTGATGGTGATGGATGGCTATGAAATCTTTTTTTTTTTTCCTTTCTCTCTTCAACCAAGTTTTCACCAACGACAATGATTTGGTGGAAAGTTTAATGGAATGAAATACTGGGTAGGTATCTTGACCATTCTCGCCCTCTTCAAATCAATGATAATTTCGAAAACTAAAAGTAATCCAATAGTATAGATACCTACAGCAAGTAGTTCATCTGATAACTTGATAACTTGATTTTCCGCCAGAATTAATCAGGTTATTGCGAAGTTCCGATGATTCGATGATAGGAATTACCCCTCCTCTTGGCGACTGGAGGTCTTTTTTTAATTCTAGAATGTTGAGATCATAAAATAGTGTGGCAGACCGGAAACGTGACTATCACGAGGACTACCTACCATGTGGGAAGTGAGCGGAACCGTTTGCAGCCGGACAATAATGGGAAGGGGAAGAAAGATGGTTCCTCACCGGTAGCTTCCTTCTATCCCTGCTTACCTAGCTACTTGATTATATACTCAGCTGGGTATCTACAACACTGCGCATTTCCTGTTTACGAATATACAACACTTGATTGGTTCTTTCATGCCCTTTATCTGCATCTCCCATTGATCATTCTATGGATGAAATGATATGAGACGACGTACTACCACCCTTCCATCGAGATATACGATAGTCACGCGTTTAAGATATATAATCAAAGGTAGGTAATTAAAGGGGGGGAATAATTTGACATAGTTCAGACACATGATCTTATTCGCCTTACTAATCACAACTATGCAGATGAACACTTCACTCCACGGAGAAAAGTATAGGTAATTATAAAATCGAGCGCAGCGAGGACTGGGGGTTTGGGGGCTTGCCCCCATCAATAAGAAATACATCATCGATAATCGATTGGAGCAAATCATCCATTCTGATAAGGACGAAGTCTTTCTCAATTTCAACGGTGAACAATGAGAGATTATTCCAATGGCAGAATAAGTAGCCTAAGGCGGTGAGTGAATTTGAGTGAAGAATGAAATTGATTATTGAGGGGAACAACATCCTATTTTATACTGTTCACACTTTTGTACTGTTCACAAGAGCATGCGAGGATTCCCTTTTCAACTACTAGGTAGGTTGCATCTCAATCTGATATCTTCAGCAATATATAAACAATTACAAGAAAAGTTAACTATATTGATATATGCATACAATAGAAAGGAACAGCCAAGCACCTCACAATAAATTCGCAACGGCTTTTTTACTCTATCTATTCAGATACATCCCGATTTGAAGTGATTCTTATCATGATATATCAACGTATCTCATTTCAGCAAAATCTGAAGAGAATCGCCGGCATCCAGAAGCCTGGTAGAAAGGAATGCCTGTCCAAAAGATACTATCAATCAAATCGACAATATTTTACTCTCACGGGGTTTCAACCTGCATACCATCGTTCGATGAAGCATTAGAGAGTATCGGATCCGAATCAAACCATCCATCTAGTTTACCTAGATGCTCTCCAAGACAATCATTTTTCCAAAATGAGCAACGTTACAAATACTTGGCGCACAAAGGGGAAAACTCAGATTCATGCAGGGACTGCCAGTATCCTACCGCATAATCCTACTTTGAGACTCCGAAGCACCACACTACTGCAATGGCTATATACAAATCTCGACATCTTTTAAGGTAAATCCTCAAGGATACGGATCATCCCCGAACCCTTACAGCACTCGATTTCAACGTAACCACCTCGGTCCGTTCCGAACGGGAAAACTACGTCCCACCTATAAACATCTCGGTCCCAACTTCGAATCCTTCACCATACGATAACCGAGTCCTTGGGACACAATCCGGGTCTTGCATCTTCCAGGGTAGGATCTCAGGAAGGTAAATTTAAGGATTTAAATCTGACATACTCTTTTGGAAGTATCTCCGATGCTTATGCATCGGATGTCAAGCTAATCGAGTAAGTGTCGGATACTCTTCAATGCCACGCATACTGGATATGAGATTGTGTGTAACGGTGCTATGGATAGCCGAGTGTGGACTGGAGTACCAGGTAGGTACATAACCCTTGCGACAGGAGATCGACAAATCTTAGATGAATCCACTTGAATTGAAGGATTCTTAGGGCTAGATGATACCCATTTTTATGGATGGATGGAAGGAATGTAAATTTTGTGATGGATTCATTTTCTTCGGTTATAATCTTCGGGGAAGTCTCCCTAGGGCTTTCTGCAAATATATCTTTCCCGAGATGCCGGGTGTGAATTTTTTTAGTTTTTACTTTCATGTGAAATTTCTCAAGGGTTGGAAGTTTGATATTGGAGGAATCGGGTGTGGATCTTGAGAGAATTAGTGGATTTAATCGCTCAAGTGAATTTTATCTCTGAGCAGGTGGGTTTAATCGCTCAAGTGGATTTCATATTTCAAGCAGGTAAATTTAATCACTCACGTGAATTTATTACCTCGAGTGCGTTTCATAGCTCAAGTGAATTTTATCTCTCAGCAGGTGGATTTAATCGCTCAAGTGAACATGATCTCTCAAGTAGATTCTCAACATTCCTAATGACAGTTTAGCGTCGAGCGTCTTCACAAAGTTTCGGTGATGAGATATCATATGATATCTCATCATTCATCTTCATTTTACATAGTCTATTGCCCGAACATTTACGCTCTATTTTCAAAAACTTCATACATTACCAGGTAGCATTTCACACCTATTCCTGGCAGATGAATTCTCATGGTTCGAGAAGGAGACAAATGATGTCGAAGCTGCATTGTAGACTCTGGTTGTTAACGTGTCTTCTCTCTCCGCCGCTAGCTCATTGCGGAAAGAAAGAAGTAAGCTATCAGTAGACCTTACTGTGAAACTGGCTTCGTTCACGTAGATTGTAGATTCATCAGGAGAGTCCTCTATGTACTTCTTGCTTGTGTGGTTTTTCATAGAGATGTAGGTTTATAGGGATGTGTGTATTCTTGTGTTTTATTGTATGTAGGAGTCATGGTAGTGGTAGTGGTAGTGGTAACGGTAGTGGCATATGATCATCTGGATGTTCAAAGATTTGAGTGTAGAAATCTTTTAAACTTTTTGCATAGAATGTTTTGAGAACCTTTTTTTGAGAATGATGGAAAGTTGGTGGTGGGAAGCTGGTGGTGGAAAGCTGGAAATGTAGAAAAGATGTACTTGTTCCCTTTGGTAAAAGTAGATGAAGATTAATTTTTGTGATTCGTGGTTCTTTTATTTGGGTGATTTTATTTTTTTATTCTTTTGGAGTGAAGGAATGAAGGATTGAGGATTGGGGATTGTGAGAGGTGAGAGGTGAGAGGTTGTAAGTTATATGTAATACATAATAAATAATAGTTTTATAGGTAATGGGGATAGTTAATAAGTAACAAGAATAGATCTCCCCCCTACTACTATTTAATATGCATAGGAGCATTACGATTTTGAGATAGGTGAAGTTGAATGAGAGAGTATTGCTGTGTAGGGTTTTGGGGAGAGAGGGTGTTGATTTGATATGGGGTTTTGGGGAGGGGGAGGGGGAGAGGAGGAGGGGGAGAGGAGGAGGGGGAGAGGGAGAAGAGGGATATGTGGAGGTTTGAATATTGGGGTGGGATGGAGAGGGGAGATGAGGAGATGAGGAGATAAGCGTTGAAGAATTCTTGGGATGCAAAATTATGTATGTATGTGTATATATTTTTGAGTTTTGTAAGTTTTGTGATTGGATCTTGTCATGGGTGTGGGTGTGTGGATGGATGTTTGATGGTTGTGGATATGGATATGGATCTTTACACGGGTATGAGTATGCTTCGAGATGAATACGCTTTGAGATGAATATTCTTCAAGATGGTAAAGTTGGAAGAGTATGGAGTAGGGATGATTGGCTT